GCATTGCTCGAGATCCACCCTTCCAAAGCGGAAAAAATCGCAAGTCAGATGATAACTGAAGGCCGCATGAACGGTTACATCGACCAAATCGATTCAATTGTCCATTTTGAAAGTAATGTGTGTTTTATTGGTGATACGATTTTGATCGATTTCTTTTCAGCTCGTGAAACGTTGCCTCAGTGGGACAAACAAATACAGTCTCTCTGCTACCAAGTTAATTCGATAATTGAATCAATTTCAAAGAGTGAACCCGAATGGATTAGCAAGGTGATGGAGGAACAGATGGATCTTAAGTGAAACGTGTTTTTTGTAAATTATGTTTTATTAGTTTTACAATACTTGTCATAATCATAAAACAATTGAATTAAAAGCTTGCACAAGTAAAAAACACGTGTGGGAAGTAGCATTTTTTGAGAAGTATCCGGAAACGGTAACAAAAGGACGACTTCACTAAAACCACTACAAACTGAAAAACAAGACGTATTCATGTATATGTTTTAATACTAAAAAGTCCCATAGAACATTTAAAATATCTACAATACAGCAGGCTGAAACGTGTCTTGGTTCTAATACAATTTGGAACTGACGAATCTCTGATTAAGCCTCTAACTCGACGGCCAGACCAATTTTGTGACCGCCGTTATTGAAATTCTTGCCGTCAATGAGTGCCGACAAAGTTAGAGTCACACCTGCCAACCAACCAACAAAATAATAAATCCCTTAACCAACCTTTCTCAATACCCACCTTCACGCAAACGCTGCTGATACCCCAAACCGATCTGACTGGAATTGTTGACCTTGGCTCGGATCGCGGCGTCTTGATCCAAATCGTATTTAGCCCCTATTCCAAACTTGGTATTGTTGCTGCCCGCAGACCACGCCAACTGGATACCAGTCTCCATTTTTGGGGACAACTTTTGGTAAATGGAACCGCCGAATTCCTGGCCGTCATCGCTGTGATCACTAAATGTTACAAAAAGGGATTTAAAACGGGTTCAGGGTAACTTAAAGTGCCCCTTGGGATCTAGTGGGGAATTTAGGACTGACAGATTGGTATTCAACGTCACTTACACATTGGTGTGGAGAATGAAATCTCCAGTGGAGAAACCTAGGGCGAAGTTGTTTTTGGTAAGTTTGGATTTCTGGGTGTCGAAAGCCGTTTGGTAACCGGCGAGCCAACCCTGGTGTCCCACGACAGCAGCCGCCTGGATCAAAGGTCCGCTCGAGTCCAAGTCAACGTCGCAGTTTAGAGCGACCCTCTCGTTGGTAAACGCGGTTTTAACGCGAGCTGATTTGCTCCTAAATCAATCATTAATACGAAATTGTTACTCTCATCTGATTTTTACCCAGTCTGTGGCGAAAAAGTCAGATCTGAGGACAATTTCAAGCCTTTGAGGAGCTGATCTTGGATCGCAACTTCAGTGGCCAAAGTATTATCTGTATTCCATTTCTCGGAGAAAGTCAAACCGTATTCTTTAACTTTATATTTGGTCTCCAACGAGCCGAAAACCTTCCCCGACTCTTGGTTAGAGACTCCTCCGGTGTTGAATTCCACCCCTGAGCCAGTCTTCGTTTTGCAATCCAACTTGATAAGCCCGAAGTGGTACCCCTTGCCGAAGACATCTTTGGCCTTCTTGCCGAGATCAGAGTACGGTGGTGGGGCCATTATCTACAAACATAGAACCGTTCAAAAATAACCCTTAACCTTGACTTTGCTCGATTTAAACATTTGACAATTGTGGAAGTGTCTCCAGCTCCACCTCGCGCCCCCAACCACAACCAATATGGCGTTAGAAAAGCCCCAACGTGGGGGGCTCCCACACCGCAACCCCAATTGTATACCGGGTGTCCAAGGTCGCGAAAACGGGCTACGCACGCCCCACCCCTCCATACCGCCGCGATTTTCCGAGAAAATCCGGAAAATCAATCGAGTCACGTCTTACATAACAAGTGACGATCGGGGCACAGGCGACTTGTCTAAATGCTCAGGGAGCAACTTGGGGCTCTTTTGGAGGCGCAAGAGGGGGACGTGGACCGTTCATGTGACCGTTTCGCACGATTCGGCAAAATTGACTCACCTGTGATGAATTATATCGAGTTTAAAACTAAAAGGGCCGACTTATTGCGTTGTTCGAGTGGGAATAGGACCGACACTTCTTTCGAAATCGTTCACCGGGTGGATATTTCAAGCGATTTAACAGTTATTTTGCGGTTCGACCGGACCGACAGGACGAGAACCTTCTATTGCTGTCTTTTGTTAAAAAAGGATGGCGCGAGACGAGGCGTTGCGACGTTGCCAAGTCACCTACCCCACTTGGTGCACAATTTCTAATTCGCCGTATCACTTATCTGTTGATTTCTCTTCGTAATCGGAATAACAAAGCAAATGTGTTGCAAGTTATCACTAATAATGTAATCCGACCAGCTGTTTGATAAAATTGCAAAAAATGCGCCCATGGCACAATCCGGCAACCGCGCTCCCTACAGTGTGGCCAAGTTTCAGAATTTTCAAAAGTGGTTTCAAAATCAAAAATTTGTAATTAAATACAAACCAAACGTTGTGAATCCGACATGGACGGACAACAACTTGGCGAACACTGCTTTTTCCAATCTGCGCCTTTAGAATTAGGGTCGTATTGTAAACGCCTAACTTCGACTTTGGGTTTTTCATTTTTAACGTCAGAATCTCGTACTTTTGGATATCCAAACTTCTTCTCTTCACTTTTAGTTAAAGGATTTTCCATTGTATGAAAAAACAGACCAATATTTAACACTTATTTTGTGGCATTATGACATTTGTGTTGGAAAAAAATTATACAAGTAAAAAGCGTCATCTTATTTATTGTTGCCTAGTTTCGGTAGTAAATTTTCCGGAAAATTTTCATTTCTCCGGAAATTAGGTCCGGTCTTGGGACTTTATTTGTAACAGTTGGTAGCGATCTGAACGCTTCTCTGGTCACGTGACCTGTCAAATTTGACTATGGTGTTTTGAATAGTTTTAATTTTCACAAAAATTCGACAAAATCAGGCAAAATTATGCCTTTCGGTGAAAAAGGTGGTGTATTTACATTCTACACTTGTTTAATTCTCAATTGTGGATCATTACGTGGGCAGATTTTTCACGTTCGAGGCGGGATTTTAAAAGGCGTCCTTTTCAGCTTGGGGCTCCAAATTTGAATCAAAACTAGAACCTTAGCGCGAAATTACAAGTAACATGGATAGCTCCGGTCACACTTTAACTGGTACTACTGTTGAAACACGAGTCAATAATTTTTCAATTTGAATCAAAAATGTGAAATTCCCCAACACGGAATTCAAAAATGCCACTCTTGCAGGTAACAACGAAGATGTGGAGGCCCTTGTGGACACTCTCACCATCGATGGGGCCACTTTGAACGAAACAAACCTCTCAAGTTTGTCTTCTACAGACATCCAACAGTTGGCGGAACTGTCCCATGAATTGCACCTTTCAAACGATATGGAGACCGACGGTAAACACAATATGCCCCAAATTCCCTCATAACTTACACTTTTAGAACCAGAAGTAATAATTGAGACAGTTGAGGAAACAGTTCAAGTTGATACTGACGTCATGCAGTCCGAAATTGGGGCCCAAGAGATCGAAATTGAAACCGAACGCGCCCCTTCGCCTGAAGAAATCCTCCCGGACGTTAAAATAAAAACATCCACAATCCCACCATTGCGCCCCCTAACCATAGCTCCAAAACCCACCAAGGCGGTCCCCATCGCCATGAAACCCGCCCCCGGGCAACAACTCCTCCTACTTCAGGGCGCCGGTGGCAACCAAGCCATCAAATTAGTCTCCTCTGGGGGCCAAGAGCTCAACCTCGCCAACGTCTCTCTTGGCCGGCCTGTTGCCATCAAACCCGCCGTCAAAACTGTAACAACCCAAGGCAACATTGCTTTAGTCCAACCCAAACAAGTCGTCATGAAGAAAATCGTCACCTCCACACAGAAAACGCCTCCGAAAGCCACTCCAACGTTTACCAATAAACAAGGACACATCATGGTGGTGCAAAAAGCCGATCAAGTCAAGCTAATGCCGAGCCAAGCGACCCTCCCGAGCCCCGCGAAGACCATAACCCTACAACAAGCCCAAGAAATGGGTCTGATTGCCACTACAAAAGTCCTCCCTCAGGCCACATCCACCCCTAAACATACAGTGGTTTTGAATAAACCCGGCCCCAAGGCGATAAAAATTGTGCCCCAAATGGCCCCCACGCAGCTGTTGGGACAGAAAACGGTCGTGAGCCAGATTAAGTCGCCGACGAAGATACTCCCAGCCACGCAGACGACAACTGGGAAGGTGCCCCAAAGGATCATTTTCAAGAGTGCGGGGACGGGGCACACTATTCTCTCGTCGCCCCAGATTATACAAGTGGCAGGGACACAGGCTTTGAGCACGGGACAGCTACATCAGATTAATATTCCGGGAAAAGGGGTGAGTTTTAAAAATGACAGTTGAGCAGTATTGTGATTGGTTGATTGCTCCAAGGCGTGTTGCCATTGGTCGGTTTTGGGTGTATTAAATAAATAATTATTTTTTCTCATTTTCAGATGCAATATATTAAATTCGTGACGGCCACCAACGCTGAGACTCTCTCATCGTCTGCCCCCACCCTCACGACCGTAAAATCGACAATGCAGGCCTCCCCAACCAACATTGTCCTGTCGGAGATCAAGCCGGCGTCCCAAGCCACGGCTATAGCCCCTAAACCGTTGAAAAACATCGCTGCGAAAGCCCCCGTGACCAGTAGCCAAGTGGTGATGTTGCCGACGTACGTCCAAACCCAGCTCAACTCCAAAGTGCCGATTCCGATGCGCCACACCTCCGTCACTAAACAAATATCCCCGGAAAGTATCACGATGACACCCGAATCCAATCTAGAGTCCAACGGGATTAGGCCTCGCAAGCCTTGCAATTGTACAAAGAGTCAGTGTTTGAAATTGTACTGCGATTGTTTCGCAAATGGCGAATTCTGTTACATGTGTAACTGCATGAATTGCTTCAATAATTTGGAAAATGAGGATCATAGACAGAGGGCGATTAAGACGTGTCTCGAGCGCAATCCGAATGCTTTTAGGCCAAAGATTGGCAAGGCGAAAGATGTGGCCGGCGATAGTTCAATTAGGAAACACACAAAGGGGTGCAATTGCAAGAGATCAGGTTGTTTGAAGAACTACTGCGAGTGTTATGAAGCGAAAATCGCGTGTTCGAACAATTGTAAATGCTTGGGGTGCAGGAATATCGAGGACTCGATGGAGAAAAAGGGTTTGAGGGCGACGATTGAAGACGGGTTGCATAATTTGCAAGGAAAAATGGCACAAGCCAGGGATCCGCTCCAGTTTAGGACGAGGAGGACGTCGAGCAGCAGACAAGCAATTAATTTCATCACAGATGATGTTATAGAAGCGACGTCGCAATGCATGTTGACCATTTCGGAAAGCGGGGATGCTAATATGCAAGATGAAGAGGTGACGAAAAGTCAGATTATTGAGGAATTTGGGAGGTGTCTCAAGGAAATCATCGATTATTCAATGTTACACAACTGAGGAGGTAGCGCTACATCAAGTCAAACTTAAGTGTAGGTTACTAACTTCATTACTTTATTTGTTAGGATTAAGTTCAAATAGATGATGTAATTTTTCATAAGGATATAAACTTTAATTACGGTTTCAAGGGGTTTTTCTTCCCCAAATAGGCACCTTGACGTGAAAAAACAAATTTAAAAAATTGTACAACAGTTAAAAAAAGATTAAAATTTCTCAAGTCTTTTTCTCGGATGATAACCCTTTCTTATACTGTTTTTTCTTTAATAATTTTTTTTGTTCAATGCCATAAACCTTCTTGGACAAGTTCGTGAGGTCTATTTCCCCTTTTGAGCGTGTAATTATTTTCAAAAAATTAATGTTTTGCAAAAATTCTGTTTAAATAGTCAATCTTTAAAAACCTTAATCTGTGAGGTATATGTAAATGTAAAACGAGCACGAAACCACAGACGAAACGAGAGACTTTTTTTGGTAAAGGTTGCCATCCTCAAAAATCAAATAACTAAGAAAACACCAAAACAAAAATTAATTTGGAATAAAGTTATTCTTGAAAATTTCTAGGAAGAAATTAGCTTGGTTCCATCTCGAGGGGCTTCCTGGACTCAAATATCATTGGTTACATACTTTTTACACTTTATTACAAAAGGAAAATTATCACAAATCAAGCACTATTCTTGTGCACTTTATTCAGGTGCCTAATCAGATACGAATCTCTAACAAACCTCCTCTGGCAAACCTCACACTGGAACCCTCTGCGGTTGCTGTGCCCTTTGACATGCTGCACCAGCTGACTCTTGGTGCTAAACCCAGCGTTGCATTCCGGACACGACAACCCATCCGTCACGTGTGACCACCGATGTGCCACCAGATAACTCCTCACGGCGAACTTCTTCTCACACACATCGCACGCAAACGGCCTGAGCCCCGTATGCACCCTTTTGTGTGTGTTCAAACTCGATTTCTGGGTAAACCTCTTGTCACACACGTCGCATTTGAAGGGTCTCTCACCCGTGTGTGTCCGCAGATGCACCTCTAAGTAGGGCTTGCGGCAGAAACAAGCTTCGCATTGGGTGCACTGGAAGGGCTTATTGCCCGAATGAAGCTTCATATGGACGTAATAACTGGACGTGGACGACAGGACTTTGCCGCAGATTTTGCATGTCTGCGGCTTGCGCTTCTTGCGGGGCTCCTGCAATGCGACAATGAGGCAAGCGGGGGCAAAGGGGCGCTACGTACGTCGGCAGGAGGCGATGAGGGCTTACCCTCAGGCTCGGAACTGGAACAGCCGTAGAAGCTGATCGGCTCGATTTTTATCTCCGTTTCGAACACGCTGTGGGACAGGGTGCCGAACATGGCGAAGTCCTACAGCGGAAAGCTAAGGTTATGTTCACTTTTATTTATTATTCTTAACAATTGCATTGAAGCATTGTCATTGCGAAAATTTGGTCCAATATTGAAAATCAAGCCTAATAAACTATTTTTGGTAGGTAAGGCTCTTATTTCATTGTAAATTAGGTCGGGACAAATGTGAGGTTATGTTCTTGGTGGAGTTATTTTGGAACATAACTTGACATTTGGGGCCTTTGCATTTCTTTATTTTGATGTAAAGACATGCGTTTCATTCATTTCATGCATTTTCGGTGGAAACTAAGTACCTTTAAGTTGAACTTTGGTTGAACTCCGATGAGACAACCATGACCTCGTCACATGTTGGGGTCAGCAATGTGTGAACTTGTACTAATTTTGGGTACAAACGTATTCAAAAGATATTTTTTTACAAATCGTTAACTTTATGATGACGTCAGAGGTGACCTAACCTCACTTTAGAGCGTTGCCAAGGGGTGATTGACCACCAAAAATTTGAATGATGGCGCAAGAAATGAAAGTCAGTTTTAATTCCTATGTTATTGTATTTCAACCAATTCCAAGAAATTATTGCAAAAATCAATTGGTCAGTTACTTAAAAACTTACATCTAATCAATATCAAAACAATAATTAAAAAAAGTTCTATGCTTACTGAACAAAAGCAATAATATCAACAAGATTAATTGGAATCAGAGCCAGCTGCTTCCCAAAACTAAGAAAAAACTCTGATGGTGTAAAAAACTAGAGAAACAGGTGGCTACGACTGATTGGAACTTGAATAAAAATTTACATTCATTTAAAATTAAATTAAATTTTTATTGAACATAATTGTAGCTTTTGCATTTGAATTTCGCCAACAAAAGTACAAATAGATGTAAAATGTAAACACCACATTGACGACCTGCGAGTCCACCTGGTGTAGGTAAGCTGTTGATATAACTGGTCCAATACGATAATTATATAGCTTAGCGGCAGTGGAGGCCTCTGGACTTGGTGAAAACAGGCTATGGCCCCCACGTCACATGATCGGTATTATTTATCAAGCGCAGTGTTTGTTTTCACAGCAATTACCACCTAAAACATGAAATGAGAGAAAACTGTAACTGTTGTAACTATTTCAAAGGGTGACTTGCCTCCTCGCCGCAAGATTTGAGCACTGTACACAGGATATCCTTGCCGGCGTCGTACTCAGCGCGTAGTTGGGCCCCCACATCCCCTTCTGGAACTTTAAGATCCTCACGCAGGTCACCATTGTCAGACATGAGAGACAAATAGCCATCATCAGAGATATCAGTCAATTGGTAGTCCTCGCGCTTAACGTGCGGGACATCCATATTGTGTGTTGAGGGACATATATCTTCATATTTTTTACCTACAGCCCCTCGTTAGACAAGTCCTCAAATACCCCCCAGACTCACCTGTAAAAATATCAATGCCTACCAAATGCACTTTGGCGTGTCCGTGTTTGCCAGTTTTGGAAGTTGACATTTCGACAATCTTGCAAGGTCGAGACTTGAGCATGACGAAGCCGTTCTTGCGCAGGGCCGAGCATTGCATGGGATAGGTGGCCGAAGCGCCAGAGTCCCCAGTTTCAAAATGAGTGTCATCGATGTCAGCCATCGTGTGTCTTATGTCCAACCGTGCAGGCTGCAAACAACAACAATAACCTCAAAGGGCGTCCACGCGGCACGGGCGGGGGGGCCACGGCGCTCCTACCGGCGTCGCCATTTGACACCTGTAACAACCGTAGCCCGCGCAGCGCCCACAGCGCCGTACTTTCGCCCAATTCTTGCCAATTTTAAGGGGCTGAGAGGCAACATGGCGCGAACATACACCTTATCATGCACACTGTCAAAACGGCTTAAGTCAAAGGGTGGCGCGATGGGAACGAAAGGGGTGGCAAAATGGGGCGAAAAATTCAGACATGAGGGGCGTGAGTGGGAAATTCATACAGACTTTTTAGGGAATTTACAGATAAATAAGCTACTCACATGTGTCCAAGATGGCAAATGATTCCAAAAGAAGCACAAATGACATGCGCTGAGAAAACGAACGGTACCCGTGGAAGCGATAGTGGCGCCATGAAGCGCGTAATTTGAATTTTTTCACAATCAAACAACCAAACTAAACAATCTCTACGACATTTATCACATTTTATTAAATATTTAACTTCACGAAGTCACAATCTACCACATTTTGATAACTAATTGTGTTAAAATTAACGACAAATATTTTTATCGTAATTAAAAAGGTGTAAATCACTGAAAAAATTAAAATAAACAACAGGTGTTTCAGAACCTAAAAGACTTTTATTTCCGTATTTTGTAATTAAATTATGCAAAATAAGAAAACAACATTAAAATACAATAGCAAAAAATTATGGTTGTTGATGGCACTTTGGGGATAATAACAATAGAAAAAAATTAGCCTTCTTTCATTGAAATTAAAACTTTTCCGACATTTTTCCTCTCGGCCAACAACTTTGTCGCCTCAACAATTTTCTCCATGGGATGTACTGAATCAATCTTCACTTTCAATTTTTTTTCTTCCACCATTTTAAAAATTTTCCCCAAAGCGTTTCTAACCCTTCCTGCATCTTTCTCAATTAGCGTCCCCAAATGAAGCCCAGCAGCGACCCTATTATGTGTAATCAATTCTTCCAACTGAACATTTTTAGTAGTCAGCCATCCCTTCAACAACGTAAACACCGACAATTTTTGCTCATTCTGAATCAAATTATTCGCTCCAATTAAAACAATACGTCCTAAAGGCTTCAAAAGAGTTTGCAAGAAGCCATAAAGAGGACCGGCGTAATTAGATAAAATTAAATCAAAGCCTTGGGGACATTCTTTCGTGATTTCCTTCTGAAAATTCTCATCTAAAGTTAGAGTAACATCAACGCCGTTTTCTTTGACTTGAGGGTGCTTGAAAGGGGCTGTGGTGCCCACAACTGTGACCCCGGTGATAGTTTTGGCCAGTTGGGTGGCCGCCCAGCCTACACCCCCTGTAACCATTTTCCCAATAACAAATTTAAAACAAATTTCGGGTTTTACCCCCGCAAGACAATATGAGAACTGTCTCATTTTGTCGCAAATTTCCGAGCTCAATTATAGAAAAGTAGGCGGTTAAGTAATTAACAAAAAGTGCAGCCCCCTCCTCCCAAGTCAGGTGATCGGGTAACGGGTAGCATTTGTCTGGGGTGACCCTGATTACATCCCTGTACATCCCACAGTGGTAATCATAACAAATGACACGCTGTCCCACCTACAATTTTTGTTTTGAAATTTTACTCAACTAATTTTGAGAAAACACACTTTGAGATGCGTATTTTCGGCCCCGATTGCGGCAACGGTCCCCACACATTCCATCCCCAAAACAAACGGCAATTTCTTGTTATGCATCAGTCCTTGTCGGGTGTACAAATCGGCGAAATTCACGCCCCCATATTCGACTTTCACTTCAACATTTCCGGCCAAAGGAGGCAATCCGAATTGCTCCACCTACAAACTAATGACCTGGACTTACCTCGAATTAATTTACTTACACTGAGGACGTCGTAGCTGCCGAATTTTTTCACTACGATGGCTTTGCTCGTTTCCATTTTATGTTTGGGTAGGGCTCAACAAGTGTTTGTTTTGGCCTTGGTAACAAGAAGACAAGGTCAAGGGCATTCGAGGTAAGTAAATGACTATGAAAATTGTTGATATAGTTTCTTTCCTTTATCAGCAATGTCGTGTTTAATGTCACAGATGTGATTAACTGCGGTTTTGCTCGTGTTTTTCAAGTGTTGTTTGCACCAATAGGAGTCTAAGGTGGAACAGGTGTCCAATTAAATAATCATACTGTTTATTCACAAAACATTCAAATATACAGTAATATCTACAATTAAAAAATCTAAATAAATATATTTATAGAATAATGATTTAAAAGATGTAATAAAAATAAGACAGTTAAAATCAGAGCACCTAACAGCGACCTTTCAGTCTTACACGAAAAATTCCAATTAGAACATATCACAAAAAAGGAAAAACCGACAGCTCAACGAATTTAGCATCCAAGAGACCGAATTAATACTGAACACACCGATAATTTAGCATAAAATCAATAGCGGCCTAGTCCTGAGTCAAGACGCATAAAAAAATAACTTTTCCACAATAAAATTATTGGACGAGTGAACCGAATTTAAGTAAAAAATCTAGGCACATTTCTTGCCTATCCCCCATTTCCGTTAATATAAAACCATCAGACGACACATCCAAAGCAATTAGCGCAAAAATTGTGATCAAATAACCGTCCATAGAAAATTTCTTAGTTGCACCTCACCACTACGGAAATATCACGACCGGGGGGGCCTTAGCCCCTTAAAAAATATATAGGCAGTTTTATATACAAGACGCCCGAACCACCATCAATCGTTCTGCTCGATGATGATCAGCCCTTCGCAGTCCTTGTCTTTGGAAATGTTTTGGTTGGCTTGGTCATTCTCGTACTCCACAAAATCGTCAAAAAGACTCGGCCACGCCTCGTTGTCGTCGTAACAACTCAAATCGTCGCCCACCGCTTCCGCGAAATTCAAAAACATATTCCACGTGTCGCGGGGGATCCCCCGAACCGACTGGTGGCTCTCGAGGAACGCCAGCCATCGCGCGAGGATCGGAGGCTCCCGGATCGTGAACACCAGCCGCCACAGCACCACCGCCATGTCCGTGGGGAGGATCCGCTGGCCGGCGGCCGAATCCAATCCGAACCGGAACGTAAACCTAACGCAAAATATCAAGTAACGAAATTTGCAACTTGCTAAATCTATTGACCTGTACAAATCCTTGAACTGCTCCACGTCCTGGCCCACCTCGGCGACGAGCTCCGGCAGCCGGCCTTGAATCCCTTTCACCGAATCGGCCCGCATGGCCTTCAACCCCGTCACAAACTCCGACCTGGTGAACCGACACATCTGTTCGGCGTTGAGCTTCCACGCCAGCACCAAAATCCGGAAATCGTCGGGGGAGATCTGCAGGTCTCTGCACAGCTGCTCGATGCCCTCTGCGAGGATGCTTTCCTCCGCGTTGTCTTTATACTGGTCGAAAAGCGCGTTCAGTTTCGCGTCGGAGGGTTTACTATCGGTGAGCCCCATCGCCGGCGCCGATTTCGAGTGGGGTTTGCGAGGGTAGAAACGGTTGTTGGCGGGTTCCGGGAGGGCTGTTAGATGGTTGCCGTTGCTCAGGATGGTCTCGGTTGGGGCCGAGGAGGCTGGCACGTGACTCGGAGCCGGATACAGCTGAGCTTCGGGCATTTCTGCAATCAAAAGTGCACTGCGTGACCGCCAAGATGGGTGAGCAAGGTGGAACGGAAACGGGGTCAGAGCTGGTTTCATTTTTATCGCGGATTTATTTGTCAAAGAGTGGAATTACGAACCTTAGAAGCCGGTCGACAAGACTAACGGAACAGGTAGTTGGCATCCTGATCTCTAATTTCGCAAAAAATTCCTTCTTGGTAATTAAATTAAAAAGATCATCATAAAATAAAATTGCATAATAATGGATTTTTTTATTTTTCTGACACAAAAAATCTTGTGCCGAGAAAATATTAGCACCTAATCTAAAACACAATGTTCAAATGGAATAGCATGGTCTAATGAAACAAATCAACAAAATTTTTGCAAAAAAATAATTAATTAAACGTAAAATACTAAAAGTATAGAAAAACATGTAAAAATTCTACAAATGCTGTTTAAATTATCAGATAATAGGTATAAGCGACACAAACTAATTAACTGCATTGTTTACAATTTACTTATCTCAGAGCGTTATTTATTATTTACAACAAACCAAAATATTGCAAAGAAATCATTTCCTGTTTACCAAACAGCATTTTTTCATTTGTAGGAAATCGGAATTGTACTTAAAAGGTAACGAGTTTGAGGCTGTTTGCCAGATGTTCGCCACAGATGAGGCATTAAATTTTACGATGCAAGTCGCAATAAAAGAAATCGTAAGATTATGGTCAAATAGTAACATGTATGACATGTGTCTCCAACAAAAGAGAAACAATTCGTCAAGATGTTCCCTTTTTTGTGCTGTTTTGAGCCAAAGAGATGATAATAAGCCTTGTATGCTATCCCCCTACCCACCTTCTTTACGGCAATTGGGCGAGTTGTCCAGGGCCGTACTGTTGGGCTCCTTGAAGCACGCCAAGCAATTGCCCATTGGAAGGGCCCAAACGAAACCTCGCGAGGATTTTCAAGAAACACTCTTGCATTGCCTATGCTGACTTTATCATCAAATCCTACAAAAAAAATTGAAATCATGGAAAATCACCACTTGCGAACAACTACTAACGTAAGAAACTTCTATTCTACCACTATTTACGCGACCAATTCACAAATTTCGACGAGTTTTTCGACGGAATTTTCATTATGACACTAGGCGAACTTTGGGTGGAATAATTGTCATTTTTGACGGCGATTGAACTGATGGGGGCACACGCGCACTTGTCACAGGCATACAATTGAATTGATGGGGGCCGCAAGAGTGTCCAAGGGGCTAAAGATTTGATCCTGCAGGGGGTAAACTATCACAATACATCTGTTGATTTGACAGATGCAGCTGATTCGTAGCTACATTCACGCCATCTCGGTTGTCAAAATAATTTAGATCAATGCGACCTCTACCCAACTTTTTAAATAAATATAGACTACACTTTTTAAAGATGATCAAAAATAAAAATCGGAGAATATTCTGTATGTAAATCAAAAACAACAGAATTTTTTAAGCAAATCAGTCAACAATTATGTTAACTGTATTACCGACATTAGTGAAGTTAGGTTTGAACACGGGAATCCCAAAATAAAATTTATTCAAAAGTAAAATCATCAGTACAAAAATTAATTAGAATAGGTTCTTAACATGGAAAAAATTCAACCGCAGCTTAAGTAACAATCTTTAACTGGGAAAACGTCATGGCGATCCTCTCCTAAATTATACATTTTCAAAACGTAGCCCATTTCCATATTATTCAAGTCCCACAGACGTAGCCTCAACGGTTCATCTGAATCACTACAATAACATTATTTTTTGCCAATCACCCAACTATTAAACTTACACAACTAAAGCTTTAAATGTCTTTAAATTCATACAAGTCTCGAAAAATGCTTGAGAGGCTTCTTTTGAAGTATCTTTCTTCTCCTGACACCCTTCTAATATACATTCAACTGCCTACGACAAAACTGTCAATAAAAAAATAGTCGGGAACAATGACTAACTTGGAATGGCACATAAAGAAGATCTTCCTTCATTTGTCTCAGATCTTTCAATTTTTTCTCTCTTTTACAACCAAAATCCACGAAAAAAACCTCGATTATGTCATTTTCACAGAAACCAACGCAAATCCCCCTAAACCATTCCGAGTTTTCTTTGACTAAAACAACTTCTCCAAGCCCTGGATCTAATTTAAAGGTTTCGTAAGTGTGGACTTTATTGTTTGAATTCATCGTTTCCCTCAATCTCTGGAAGTTTGAATCTGAAATGCACAACTTATGACTTGAAGTTAGCCACAAGTAAACTCACTAAAATTGGACGACTTGCACGGGTTGGTAATGATATGAGCATAGAAATTGCACGTATTTATGTACCCTGTGATCACAACATCGATATATTGGCCTTTTGAAGGCAAAGGTGTCGCACTGAGAGCTTGATTCATTGTCAAAATTTTATCTGTAGTAACGCCATCTTCCGACAAAAATCCATGTTCCAGTTTACATCGCGCACCCTTAAAACAGCGACCTGAAGAATTTGTAAAGGGGCAAAGTCTTGCTTCATCTTTCGCGTCATATCCACTTATGGCCTCATTAATATTTTCATATTCTTCAAAGTCGTCATCTTCTAAAGCTTCTATTCCGTCTGAAATATCGACCTCGACAGCAAGATCGGTTTCTACCAAAATCTGACCCAAGGTTTTCTTCCCGAATTTCTCCTCATTCAACAAATCAACCCCATACGAATTTCCCTCCTTGTAAACAAAAATCGTCACGAATTCAGTTTTCTCTTCCATTTCACTCATTTGTTCCAACGCTTCAATACTCGATTGAGGCCACCTGTTTGAGTCCGGTGAATAAATCGCAGAAAAGTGACATCTAATTGCCATTCTCGGAAACATAGAGTAGAATTCAGTCATTGGAAGTAGTATCTCATATTGGAAAAACCACGTCTCTCCGAAATCAATCAACTGGATGCAAATGTTCGGCGTCTCATCCTCCATCTACAATTTATTTGTTACACAATAAAAACAAGAAAAATTCATTAAACACACCAGCCAATCAAGCACTTCGACTCGGTACCATTTACGCTTATCGGGCAAAAACGCAAAACAAAAATTGCCCAAGTGTGTCCTCGCTTCGGCCTTTGATTTATATTTGTTGACAACCCACTGATGTTGGTTATTCATATCCTCATTCAAGCTATTTTGAAGCCTGAAACTCACCAAGTGTTTAGTCTGCGGTCCGCGTCGAGTACTTACAATTCAAACAACTCTTGATTCGTGTGGACATAAAACTCCGAGGGCGAAACAATATAACTGAAAACACACTTTTGACCCACTTGCAACTCGTCTTCAAGAATATCGAAAATTGCGATTTTTTCTCGAAATTTTTTTTCAGAATTACGTGATGGTGAGGTGACTGTCGTCCACTGAAGTTCTCGTTTTATGCCTTTTTTTTCAAATTTTTTCTGTGCTTCGCGACGCCGGTCATATACCGACATTTCCAGAAGTTTGGTAAGAGCGGAATATTCAGTTTCAGCGTCTTCGTGGGTTAGCTGGAGTGGAGACAACTCTATAGGCTCCTCCTTGATTCTTACAGTTTTCTTCTTTTTCGCACCAGTTTTAGGCTGATCTAACTCTGAATTGTTTGCAACGTTATTTGTATTGAATTCTATTGGCCTATCAGTGTCATAATGGGACTCAAGAGAGTTGGAATTTTCACTTCCTGAAGCGTTTTGATCTGAATCTGGATTTTTGGCAGCAACATAAAAAGGGTTAAATTTCCTGTGATCGTTCAAAACTTTATTTTTTACGTAAACAGGCTGGTCCACAAGTGTTTCTGCCTCTGAACTGACATTATCAAAATCTTCGGAGAATTTGATAAGGGAGGGATAATCAGTTTTGGCGTTTTTTTGAACTGGAGGCTCCTCTTTGCCTCCAAAAGTTGTCTTCCTTTTTGCACCAGTTTCACACTGCTCTAACACAGAATTGTTTGCAACGTTATCTGCCCTATCTGTGACATTTTCAGGTTCTGGAGAGGTGGAAGATTCACTTTCTGAAACTGTTTTTTTAGATGCAACATCAAGAAGATTAAATTTTCCGTAATTGTCCAAATTTTCATTTTTCACGTAAACGGGTTGGCTCACAAGCGTTTCTGCATCTGAACTAACATCAGAACCAACCCCTGGTGACAAACTGTCGTCTCGTTCAGCAATTTCTGCCTTTAAATTATGAAAAAACGAAGAAATTGCACATTCTTTTGAATCGCTTAAAAGTGCTGAAGTGAATGGATTACAAGCATCTCTTTCAGGTTCTACACTACGCTCTAAGTTAGAGACTTTAGTCGCTAAACCATCAGCTAAATTCTCAACAGTGCTAAGAATCCTAATGTAATGTGGTAACAGTGTAACGATTTCAAGCGAAATTGTGTATTTTTTGGTGTTTGGACCACTTGCGTAGTCACAACTGGTAAAATCATTCATAGCTTGCGACAACTAAAAAGTTTTCATTCAAAATAAGCAAAGTTAGGTGAAATTACTTACGATATCGTCAATTTTGTCCAAACTTGTCTTTATGGATGTCTTGTAAGAACTAAGAGCTTTGTGCAAATTGTAAAATTCGGTGTCCATTGTGTTTTTTGCAAAAATGATTCTCAAAAGGAAATACTTTTTGCTTTTAGAGAAAAAAATTTAAAGGCCACATAACCTTTTTTTGGCGTCACTGTCAAATTAAAATGTCAATTGACTGTCAAAGAACTCGGCCACATGATTGGTTGACAAAGACCGGGAAACTTAAAATGATAAAAGTTGAAATGTTTATTAGAAATCTAATAAATACAATTAAAAGCCACAATAAAAATGTAATACATGCGCCAGTCTTGATCCCAAAGGAATGCCAATTAATTCTGCAAGACAGCATCAGCCTTTTGTAAAATATCTTTTGATTCATCTTCAGATTTGTTAATTAGACTTAGGATAAACTCCTCTGATTCACTTTTAGAAGTACTGGGTCGTTCCTTATCGTTTAAGAACGCAAACAGCACACTTTCTTCTTCGTACTTGGAGTAATTTGCGTGAGTTTGAGTATATGGCAACGAAGACGAATGAGTTAAAATCGGTTCAGGGGATATCTCAAAATTTTTGATAATGGAAGTGACAATAGGGCTCTCGTCCATGCTGGGCAACTTGACGTACTTATCAATTGGCACTTCGTTGATGATAGTATCGTTGGAACTATCGTTTTCTGGAGGTGGTTCAGTCTTTGGAGTGCGTTTACGTTTGCGCGATTGTTTTTTCGATTGAGTGTGAAAGCTTAAATTATTCTGGGAAGCCCACTCCGATACTTTGGTCTCGTAAGAGTCGATTTCCTCCTCAGTGGGTTTTTCAAACGACTCGCAAAATTCCCAAGTCAGTCTCATCCACCAATACCGGTAATTATCATCAAATCGTTCAAAATTCCGGTTGTCAGCCCTGGAAAAGTGCGTTGAAAATACAGTCAAAACACAAGTGTTGACTCACTCGTAGAAATCGTTCAATTTGCCGACGCAGCCAGGATTGGCCCAGTTCAACATGTTCCATTGCAATTTTTGATCAGGATGTGTCTGAAAAATTAATAGATGGTTGTGGTTTTTGGATTGTTTCAGACGTACGTAAAAACTCCGAGTTGTGAGCCCCACATTGAATCTCCCATTCAGTCTTTTAATAATTCGTTTGAGCGCGAGTTGGTCCAAATCTTCAACAACGACGGAGAAAAACTCATTGTCGAGTAGACTCTCGCATAGTTTCAAACAGTCATGTGTTACAAGTAAAGCTGTTTTGTTATTGCTCTCGTAATTATCATCAGAGTCTACAAACACCGCTTGAGTGGTTGTAACAAAATCGCAAATTCTTACTTTTCGAAGTTACTTGAATGACGACAAAACCGGCGTGATTTTCGAGGTGATAGTGCCAATAACAACTCGATTCTCTACTACAAATAACCAAAACAACAGCGGAATTTGGTGCAATAGCTCCAAGAAACGCTGCAATCTGCAAACTGAAATTCATCCCCGATTGCTGATTCAGAATCGACCCTTTAATCTACAAGTGCACCAATAAGCCCCAAGTTGGGGACAAGAGCCACCCTCACCCCTTTCCGGTAGTTGTGATAAAGAAACTCAATTGCCATTATGTGGAAATTTTTTAAAAGTTTGGAAACTTCAAGTGGAATTGAAACATTATCGTCGCCCTTTTTGGATAAAATCCACGGCTTGTTGAGTGCGGAAGGCTACAATGCAGCGGTTTAAGCCACAAGCGACAAAAAATGTCAACATCTACATTTTTAACGTAGAACATTTTTAAGATAAAATTTCAGTAAATCTCGACATGATATAAAAAGTCATTCCTATAATGTACAAAACTTTGAGACACAGAATCGACACAAACATAGAAAAACTCGTTTTATCACTTTCATCATTTAAAAAATCGTACAATTCAAGCATTTTTTTCAAATACAAATGACATAACCTCAACTAGTGACAACTGAAATCCCTAAATTCGGGCGCAAATTTCAAAAAGTGTTAAACTTAGTCTTGAGAGACGTCAGAATGTCTGTAATTATAGCATGAATTTCACGAGCGTACGCCTGGAATAAAATTTATAATCGCATTTGTGTAATTTTTCAAAATTACTCTAGAGATTTTTGAAACGACTTCTGTAGCCCTTGGTCCGAAGTCTGCAATAAAGTTGATTACTAAAATAGGCTTGGAACTCGTCACTGATATTATCCATTCGTCAATTCTCTGTTCCGAGGGTTCCTTAAGATCCCTCACATACTTAAAGGAAGAATTGTTTCGAGAAAATTTACTTGCTAAATCTTCCAAAAAGTTCTTTCTGGCGTCATCGTTGTTTAAATAATCTCTTGAAAACTGAAAATATTTGTCCGACTTGTACGACACGTTTGTGGGGGAAAATAGAAAACAAATAGCTTTTATATGACTTTTGTGTTCCATAAAGTAGTCTTTGAAAGTTTTAGCTTCTTCTGTGTTCTCCGAAAATCTCTAAAACTTCAAGTAAAGTACAAAACCTACAACTGGGGCTCAGGTACCCCAAAATCATACAAAACATTATGTCCCTTAGGAGTTACATGGTCAGATTCGTCAAAATTACCGGTATTGTTAATCCAATTCGAATAAATTGCCTATAAAAAATCCTTAGAATCGGCAGAATTGTGCCATGTTTTTACCCAAGTCGTGGACAAGTAATACCCATCGGGGTTCAATAACGGTATAAAATGAAAATTAAACTCTTCCAAAATTTTTGTGGTCCCTTTAAGGTCCGAAAAAAACAGATGCATCATATAAATCGAGGTATAGACACTGGTCCAGTCTTTGGCCTGTATTCCAGACACTATAATCACCATGGGTTTAGGATCCCCCTTCTTCTTGAGACAGATTTCATAAATAGGGTTTGCGAGATATTCAGTTTCACTAATCGCATCTATTGAAAAGAGAATATCCCGATGAGTGGCAAAATTGTTCAAATATTCGTCCAGCTTGAAAAATACAATAAAAATATTATTGATTTGTTAATTTGAAAATTGGAAGTTACTTCATCAAAGGTGTAATACTTGTCAGGTGGTGAAGTTGAAAGTCTTTTTGATTTAGTGGGGTGCGAGGCCCCCTGCGCGTCTTGAAATAAATAGACATATTGGGGCGTTTTTTTACCAACTTGAATGATAAGAATCGGGGTTAAAATTGCAAATGTTGCCAAGAATGCGATGAGAAATGTGTAAAAACAACGTTCGGTTAAAAATTGCATTTTTGACAATGATTGATGTCACTAAACCACAGCCTTCAAACGTCTTTATTATTTTATTAGATTTTGTAAAAAATATTCACAACGGGAAAACAGCTGTTTTCGGGAGCGTATACAAAAAAAAAATTAGGTATTCTCCGAGTAAATACATACAATAAAATAAATTTTTTAATAAAATGGACAAAAATGCGGATAATTTTTGAGTTGATAAAATTATTTTTTATACATGAAAACACGGATTCAAAAGTTTAATCTTTTGTATTAAAAATGTCTATAAAAATTAATAATGTTTGTTTTAATGTCTATAAAATTAAAGTTTAGAAAGAAACATCTCAGCAAATCGTCTGTAACCAAATTATCTCGGTCCGAATTTGTATTTAATTTATTCAGAAGCCACTCAAAAACTTAATTCACAAAAGTATAGTTTGTTACCTACATCTACAATCGTAGAATCTAACCCTTTCAAATATCAAGCTTGGATAATGTCACGTCTTGCGTGATTGGGGGTTGTTCATCAGAGGGTGAGTATTTCCTAATTTGTTTTAAATTAAAAGTATAAATGCTCTAGCAGAATACGTGGCTAAAATATTCTCTACTATGAGGAAGATAGATATTTCCTTTAGTTCGATAGTAAATCTCAAGGTCAAATGATAAAACGTGGCCTGCTAGAAGAAGAATCTTGCCACGTAGGTACTGGTTTAACGTGTACAAAATGGTGTAAATCCGGGGACGCGCGTACATCTAAAAACTTTCTTACCTAAAACCGTTCAACACTAAAAAGTTTCAAACTAAAATGGGTCACACCTAAAATAATTCAATACTATAACCGTTCATTATTAAAAACGTTCAGCATTATAACAATTCACAATTAAAAGCGAATTTTACTAAAATAATTCATTTTAAAAAAACTATATACCAAAACGTTGCAAAGCTAAAAACGGAAATCACTATAACCTTTCATCACTATAATTGGTCATAACTATAACTGGTCAAACTACAATAATAGTTTAAGCAGCAACTCACAGATGTCGCCGTAGTTAGTAGTGTTGTTTGGAATGCGTGCATAATACCGAAATTTCGAAATACCGAATTCCATAATACCGACAATTTGTTGTAATATAGCAACACTGAATCACTGGATCAGTGTATTATTATTATTATTATACCTACAGGTGCGCCAGAACTCGCGCCCCAGAGAAAAATGCCATATAAGGTAAGATGGAAAAAATGTTAAAAAAATTCTATCTAGAAAAATTTCGAGGTTATGACAGTATAAATTTTGCAATTTGACTCTGTTTCTGTTGAAAAAATAATTTTCCAAGTTTTTTTGCTACAGGCTATTAGAAGAGGAAACAAGGAAGCTATAGGCTAAATTGTAACTCTGTTCAATATTATTTGTGGCTTTTATTGGCAAAATTTTTGTACCTTTACTAAATAATTGTAAAAAAAACATATACAAAATCATCAGTATCATTAAATAGACAGAAAAATGTCAAATGTCAAAAAATAAATGTCAAAATTTTTTGACAGATAGAATGTAGGTATAGGGAAAGCTGATAAAAACTCCCTTAAAATAACCCGATTGATCCAAAAACGTAGTAAAAAATATAGCTTTTCATTTAAAATAAGAAAGTTGAGACCGACTTCCGGTATAACTGGAAGTGCCGCCATCTTGAAAATATTTTCATTTAGGAGGACTTAATGGTTTATGGCTATGTACCAATTTTCAAATAAATACGATTGTTCCAACTCCCAAAGTGGGGTTTAGGCGGAACATCCTGTATATATATACAGTCGAACAAAATGAAAATGACGCCTCAATCAACCAGCCTCTGCTGGATGCCGACCCTTCTAACCGCAGGGTCGTAAATTATCGGATTTGCAAACTTGACGTAGTGTCAAGACAAATTCCTTTACAGGTTTACAGAAAACGAAATGAAAATTTAAATCAGAATTAAACTAATTCGAATTAAGTTGCCATTTATTTTGCATTGACAAAGGTCAAGTTAAATGAAAATGTAATTTTTTGAATGAAAAATTTAACAAACCTTTTCTTGAAGAAAATTGTGCATTAATTAAACATTGACGAAAAAACAAATCATTATTTTATAATTTTTTTAACTGTTTTTCAAAATAAAATTATTTTATAAATCAATTAAAATACAAAGTGATCCACAATGACTGAATATGTTGGCAATCCTGACAGTTTATCAAAAAAATATATTACATTAATAATAATTTGTTTTCTTGTAAATTGTGTATTTATAAAAGTAAACATTTTTATTTAATTTAAAAGTATTACAATTATCAAAAAATAAYTTTTGTAGCAGAACTAAAATATTTGAAATAATTTTACCGTTTTTTTCTTGGTATAATTAAATAAATAATTTTGATTTGTTTTCAATAACAAATACAAAACTAATAGAAAACTTAMGGCCGGTTTACAGAACGTGTTAATCGCAATTATATTTTAATTRGCGATTAACTCGACGTTTGTCAATGCAAAATAAATGGCAACTTAATTCGAATTAGTTTAATTCTGAATTAAATTTTCATTTCGCTTTCTGTAAACCGGTTCCTAAAGGAATTTATCTTGAAACTACGTCAAATTTGCAATRCGATAATTTACGACCCTGCCTGCTTGCGGTTAGAAGGGTCGGGCAACCAGCAGGGGCTTTTTTATTGAGGCGTCATTTTCATTTTGTTCGACTGTACATATATTGTAGTATTATAAATAGTTATWATTTTTTTAAGTATTTGTAATGATATTYAAAAATGTCTATTTATTTGAGTTTTAAATTAAGTTATTGTTTAGAATATTTTTATAAGGCAGGAATCTATCTGTTTAATTTATTTTGTTCTAATAATTAATTTTTGTTTACTTGTAGTATACTTTTTGTGATAGGAATTCAGATAAATTATACTCTTATGAACAGTAGTCAAAGCTTTTTGACACTTTGAGCTGGATAAGRGTTGTTACAACGGGAAATGTGTGTTTCATATATTGTCTAATTGTGAAAGAATTACTTTGTTTGAATAATAAAAGAACGAAATAATTTGTAGTAACTCTGAACATTTATTTTAACGATCTACTAAGTAGTTGTTCGGTTGTTCAAAAGAACAATCAAATGCCSTATATTGTATTCAGTACTTACTATTGCAGGAAAAYAACAAATATTTTTTTAATTTTCTGATTACAACGCTATATTAAATAATCGAAGTATYTATATCTACTTTATATCTCCAGTTAAACGAACCGTCGAATAAATGTTTCTATTTCCACTCAGTTTTTGAGGAAACGACTGATCAAGTGAGAGAATTAAAGAAAAATGWCCTGTTTTGTGGTTAGATTGCCAGTTTACACCTTTTGAAACTTTCTTCGATTAAAAAAATAGAAATGACTTGAAATGGGGTTTCTACTTTTATTCGCGGTGGCAGACTCAGTGTTGCTATATTACAACAAATTGTCTTGTCAAATAAAAACAAATTTTGTTATTTCGGTATTATGGAATTCGGTATTTCGAAATTTCGGTATTATGCARACATTCCAAACAACACTACTAATTACGGCGACATCTGTGAGTTGCTGRTTAAACTATTATTTTAGTTTGACCAGTTATAGTRATGACCAATTATAGTGATGAAAGGTTATAGTGATCTCCGTTTTTAGCTTTGCAACGTTTTGGAATATAGTTTTTTATAAATGAATTATTTTAGTAAAATTTGTTTTTAATTGTGAATTGTTATAATGCTGAATGTTTTTAAGAATGAACGATTATAGCATTGAATTATGTTAGGAGTGACCCATTTTAGTTTGCAACTTTTTAGTTTTGAATGGTTTTAGGGACGCACTATTTTAGTGTTGCCACGGACCTCGTAAATCCCCCAACTATAACCAAGTTTTAGTATGTTTACTGTTTTCAGTGTTTTTAATTTGATTTTTTGATGTGTGTTTTCTAAATCAAAGTGGTGAAGTAATACCTATAACGATAAAGTAGATAAAATATGGAGATTGAAAGGTTTTTCGATCGTTTAACCAATACCCTTTTTGAGAAAATTTTGAAAGAAACCGATGGAATTAGATGTAAACTGGATCGATTAGAAAACAAACTTGAAGAACAAAAAAATCAATTTCAACAAAATCTTAGCAGTTTACGACATGAGTTGGAAAATTGCATGGAGAAAAATGAGCCAAAGGCCCAACTCCAAACAAATAAAACCGGTAAATATTTTATTTTTTCAACCCATTTACTTCTTTACACACATTTTATTTATTTTAGAAACGGAAAATGTAGATATCAACTTAAGTTGTTTAAAACCGAATCAAATATCTCTAGATTATATAAAATCGCTGTTGAAGTACAATTTAGTGGCTGAAGTTGGACCTCGCCACGAATTAATTTTTGTAATAGAAGTCAAAGTCAATGGAAAACAATACTACGGAACCGACAATTCCAAAAAACGAGCAAAACATAATGCAGCTGAAAACGTTTTAAAGTCATTAATAAGTGATCAACAAAAAAATTTGAGGACAAATTTAAATGATGACAATTTGGCACTCAGGGATGGTAAATCACTGATATTAATGAAAAGGCAAAGTTTTTAATGCTTTTACAGTTTTAGTTACAGAAAATGTCGATATAAATATCAACTTATTGAAAACCCAGCAATTGCCTCTTGAGTACTTAAAATCTGTGCTGAAATATAATCTGGTTGAAGAGATTGGGTCTTTACAGAAACTCACTTACAGAATGGCTGTTCAAGTTCAAATAAAAAACTTTACTTTGGTATAGGCAACACGCAAGCGAATGCAAAACTTAAAGTAGCCGAGGAAGTTTTTAAAAAATTAATGAGCGAAGCAAATGAAATTAAACTAAAAGAAGGTAGTAAGACTAATAAAAGTAAATAAAATCATTTTCGTTTTTTCAGAACTTGAAAATGTACAAGTCGATCTAAAAAACAGACAAATTTGTGCGAATTATTTAAAGTCTTTCTTAAAATACACTCTTGTTCAAGACGCTCCTTTTTTCAAAATGGCGGTCAAAGTCAATGATAAAGTTTATTACGGGGAAGGTGAATCCAAAACAAAAGCTCGAAATGACGTAACGGAGAATGTCTTAAAGTCGTTAACTGGCCAATCGAAAGATTCTGATTTTTCTAAAGCTGTTTTTTTTCTCAACAAACTGTATCCCAATGCTGTGTACACCTGCACGGAACTGACTAACGTCGTACCATCTCAATTTAAAGTCACCATAAGGGTTGGCGAAGAGAAATTTACGGCAATTGGTAAAAAATTGTAGTATTTTATCGCATTCGACTTTGACTCGTGTTTTAGACCCGAGCAAGAAAAAAGCCAAAAAGGCGGCGACGTTTTCGGCTCTTACAGGACTCCAAAACAGTCCAAAACCCGAAATAGGTGTCTCTGGAAAAGCCGATTTTCTTCGCAAGTGAGTTGTATACTTCATTTTTACACTCTTAAAGGATTTTTTTACAGAATAGTTGAAGACAAGATTGAAAAATTATTAGTCAACGATTCAGAGCATTGGAAACGGAAAGTCACTTCCGGAATTGTGATGACAAGAAAGGGAAATGTTTTGGACTATTGTGTGATTGCAGTCGCGACGGGGACTCGATGCATTTCGGGGAAAAACTTGAGCTACAGTGGTGCCAACTTGAACGACATGCATGCCGAAATTCTTTCGCGGCGGTGTTTGATCAAGTATTTTTATGACGAATTGGAACATTGCCTTGAAGGAAAAGATTCGATTTTTATGCAAAATGGACGAAAATTTACACTAAAAGATGGAATTGAGTTCCATCTTTACGTAAATACGACACCGTGTGGTGATGCTAGGGTGTTTAGCCCCGATATTGGAAATACAAGCCCTAAAAAAAATTACGGACTTTTGCGGACAAAAATTGAAGCTGGTGAAGGGACACATCCGACGAAAAACAAAACTTTTGCTATACAAACTGTTGAAAAAATTTCTCAGGGCCAGAGACTCTTGACAATGTCTTGCTCTGATAAAATTTGCAGATGGAACGTTTTAGGGCTCCAAGGGGGCCTTTTGGCAAATTTTCTGGAGCCGATTTACCTACAATCGATCATTTTGGGAAATGTTATACATGAATCGCATTTACAGAGGTACCAATAACTCAAAAAAACATCAGATTTTTGTAAATTTTAACTAATTTTAGAGCACTTTACGGCCGGATCAAAGACACCCTTCAAACCCTTCCGTCTCGCTACCGTTTAAATATCCCTTCAATGTTTTTTTTACCATCAACAGACCCAAAAGTTACTAATGGTCCAAGTTTTGCAATCACGTGGTCTCGATATGACCGAAGTTACGAAATCATTAATACTAGAACCGGACAAACAGATTTGGGGCCGTCGAGATTTTCAAAACAGGAGTTATTTAAACGGTTTGTTAATCTAAGTGAGAAAATTTGGGGTCAAAGTCAACAAATACTGTACATCAAGGCGAAATATGCCGATTTAGAATACAATGTAATGAAGAAATAACAAAAATAATGGTTTTACATTTTTTTATTTTTAGACGGCGAAAAAAATTCTAAATGAAGCTTTTGAGAACGCAGGTTTGGGAAATTGGATTTCAAAACCTGTAAAACAAGACATGTTCACTTTGTGACATATCACAAAACGATTGTTTTACTTTTTATTTTATTTTTACAAAAACAGTTTTAATAAAATATATTTTTTAAAAACAAATTTGTTTTTATTTCTTGCATTAAGTTAACAAGAAAGTTCAGAAAATTGTTTTGAATAACTGTAACAAAACAAAAATAATGTAACTGCTGCAACCAATAATACACTACTGCATGTCAAATTACATACTACATGCAATAAGCAAATGTTTTTTGATTTTAAATAATTTAAAGAGTGTAATAATTGCATTTTTGGCTAATTTCAATTGTTTTTTGATACACAGACTAGCAATAGAAAATACATAAAAATAGAAAAAAAATTAACAGAAAACTTTTTGTATTTTGACAAATCTGTCATTGTTTCATTGTTGTGTTTTGTTGCCAAAAGAGAACGTCATTTGAAAAATTCATCGTAAATTTCGTAAAGAATTTTCTGTTGAAAAGTGAACCTGGACCGCGGTGTCATACACGAGGTAGTATTTCGCAAAATTATCAAACCCGAATCAATAACAAACAACCGGATTTTTAGCAAAAGTTGCGATAGGAGGACTATTTGAACACAAGTTATTAATGGAATAAAATTAGTGAATGCGTGCGCACGGAGCCGGCCAGCTGAGAACAGATCAAATTTAGGGTACATACGTAAGAGTGTACTTCAATATTAGAACCCAACACAATTTTTGACTGCTTTGGGGCCCTTTTGCAACCATGGCGCACTGTATGCGAGTTTTGCATCGCCAGGTGAGTAAATTCACTCCATGTACCAAAAAAAATGAGCCCCAAACCCCTGTTGTTCCGACCTCACGAGTCACGTGAGAAAATGTAACCCTGCTTGTGCCCCTTTGACAAAATAAAATCGATCAAGGTTTCCCCAAAGTTCAACAGTTTTTCTGATTGCTTTCAGGGGGGCAAGGCCAGCAGTGTTTTGCTGACCGAAATCCAAATAAGATGCTTCCATATATCTCCACTGGCTGCGGCCGCTTCCAAAGTGGCAATGAGCAAATTCGACAAGGATGGACTCCCCTATGATAAACTTATGAAAAATCTCGAAATTGTTAAAAAGAGGTTAAACCGGCCTCTGAGCCTTTCGGAAAAAGTACTCTATTCCCATCTGGACGACCCACAAAATCAGGTATTGACATGTGCATTTTAGAGGTTATGACTTTTGACTGGCTTTTAAAAATAAAACGTGTTAATTTATTTGTATGCATAAGAAATAAAAAGACGCGTTTCGCAAATTTGGGAGGAAATGCAAGGTTTTGATGCAGTTGTTATGTAACCGATCGGCAAAAAGTGGGGTTAGGTGATGACTTTTTGACATTGAAGTAGTGATAACAATAATTTACGATAAAGGGGCTTTGTGACACTCTGGAATCCGTATTGTTATATTGCTGGAAAAAATCTTGTTTGAGGAGGATTCAAAAAACGCTACTCAAATATTTTTATTTAATTAATATTATTTTATTTTTAACTCTTGTTCCAAGAATATACAAACAGCTGAATTTTTTTCTCGAGACAAAAATAAGGCACATAAATTACACGAATCCTGAACTACTAATGTAAAGTCCTGTTGTCACTAATAGTTATTTTTTGGTCCGAACAATTCTAAATTGTTTCAAAAGTTCAAAAAAAAATAATTCAAAAACAGTTTGCGCTAGGGAAATTACATGTATCCAGGTTGGCAACACAATGTCCAAATCGAAGTGACCCAGAAAGACTGAGTCTGTTGGTGACAGATTTGAAAGTATTTTTATTCAATCCTCTATGTTAAAATTGAATTTTATCTACTCTTTTCTTCATGTTAAAATGAAATTTTATCGTCTAGATGATAAAAAATACATCCATTGTTGTACAGTGCGATCAAAAAGTCTTTCTATCAAATATGCGTCCTAATTGAGGACGTATGTTGCATGACAGTTCGTATGTTAACTAAGATTATTTTATAAAAATTAAAACATTGAGCTAATTAAATTGAATTATTTTATGAAATGTCTCAAAACATCCTAAAATGAGATTTTGTTGGTGTTTAGTCATAAAAATCGTTCACCCCGGTTTCCTGTCATAATTTACATAAAAATTATTTTGACACATTTCATTTGTCATTGTGACATTTTATTTTCCACAGACATACGTTTTAAATTTCTACGCTTGCTTGATAGACAGACTTTTTGATCTCACTGTACATCTGCGGTTGTTAGTTGCTAACGATCTTTGACATTAGATTTCACTGTTGAATTTTACTTTGACATTTATAAATATCGACCAAATTGACTACAAATTTAGTGAGGATTGAATAAAATTTTATATTGTACACGACGATAAAATTGAATTTTATCGTCTTGTATAATAAATAACTATTGTTAATAATATGAAACACTGCAACCGGTACGGTTTTACTTGACACATACTTGACGTACAACCCCTCAAGATTGTTGAATTGTTGTTAATCAAAAGCGTACTCCAATGGTAACCTTTAAAAATTGCAATGGCAATCAGGATTGCCAACAGATTCATTTATTGTAGATTAACTCCAAATTAAAAAAAATATTCAATACATCAAATATTTGCAATGAGATCAAACCGTTTGTCATTTAAAAAATGTCAACCACTAACCAATATTGTCAACATTTGAAAATTTTTTGATGTCCTAGTGCCTTGGGCATCAATAAGGCTGTTTCTGAATGATTATGACGAATACAAAATCACTAAAATAACAAAAATTAAATCTTGTTTGCCAAATTTTGAGATTATTGCTGAAGGAAAAAAACCGTCTCAAAGTTAGGCTTATGTAATAACACGAAAACATAACTCTCTGTTCGATATTCTAGTGATAAGGAGTTCGATGGGTTGGATTTTTTTAATGGAATTTTTCTGATCAAGGTTTAAATTTATAAAACAATTTAATCTATTTGTCGTCCGGATTTAGACGATTTGAGACGTATCAAAGAAATTTTTGTTCCGCAATATGAAAATATTGAAAATTGGTGTGTTTTAAATTTGTATTATTTTTAGACATTGGAGCCATGACACGAACTCAGAGTTTCATATTTACATGTTTATTTTTAGCCCTCAGCATTTGTTTATGCACAAAAATACAACTTATTGCACTTTCGGTGCAAAATACCAAATGTTGAGTTGTGTTTATCAATTCCAGTTGTGATAAAGGCGATCGAAGTACGCTCATATTTATAAATAAATACACGTGAATTGAAATTTTAAGTGGCTAACAAATTATCTCGTATTAGAAACGAAAACATTTTTTTTCTTCCAGATAGAAATCATTTACGTTGGCTAAAAATACTTAAAACTTGAATTAATTTGATTCAGTAATAAATATGAGCAATTAAGTGTGTGCTGGAACACATGTACCTACGCCACTGTAAAAAAATAATTTGCTTATGAATTATGATTACCATAGATACGATACGGTTTCTATGACAATTTCATTTTTTTTATTGTTTTTTTCTATAGACGTAGAAACTAGGATTGATTACGGGGTGTAAATTTATGTTATTTATTTTCTAAGTTAATTTATATTAGCTTGGAGAATTTTTCACCGAAGACACACTTTTGTGCCCTATCAATTTAACTATACAAATTTTTATTTTCTGAGACTTCTTGAGACAAATAAGAAAAAACGTTTGATATTTTTTTTCAGGATATTGAGCGTGGAAAGTCTTATTTGCGATTACGTCCGGATCGCGTGGCCATGCAAGATGCCACGGCCCAAATGGCTATGTTACAATTCATCTCTAGTGGTTTGAAACGCGTCGCCGTCCCATCGACTATCCATTGTGATCACTTGATCGAAGCCCAAGTGGGGGGCACGAAAGACTTAGCCCGCGCTAAAGACCTCAACCAGGAAGTTTATAGTTTCCTAAGCAGCGCTGGTAACAAATACGGCGTCGGTTTCTGGAAACCGGGCTCCGGAATCATCCATCAAATCATCCTCGAAAACTACGCTTTTCCCGGCCTTCTCATGATCGGTACCGACTCGCACACCCCCAACGGCGGCGGTTTGGGTGGTTTATGCATCGGTGTGGGCGGCGCCGACGCTGTCGACGTCATGGCGAGCATCCCCTGGGAACTCAAATGTCCCAATGTGATCGGTGTCAAACTTACTGGAAAGCTGGGAGGCTGGACTTCCCCCAAGGACATCATTCTCAAAGTGGCCGATATTTTGACGGTCAAAGGTGGCACTGGTGCAATTGTTGAGTATTTCGGGCCTGGAGTTGACGCGATTTCGTGCACCGGAATGGCGACGATTTGTAATATGGGGGCCGAAATTGGGGCCACAACCTCGGTGTTCCCTTATAATAGTCGCATGAGTGACTATTTGAAGGCCACGAAAAGGGGCGAAATTGCCGGAGAGGCCGATAAAGTCAAAAGTGTGCTTTTGAATCCCGATGAAGGCTGCAAGTATGATCAGGTGATTGAGATTAATCTGGATACGCTTGAACCGCATGTCAATGGGCCGTTTACGCCCGATTTGGCTAATCCCATTAGTAAATTGGGAGATGCGGCGAAGAAAAATGGATGGCCGGTTGATATTAGAGTCGGTTTGATTGGGTCTTGTACTAATAGTTCGTATGAGGATATGGGGAGATGTGCGAGTATTGTTAAAGAGGCGATGAATCACGGATTGAAATCGAAGATTCCGTTTAATGTCACGCCTGGATCGGAACAGATTAGGGCCACGATCGAGAGGGACGGAATCGCGAAGACGTTGAGGGATTTCGGAGGCACGGTAAGTGAACTATTAAAATACAGAGTGATTTTTAAAAAACGGCAGGCATTGTAGAATTTGTATTTATGGCCCGATTTCAAAAGTTTAAAATAGTATATTATAAAACTAGTTTATAAGCAAGCCTTTAAAACACGCACGACGGGTTTAAGAGCACGACGCGTCAGTGGAGTGTTTTTAATGTCGTAAGTGTTTTAAAGGCGCATATAATTATTTTTTTTATTTATTATACCAGCTCATTTACGATCTTTTATGAGCTTTGAAAAAATGTGAATTTACACAATAAAATTATCAAAGGTTGTTTATGAATTGTTTTCGTAGAGACGGTTACTAGTTGTTAAGCACATTTTTTCACGTTGTAATTGGTCCAGACTAAAGTTCCTGTATTTGAAGAGTTGGGACACTGAACGTCAAACCGAGCCAATTTTGTATTACGTGGATAAGGTATATACGTTCTATCCTTTTTCATTAAAATTTTTCGTAGCAATTAATGTCAAGTTTATTTCAAAAATTATTTTAAGGTTATAAATTTTGTCCCATTGACAAATTGATATAATTTTACGTCAGATTTGGTCAGGGACGTAGGAGATAAATGGACATTGAGATGCGCCCAGACAGAAAAAAATTATGTGTACACAGTTGCTGTATACAGCATTTACCATGAGTAATAAAAACTTGATAGTGTCTCCAAAAAACGTTTTAAAACCTGAAACTTACAAAATTATTAGACTTGACCTGACCTGACGTAGATAAAATAAAACACTCCAAACAACGGAATAATAGTCCTTGATCATGTGAAAGCTTCACCTTCGTTTTTGATAAATTTTACTTTGGGGTCCACACTCCAGTTGGCTAGTTTTAAAGGGGTTCCACTACTCGTACACTGTCTCGTGCATTGGAGCAACGTGGCACAGAAAACAACTCACAGTTTCTTTATGTATTAACACAATAGGACCCAACAGAATTGGTCATAATGACAGAGGACAGATGCCAATTTTTATTTGACAACTTTATTTGTCCTTTTGTAAAATTTTACCGAAACGCCACTGATTTGTATCCAATTTTATTGTTATTGTACGTCAGCCGACGTATATAAAAGAAAAATTGGAAAACTGACATTCAGTGTCCCAACTCTTCTAATATAGGAACTCTAGTCCAGACATTTCACTATTTTTTGTTACCTAGATAACTTTAAAATTTCAGCGTGCTATAAAAGCCAAATTACGCACGCTGCAGCGTGTTTTAATTTAGGATTATGATGCAGATATAATAAAAAATAAAAATTAAATGCCTTATAATAATAGTATAATCTGACAATTTTAGAATTTTTCTAAATGTCATAGTATATTTTGGGCTATATTCTATATTTTAAATTGGACCCTTATTTTTTTCATAATTTGGACTTTTAGCACTTTTACTAGAAATTACTGTTTAAAAAAATTATCAAAGTTGAAAAAAAAAGTTTTAAAAAAATCTAGTTGCATGGTGTCAATTACGACAATGCCATTCATTATTGTAATATCAGGAAGCAGCAAATGAAAGAAAATATATATTGCCAACATTTTTTCAAATTTTTAAATGACAATAATAATTACTTATAACAAATCAGAAAACATCTAATTTTGTTTGATTAAGTTATTTTATTATTTATTTTGTTTACTTTTAATAAGATTATTATTAACGTCAATTTTTTTATTGTCAGCATGCAACTAGATTTTATTAACTTTATTAATTTCATTAACGTTGAAAATTTTTTTAAACAATAATTTTCACTAAAAGTATATTGCACATGTCTGTACCAAGAAAACTAATATCTTCCAAATTATGGATAAAAAAATTGGGACCCTATTAAAATTAGAAAGTTGAATATAGCCCAAAATATGCTGTGACATTTAGGAAAATTCTAAATTTTTCAGCTTATACTATATTAGAAGCCCTTTAATTTAGTTTTTTTAATTTTTGAAATTGAGCCATAAATAAAAAATGTACAGCGCCTGCCGTTTTTTTTTTAAATTACCTTGTATCAGGATGCTCTAACATTTTTTTATTTTTTTAAATTTGGTGTGACCAATAATTTTTACGTAGAATCTATGGATAATGAAATATTTTCCATTAAAGGTTTTCTTCATATTAATCAAATTTTTATTTTTTGCTGGAAAGCGATGGTAATTATGCATGTCATTGAATCTAACTATTAAGCCATGACTATTTGACGTAAATTTTATTATGACGTAATGCACAAAAAAACTTCCAGCACATAAGAAATGCAAAGAAAGAATACTTTTATTAAAATAAAATCTTGAAAACATTAGTTTACATATTAGTATACGTATTAATACGTCATTTGAAAATAGTATATTATTTAACGAGCATTTAATAATGGAGGCTATTATTCAAGAGGATGAAGTTTATACACGAGCCAACGGCGAGTGTATAAATCATCCGAGTGATTTATAGCTACTATGAGCAAGTCAAATACCGCTTTTTTTGTACAATCTTTTTTAATAAAACTCTCTCTAGTTACAAAATTTATATTTATTATAATGACATATTTGTGGTTTATGATAAGTCACGGGTGTGATTTTGAGTAGCATAATGTAAATAACAAACGTATAATTTAATGGTCGTAGATAAAAGTTTTTATCAGGTGGTACAAGATTTAGAATTTCTTTATCAATTTCTATTGAACTCAGGGTTCCACTTTGTTTTAATGGCCACTAAAATTTTGTTTAATCTTACGTTTTTAATTGTACAAAATGATAGAAGTATACATTTTCTTAAGTAAGACAAGACTTTAACAATTAAATATTTTTTTTATTTGATTTTTCTATAATCGTCGTTGTGTTTGTTCTATGTATTTTTTGGTCTAATTATCTGACATTGAATCCAGTGTGTAAGTTATGCAATGTATCAATGAACAACGACAAGGAAATAGTTATTTTTTTTTATCTCTGTTTAAAAAATTATTGCTCAAGAAAAAAGATAACTCCGTCTAGTGATAAAAATGCATCAAACTTGACCTGTTTAAAGTCTACAGATCATTCAGACGGAATCTCTGAAAAATTCCTTTTTGTATAACAGGTATTAGCCAACGCTTGTGGTCCTTGCATCGGTCAATGGGACCGCAAAGACGTGAAAAAGGGCGAAAAGAACACAATCGTAACTTCGTACAATCGTAATTTCACCGGTCGTAACGACGCTAATCCTGCGACACACGCTTTCGTCACATCACCGGAATTGGTAACAGCTCTTAGCATCGCCGGCCGATTGGACTTTGACCCCACTAAAGATGAATTGACTGGAAGTGATGGCAAAAAATTCAAATTGAGTTCACCCTTCGGTGATGAACTACCAACCAAAGGGTTTGATCCTGGCCAAGACACCTATGAAGCCCCTGTAGCTGACGGTAGCACCGTTAAGGTTGATGTCAGCCCGAAATCACAGAGATTGCAATTGTTGGAACCGTTCGATAAGTGGAACGGAAAGGATTTAGAAGATTTGGTTGTTTTGATCAAAGTCAAAGGGAAGTGCACCACAGATCATATTTCAGCTGCTGGTCCTTGGTTGAAATACAGAGGACATCTTGATAATATCTCCAACAACATGTTTATTGGGTAAGATAATTACGAGCGAGCGAAGCGAGTGGGTAAACTATATATTTCGTTTCAGTGCCACTAATGCAGAGAACGGTGAGATGAACAAAATCAAGAACCAGTTGACTGGGGAATGGGGCGCAGTCCCCGACGTGGCACGTCACTACAAGGCTAATAAAATAGGGTGGGTTGCGATCGGTGATGACAACTACGGGGAGGGAAGTTCCCGCGAGCACGCCGCTTTGGAACCGAGACATTTAGGTGGCAGGGCTATCATTGTCAAGTCCTTTGCACGGATCCACGAAACCAATCTCAAAAAACAAGGGCTTTTGCCATTGACGTTCTCAAATCCCAGTGATTACGATAAGATTCAACCTACCGATAAAATTAGTCTTAAAGGTCTCGCGAATTTAGCTCCAGGGAAACAGGTCGAATGTGAGATTAAACATGCCGATGGAAAAGTCGAGAAAATTTTACTCAATCATTCACTTAATGATTTGCAAATTGGGTGGTTCAAGGCCGGAAGTGCACTCAATAGAATGAAGGAGTTGGCAGCGAAGGCGTAAATAGAGTTTTTTTGTTTTCATGATATTGTCACGATTTAGAAACACTTGAGGTACTTTTGTATTATCCGATTGTAGAGTCACTGTTTCAATTGTGCTGTACATAGTTTTTATTTCTTTTTCAAATTTTTTTGTGCAAATCTATTTAATAAAACATTTGACAATAAACGAGCATTGTGTTTCTTTTGTATCTATTTTGTTTCTTTTTCTGCGAAAGCAGTTTACTATAATAAACACAGGTTATCTACAACAGTAGCAAAATTAAAGATGAAAAAAACACTAGTAGCATTCAATTTTCTTATTGAAAAATTGGGTATCAATAATATAATTTTTTTCTACTTGAAAGTATTTTCTTATTTTTTACAAGGCTCATATGAGTGCTTTTATAGATTCGTTAGTCATAATTAGACAAAAATTTCAATTAAAAAATTAGAAAGAAATAAGTAAAGATTATGATTGTAAATTAACTCAAGAAATATAAGGATATAAGAAAATTGAACAATGAGTTTTTTATTACTTTTCTGTAATTTTTTTGCAAAAATTTTAACTTACCTACTTAAAACAAAACTTTAGTAAAAAAACAACAAAACCGAAATTATTAAAATCCAGTCATTGAATTAGTTTAAGGGGTGGGGCAAAAAGAAATAATACAAAGAATATACGAATAAAACAAATGCAACGAATGGCAACGACCCAATAACGTCTTAAAACTGATTTTAACTCCGCCCATTGCTTGTATTTCATTGTGATTTGTTTACGAAATTATTTGCCTACACTTGTATTGGTGGAGACTTTTACTTTTTTCTTTATTGTTTTGTTACAACATGTTATTAGCTAATGGATGTCGGGCTTTGACATATTTATTAGTTGTAGATATTCGATTGCTTACATATTACGTGAAATTATAACTAGCACAGTTAATGATCTTTTTTTTCGAAATATAATAAAATCGAGACAGAATTTTTTATTAAAAAAAAATACAAATAAGGAATTGAAAGAGACCTACCTACTGCAGTGTTCTGCTGAAAATTAAACGCTAAACCATACATGGAATCCACAAGCAAACATTAGCAAAGTTACACTTATCAAATTTGAAATTGCCGAATTACAATCATCACTTTTACAAAAATGACAATCAGATATTTGTCCATCAATAAAATCAACAAGCCCTTCCATATAAGTACAAATATCTGTATCAAAAACTTTGGCAGGGACGCAGCTTTTCAAAGCTCGCTCTTTCGGCGAATCACTATCTAAAAAAAAATATTTAATTATTTGTTTCATTAGGAATGAAAAAATACCATGAGTGAATGTCAAGGTAATACACCCAATATCTGAAATGTCCTTTGCTCCTCCTATTTCACTGTCAAACCGTTCCAAAAGATCAGCTTGCGAACTCCTTTCAATTAAACTTTTATTTCCTTCAACTTTAAACGTGTTACAATCCATTTTGAGAAAATCTGATCGGTTGTTAAAAGTACATTCAGATAAGGGTCCCGCACATGCATAACATGATGCGACTTCAGCTGACCCTAAAATTTTTTTTTTCAAATTTGGAAATTCAAATTCGAAAAATTGCTAAACCTTGGGACACGAATAAACACACAGCACAAAAAATCACCAGTCGAGACATTTCGCACTTTCACTAAGTAGGTAATCAGCTGTCACTCATTAACAGAAGAATTTTACCCAAGATAAGTTATCTTGAGTGGATTTTCGTGTTTCAAGAACTGGGAAATTGACAAAAAAAATGACTAATTTTCACAACACATTTATTTGTTCAAATTTGGTCCGGTATTTAATTAACCTTTGGGCGGCCCACCTTTGCCCCCCGGGCCCCCCGGCCCTCCTCCCCCGAAAGCAACCCCCCAGTTATCTTCATCTGAACCCGTTAAGGGCAAGCTATTAGCAACAACCTGAAAAAGCAATTACTTGAAAACCCAATAAAATGGTCAAACTTTACCAAAAACGTGGCAAGCACCAGGAAAATGGCTATCAAAAATGGGTTTCTCATCGCGATTATTGCTATTTTTTACCCATTTTGTATTTATATACGTGTTATATTTAATGTGTTTTGCAATTAAGGTTTAATGATTGTAATTACGGGAGGAAATGTGAGTCATTTCCGACTAGTTTTGGGATTAATTATTGGGTTAGAGAAATTTTGAAATGATGACAGGCAGGTGGGAAAATACGTGTTTAAAGTGATTTTTTGCGTATTTAGTGATAAAATAAGATGTTCAAGGTGAGAAATACGCGTCATCGTTCTTAAAGATTTATTAGTGATATATGTATTTATTTAATGATAATTTTTCCAATGAAATTAATCAGTAAGTATCAAAAATTCAAACGAACATCAAATTCTGGGAAGTAAGGAGAATATCATGACAAAAAATTCCACAATTTTTGGCAATTAAAGTAGATCATTGTAATATTTGTATTTATAATATTGCTTAATTCCCCTACAAATTGTTTTTTATTATACCTGCATCATAATCCTAAATTAAAACACGCTGCAGCGTGCGTAATTTGGTCTTTATAGCATGCTGAAATTTTAAAGTTGTCTAGGTAACAAGAAATAGTGAAATGTCAGGACCAATTACAACGTGAAAAAATGTGCTTAACAACGTAAACTAGTAACCGTCTCTACGAAAACGATTCACAAACAACCTTTGATAATTTTATCGTGTAAATTCACATTTTTTCAATGCTCATAAAAGATCGTAAATGGGCCGGTATAATAAAAAAATAGCGTATAACACTCGTTTATAAGCGCCTTTAAAACACTTACGACGTTAAAAGCACTCCGCTGACGCGTCGTGCTCTTAAACCCGTCGTACGTGTTTTAAAGGCTTGCTTATAAACTAGTATTATAATATACATACTATTAAACAATAATAACTTAAAAGAGTTATGATGATGTTTATTTTACTGTGGAAAAAGGAAATATCTCGCCACCATTGGAKTATGATTATTGATATTGATGCTAAATATGTAATTAGAATCATCAAACACAGTTGTCCGGATGTTTTGTTTCGCACGGCCAACTATAGCAAAATCAGTTTTTTTTAATTACTGATAAAATAAGTTCGTTTTTCAATGTTGCAATATTTATTTAATGATAAGCGGATATTGTGCAAAAGTTTATTAAAAAATCATTTTATGAAAAATTAAAAATTCGAGAAATAGAAACACACAACAGCTATAAAGAATGTCGTTATTGAAAGGGTTAAACTGGCAGCTCCATCTGGTGATCCAACATTGCACAGATCTTCTTTGCACTCTTTACAAGACACAACGGTACCACCTTCACCTTTTCTTTCTTCGATCTTGAGTGTATCGCACACATTCGACGAATCTTTTCTTTTTGTGCGACACCCTCTGTATATACCACTCCGGCGGTTATTGCTTTTACCTAAAGAAAAATTAAATTTTATCACACTTTTTCGTTCACTTACTTTCGAAATAAATGCTGTAACACGACCAATCGTCCACTTGAGGACTGGGTTTTATTTGGTTCTCGCAAGGAAACTCATCATCATTGTCGAGGGTTTTGCACTTGCCGGACGAATCCGGATCGCATTTGTAACATTTAAGACTAAAAGCTGAAACAAGTGAGATTTTATAAAAATTTGTTTTTTTTACGATTTGTACAACTTACTTATTGTTGCGAAAAAAGCTAAGACAAGGATTAGGGCAATGAATTTAGACATGGTGATGGTTTTGTGGGTTTCAGTGAACTAGACATGGGGTTTGGTGTGTATTGATGTGTATTTAACCAATCTTATCATAAAAGGGTCGAACTGTTTACATAAATTATTCATACTCGTACCTTCGTTTTCTTACAAAAACCGTTCACTGTATGAGCAAAAATTCTAAATTTTTTTACCATCTTCTAGGTAAATTTTTTCTTTTTAAATTCCTAAATAATTTATATTCCGAGAGTACAGAATTATTGGTTTATTACCACTTGTAATAAAGTAATTGTATTATTTGATCAATTTGAATTGGAACAAATTTACGTTCTTTGGTTTTGGTGTCATTCAGTTTTTTCCGGGGCGCGAGTCCTGGCGCACCCTGTATATATCTTGTGTTTTCCTAGAAAATCGTTTATTTTTCTATGCTGTTACCAAAAATTTTAGATTATTTCACCAGCAGGTCGCAAACTAAAGTGCAAAATTATGGTTTGTTTATTGCAATTTGTAATAAAATGATGTATTTGATCAGTTTTAACTGAAATTAATTTACGTTGTGTTTTGGTGTCTTCCAGTTTCACTTTTTGTTTCTTACTATTTTATTTCATTATTTTATAGATTTCATTGATAGATGTTAGGAATTTCCAAAATTCATTGGCAAATAACAGAGATATTAGACCCGAATTTCTTACGTCGGACACCCTGTATTGACGTTTTCTGCAGCAAAACATTTATTGATCAGTTTTGCTTATAGTTCTTAAAATGATTTGATTGCTTTGACAAAAACACGCTCCTGTTAAAAATTGTAGGTATTACACCAAAACCACTAATCTTTAAATTACAATTTTCACTACTTTAAAGAAGAAATTTCAAACTTTAGAACTGTATATTTTAGCATAGGTATTGCAGTCAAAAAGATAAAAAATCCAAAGTTATTTAAAAGATAAATAACTTGAATTTTACTGTTATTTTTGAACCTAAGAGATTACTAATATTGTTCTTCTAAAAATCATTTAGGCATGTAGTGATAAAATAGGTATATTATTTAATGTTGGAGTATTTGTTTAATGATACGCGGCGGACATTGTCAAAAAGTTTATTAATAAATCGCTTTATAAAAAATTAAAAATTTGAGAAATAAAAGCAAACACTAGCTCCTAAAAACGCCGTCATTGAGAGGGTGTAACTGGCAGCCCCATCTGGTGACCCAACATTACACAGATCATCCCTGCACTCTTTACAAGATTGTACGCTATCACCGTCATCTTTACTTTCGTCGGCCTTGAGTTTATCGCAAACACTTAACGAATCATTTTCTTTTTTGTAGCATCCTCTGAATATACCACTCATGGTTTCGTTTTTACCTAACGTGAAAATTAAATTTTATCACAGTTTTCTTTTCACTTACTTTCAAATTTAAAGTTGACACACGACCAGTCGCCCTCTTCACCGTTCTCAAATTGCCGAGGAACGGCTTTTTGGACACTGGATGTATCCAGATCTTCGCAATGGATCTCTTTGACATTGTCTTTTTCGGGGGCTTTACATTGGCCAGGCACAGTGGGGTCGCAGTCGTAACATTTCAGACCGAGAGCTGAAACAAGTGGGATTTTATAAAATTTTGGTTTTTTACAACTTACTTATTGCTGCGAAAAATGCCAGTACAAGAATCGGGGCAATGAATTTAGACATGGTGATGGTTTTGTGGGTTTGAGTGAAATAGACATGGGGTTTGGCCAAAATGATGTGTATTTAGCCATAATCTTATCAATAAAAGGGTCGCACTATTTACACAAATTATTCATACAAATTATTCATACCTTGTTTTTTTTTCCAAAAACGTTCACTTCGTTTCGTTGGTGTGAGCAAAAATTCAATTTTTTTTTACCATGTTGTAGATAATTTTTTTCTCTTTATTGGTTGATTACCACTTGTAATAAAGTAATTGTGTTATTTCATCATTTGATCAATTTGAACTGGAACAAATTTACGTTCTTTGGTTTTGGTGTCGTTCAGTTTTACTTTTTTTTTGTTAAAAATTTTATTTCATTATTTTATGGATTTCAATGATATATAGGGTAGACGTTTGGGGTAAGAAAGAGGTGCAAGGGCCAAATGAAGCAGACAACAAGTACGAACACAAACTTGAGTTTGCTTTTGAGTTGCTCACAGCGCCCTGCAATTTTTTATAAGAGGTCTTATTGTGTTTTGTTGAGCAAAAATAAGAATTTTTGTTCGAAGATTTTTGCAGTTATTATGACTTTTACTAAAGAAAGAGTATTGAATTTTTTTTGTGTTTGAAATGAAACTTGTAGAATGTGACAGAGCAGGGCCGTACCCAAGGGGGGGATTAGGGGGTTTAAACCCCCCCCCCCCCCGAAATGCTGAGCACCTTGTTATATAGTGTTATAAGTGTTAAAAGTTTAGTTTTTTTTGTTATTTTAGTGAGTTAATTTAAAATTTTTCATGTGTTATGTTTCATTTTTATTGTTCGGTACAAATTTAAATATTTGATAGAATATTTAATTTTAAGACAAAAGTGTTTCGAAAAATGCTATGAAAGGGAGCTACAACCCCCAAAAAAGGTACGTTTTTTAAAGGGTTTTTTCTAATATTTCAGAATAAATAAAATTATAAAATTTGGTACCTTCATATGTACACCTAAACAAATGCCAAATAACAAAATTTTTAATCAAGGGCGTCCTAAACGGTAAAACAAATTTAATTTTTAATTTTTATGCTGTATATGGTGGGTAACATAAATTTTTAATCCGATTTTTACTAAAAATCCGTAAAGTGTATCGGAAAAACACAAAAGACCTTTATTTATAAAAAAAACTATCAAATTATATCAAATTATATAAAATATATAATTAATAAAAATTTATTTTATTTTTTGTTACTTTTGTGAGTTAATTTGTATTTTTTTATGTTTAATTAGGATCTCTTATTTAAATGTAAAATAAAAACGTGTACTTAGAGATTTTTGATTTTTAATCCGCCTTCTTTCATTTCATTCATTTTCATGGACCAACAAGAAACCCCTCCCGAAATAAAATCCTGGTTACGGCCCTGTGACAGAGTGATTAGTTTTAAGGCGAAATTATTGTTATAAATTGTTTTGTACCTAATGGGGGGGTTGGGACGGTTGAAACATTTTTTCTGGGCACGGTTGAAACAATATATTATTTTATTTTCCAGTAAACAACAATAATCATTGTCATCCGAGGAAGAGGAGTGCTACTGCCTTGTTTTCCTGTCGTAATATTCAGAGAGCAGACCCGGAGAAAAATGGATATACCTAATGCAGAAATTGTAAACTATGGGCTTACGAAGAGTGCACAGAAGGTGATCTTAGCTATGTAGTATTTTTGTTTGATTTATTATTATCAAAATCAGTTACATTACTGATATTAATATTTTTTTTAGTTTGGTCTCAAATATTTTTTCTAGTCGAAGTGATATTTTAGTACTTTATTTGTAAAAAGAAAATGCTGTTGATTTATATTGTTTGGATAAGTACATAGTGTATAATAATAATATAACTATTCATATTGTCAAAGACTACTGATTATATATATTTTAAGTTGTACGCCTTAAAAAAACACTAGTGGCTAATTAGAAATATTGTTAAGTTGAATCTTTAAACATTGTGGAGCGGTGCCATAATTATTCTTAAAATTGAAATAAATAATAAATGAAGCATGCTATAAAATTATTTTGAATTATTTGCATGTGTTTCAACTGACCCCAATCACTGTTTCAACCGCCCCTGGTATGAGGACGGTTGAAACAAATTACCTTCCTTGTTTAAATTTGTTATTACACTAAAAATAATTTTATTTTTACTTAAACGGTATTGGCCATTACTAGATAAAAACCCGCTCTCTTGTTTAACATATCTACATCATCCCTTGACTTATTTATGGCAATGCTATGGATGATAAAAAGCTAAAGTGTTTCAACCGTACCCAGTCTACTAAAAAACCTGATGCAAATAGGAATAAACGCTGGAGATTAGTGGTCGATTTTAGTGAGTGCATTTGAGTGGTTTGAATGAGGTCATTTTTTTTCTCAATAATTTTTGGCTTAAAGGTATGTTCAGGGTTTGCATAATGCAAGATTTAAATATATACCATACTCTGTGGGACACTCTGTATATTTTTCAGATAAAAATTTAAGTTTACAAATTGATTATAAAGACAAAACTCAATTACAGACTCAAAATCCAAGTGTCCGCAACATAGTTTATTTTAATGATAGTAACCAATTTTTCATTTACCTGATCACTCGTAACTCAGCTAACATAAAATCAGAATATGAAGATATTTTCTATTGTCTCCTCAAATTAAGAGAATTTTGTATTTCAAAAAAAATCAATAAACTTGCTTTTTCGAGCTCAACATGTAAGAATGGAGGAATAAAAATTCACTACGTACGTGTTATGTTCAGGTATATCTTAAAAGGTTCGGATATTAAGTTAACTATTTTTCATGGTACTCGTAATTATAATAAAAACTTAACACAAAATGAAATAAACACGATTTTTAACAAATACCATGTCACTCCACTTGATGGACATCACGGCGTTGTAAGAACATTTAATCGAATCAGAGAAAAGCATAAATGGAAAAAATGTATAGCGACGTAAAAAGTTTATTAAAAAATTCAACATATGCCAAAGAAACAAAAATGCAAAAAACACTAAGGTACCGATGGTTCTTATAACAACATCATCCAAACTATTCGAAAAAAATTCGTTCAGACATAGTGTTGACAGATCAAGGTACCAATTTTCTTAGTAAGATCTTTAAAGTAACCTGCAAAACACTAGGTATAAAACAAATTAACAGCACTAGTTTTCATCCTCAAACTAATGGAATGATAAAGTCCTTTTGACTAATGAGTGTCACACCCTAGAAACCTTTAAAAAGCTACACACTCTCTCTATAATGGTCCTTCTCCTTAGGAAGTCTTATCTCTTGACTCTGATGTAAATTGCACAATTTTAGTAAAAAGAAAACCATTGAAAGTACACTTTAATAGAATTAAGAAATTTAATTAATAAGTTTTCTTTTCCTGCATTGTCCTTTTATGGACACCGACAATAGGGTCACTACCTAGATTTTAAGAAGAACCGTTCATTTGTGTCACCTTTGTGATTAAAATTGTATATAGTTTTCTATCTCCTTTTATTTACTTTATGTAATCTTTTTTTTGTTTCTCAATTTTTATGTAAACTGTCTTTACTTAATGTGTTAAATTTTGTTAGCCTTAGTCTGCGATACTTAGGTTGCATGTTAGATTTTTTTAAGTATTTTTTTTAAACTAGGTAATTTTCTTTGTTTTTTTTCTTAATGGTTGTCCTACATTTTAGGATTTTATATTTTACCTTTTTTTGTAATATTTAGTTTTTAGGTTTGTCCTTTTTTTTTCTCATTCATGATTAAAAATTTACGCTCTGCGAAAAATTTTTTTTAGGGGGAAGGTGTTGTGTATTAAAAAAAAATAGTGAACCCCACCTTCGCAGGGCAAGTAGTTAGGCTGGATGGGGATGACTACCTGAAAAACAGTCAGCTGCTTTATGTACAGGGTGCTGCATTGTGGATGTCCGAATAGAGAATCTCCGAAACTAAGGGGTTTAGCCCAAAACGAGTAATACATTCTGGGGCTCATTTTTTGAGAAAATAATATTGGTTAAAACCGCATCCCGCTATCGTCTTTTGTTTTCGACTTATAGACAAAAATTGACATGTTAGCGAAATCTAAAAAAATTCATGTCTTCGTTATTATGGAAGACACAGATTTGAAATAAAGACATTATATAGGCACTTTTTTACGTAGAATTTAATAATGTAGTTAACAATTTTTTTCAGTTGTTTGTTTAGCCGTAATAAAATAAACCTGTATTTTTTAAACGGGAATCATAGATGGCTATGTCATTTTTAAAAAGCTTGTTTTTTTCTTATCTAAAAAATATATAATTGTAACAAATTATTATAATACATTTTTAGCAAAAAATTATTTTTGATTTTTGTTCGCAGTTGGCCATGAAAAAATGTTGCATCTTCAACTAAAAGGATTTAAGCTATATTATTCAACCAGTGTCACTAATGAAAGAGATTTCATAGTATTAAGTAATGAAAAAAATGCAAAATAAATCGTAAATCAACTTATTGGCGACTAATAACATTTCTTTGTTTCTAAACAAGCTAACATTACCATTGTAACTTCTAGTGATACATAGAGTGTTGTAAAAAAAAGCCGCTTTAATTCTTCAAATAAAATATATTTTATATGACACAAAAATGACGATATGGCTATTCAAATACCCAAATTCCCTCTATGTGGAACGTTATCCTACCTCCATTAGATCACCAAAAAAATATTTTTTCTAATTGTGTTGACTGTTGACACATTTGTTTTTCCTATTTTTGGATTTTTTAAAAATATGTAATAATTTTGTTCTGAGGCGCTCGGATATTTGTTCAATGTTTCTACCGTATCGTATTTTTTAAATCTTTATAATTTTATCTATTTTTTCATCTATTTTACAGTTCACAAAACTCATATTGATTATTATTTACACATTTGGAGTGAAATAGTTTTTCCATGGCCAGCTATTATCACACAAAATATGTATTTCACTTGTTAAGTATATTTATAAAAAAATATTTTGTTACAAATATATATTTTTTAGATCAGAAAAAAATTAGCTTTTCAAAATTGCCATAGCCGGCTATGATTTCCATTAAAAAAAATACAAGTTTATCTTATTACGGCTAAACTAATAACTGAAAAAAAAATGTTAACTACATTGTTAAATTCCTCGTAAAAAAGTGCCTGTATAAAGTCTTTATTTCAAATCCGTATCTTCTATAATAACGAAGATATAAATTTTTTAGATTTCGCCAAAATGTCAACTTTTGTCTATAAGTCGAAAACAAAAGACGGTAGCGGGATGCGGTTTTAACCAATATTATTTTCTCAAAAAATGAGCCCCAGAATGTATTACTCGTTTTTGGCTAAACCTCTTAGTTTCGGAGATTCCCTATTCGAACATCCAAAATGCAGCACGCTGTACATAACCGCAGAATCGAAGGCATTAAAATAGTTAGACTAAACGCTGGTGTCTCATTTTCACAGGCTCACTCAATCATTTCAATTAAGGAGTAGGGTTTGAGCTCTAACCCAAGTAACTCCATAACAATAGTTTTTCAGGTATTTTGTTGTTATCAGAATTTTAGTGGAATAATGTTACCTCTCATGTCTCAATTTCTAAAAAAACTTGGCGTCATAGTTGGCGGTGATATGAGTGTGTTGTGAACGGACCATAATTTTTCGGCTAGGTGTCAAAAATCAGATTAATATCTTTCAATACTATGGTTCGTTCACAATCGATCTTTCAAACACTTGTTTTGTTACAGGTATGTATTTATCTATAAGAAGGCATAGCATTTAAAAATAAGATAAAAATTATCTCGATTACACACACAAATCGAATCAGTGTGCCAAAAACCATGATCATGAATACTTTCATCCTATTTTTGTTGCCTTTTATCACTTTTGCTACAGGTAGTAAGTCTTCTACTCTTTCCATCCAACTAAAAAATTGCAATTTCCAGTCAAAGCCGACCTCGCGTGCTATGACTGCATCCCCACTGACAAAACTAAATGCTTATCGCCAGACGCAAACAACATCAAAACCACTACTTGCAGCACTGAACCAACAGCAAGAACTGGCCTTAAGAAATCAATAAGCGACATCGATAAACTGGACATCAATCCTCGAGGCAATTTCGAAGAAAACACGTTTGAATGTTTCTCCCTCTACTTCGTTGGGGAGGACAATCAAGAGACGGGGGTTTACCGGGGGTGCGTCGAAAAAACAAACACCATCATCTCCTCCTGTGAATACCTCAAAGAGTCGCTGAAGAACGGTAATGTCACCAATTGCGTTACTTGTGCAGAAAAGGAGTGCAACGTGGACGACGTGGGGGGCGGTGCCGCCGGATTAACACTCTCCTTGGGTCTTATCGTACTAAATCTAGTTATTTGTCTAAATGTGTTTCATTTTTAATCGCCTATTGTTGAAATAAATTTTTTTGTGTAATTACAGTGTTGATAATTATTGTCTATTATCGAAGATCTGTGGTGCCAAATTTAAATGTCACCTGTCAAAATGCTGATTTTTATTTCATTTATCTTAAATCTATTCGTCATTTCAGGTTGGTATTAAAACTGACTTTTTTTTTGATTCGATTTTCTTGCAGTTTTTTGTGTACGGAGTTGTTACTTTTGTGCAGACACAACTGAAAATTGTTTAAAAAACGACAAAGCAATCAATCCGCTGAAAATGGATTGTGATAACTTTATGATAAATAAAAAAATGCAATACTCATTTTTCAAAGTACCTAAAATCGACCGTTCCTACATCAAGTACTTTTATACGCCTGCGTTGTACGAGAAAAACGTGAAAACGCTGTGCTTGGAAAGTTACTATTACTTTTCAGACATGTTTTCTAATAATAAGACACAGCGTGAGTTTACACACTTTTAATTAATTTGCAACTAATTGCTTTTAAGCTTCTAATCAAGAACTTACAGTAAATGGAACGTTTAAAAGTTGCATGTTCAGACAACTTGCGGATTACGAAAGTCCTTGTCAACATTGGCAGAATTGGGCGATTACAGTTTTCGAACGATTAAACCACAGTTTTGAGCTTTCGTATTGTAGTTTATGCAAAACGCGTGATTGTAATATTTCAACGGCTCACTCCTATAATTTCCCACTTTATTTCAGTATAACATTTGTTTTCATTAACATATTTTTTTATTAAAAACCTGAAAAGTTAAAATAGTCTAGTCGCAAACCTCTCGGCAGTTATAATTTAACCACTAAATAGCCAAATCGTAAACTTATTGTTTAAACATTAGTGAAAAACATTAAAGTTAGGGAAATCACGATTGTTAGAACTGGTTTAACCATTTCTCCCCTGGAACCTTCATTGCATAAATTACTGTCACAAGTGGTACAAGTTGTTCCTTCAATTTGGTTCACTTTTTTACAGGCATTTTCAACTGTTTCAGTCGGAAGGCAACCTTTTTCAACCGTTTTTGTGTCGTCTGTAACAGTTAATAAAAAAGAAAGAAATCCAGAGTTTTTGAATTACGAAAAATAACTTCAATGGTGAAACAGTTCATTTTGACATGTTTTGAAAAATCGTCTTTACATTTATGGACTTGGACCTCTGTGCATTGGTCGAGACAGACATAACATTCTTCAACTGCAAGGGCTAAAAAACTAAGAAATTGTTTTGGAGACAACATTTGAAAAAAAATTCGTACTTTGACAATAAATTGAAACTAAAAAAATTGACACGAAGGCTACGTTTACCATTTTACCACTAAATATATTTACAAGTAATGCTACTTTATTACTAGGACTGTAAAAAACTGTATTTTATTATTTTACAACATCGATAATGATAATAAATAATAATAATATTTGACGTTCACGTTAGTACGAATTGTTGTCATACTTTTTTATTAATTTTTTTTTGAACTTTCTAAGTTTCTTCGTAGAAAATCGATTTTGCAAATATTTGACATTTCATCCTAATAATTAATAATTCAGGTAAAATTTGTCACTTCTTGACAAACACAGTTATCTTATCTACTTATACAACATTGACACAAAATACCGACATGTTGTTATCTCTCGTACTACTATTCTATATTTTCCAAAACAGTAAGAATATCAGATTTTGTATTTTTTTTCTGTGACTTTTTCCAGTTTCTTGTGAATTGACGTGTTACAGATGTTTGGACGAGTGTAAACAGCACTCGTGGTACATAGAAAAGTGTGAGAACAGGTATGAGAATTTGGAAACAAGATGTGTGTCAATACAGGGTGATTCAGGTAATACAGCTTGCTAAAAAAACAGAGAAAAAAAACATTGGTTTCAGAGATATTAGTCCGAAAACAGTGTATGAGTTTAGATCAAGCAAAAATTTTTTGTGAAAGATTTAACGTTTACGATGGAATTAATTGTTATTTTTGTGATAAAGATCTTTGTAATGGAGGGAAGAATATGAGGTTGGGATCCGCCATTTTGTTTAGTTTATCTCTTGCAATTTATTTGTTTATTAATCTTTAAGCAAACTTTATTAAAAATAGAATTAAGAAAACATACAATGTTGTTTTATTTCTTAGACTCGAGTTATTTTCTTCTTCTTCACTTGTGTCATCATCGCCACCGCCATTTTCCTTATGATTACACAAATTAGTGTCACAAATTGTACAATTACCTCCTTGTTCCTTAATAGTGTCACAATCATTTCTATTTTCTTCACTATCTTCAACACAACCTCTCCACTCAATTTTTTCATCTTCTGGAAAATATTTATCTGTTATACAAGATCAAATGTCAAAACTACAACACAACTTACCGTCAATTATCACAGCTGCAATACATTTGGCAGCTTTATCTCCCAAAACATCTTTACATTTAAGTATTTCAACTTCATCACAATCCGTTTCACAATGGTAACACTCATCAACGGAATTAATTTCTTTGTGATTGCTGTTACACAAATTCGTGTCACAAAGTGTACAGTTACCGCCAATTTGATTCAGAAGAGTACAATTAGCCTGGATTTGGGCATTATCTTCGACACAACCTCGAAACTCATATTTCTCACTCCCTAAAAAAGATTGTAACTTTTGTAACCGCGAGAGAAAACTGACCATAAGTAACTTCAAGAGCTGCACATTTAGTGCTGACTCCTTGTCCGACAACATCCACACATTTTTGTGTTTGCAACGGTCCATCACAAACTTGGTTACAATAGTAACACTCTTCGACAAAACTGTCTTCGTCAGGAATTTCTTTGCCGTTACAAAGGTCATTATCACAAATTTTACAAGTTACTTGCGGGTATAAAGTGTTTGAATAGAGACAAGTCGATCTGATTGCACTGTCATCATGGATGCAGCCTTTAGAAATTGCAACTTCGTCTCCATTTTTAATTTCGTAACTAAGACAAGCAGCCTTGACAATCCGACCTTCACTTGCAGTCAAGACCTTTTGACAATTGTGTTGTTGGGGAGGTTCGAGGCATTCGTCAATACAGACATAACATTCTTTGACTCCAGGGTCTGTAATGGTGTTACACAGGTCGTAATCGCAAGTGTAACACTTTGAATTGTCGTTACACAAAGACTCGGCGAGATTAGGACTGAGACAGCCTTTGGATTGGACAACAATGCCGTTTTCTACAAAATTTTGTAACCATCATCGTGGTTACAAGTTTTACTCTTACGTGAAAATTCGAAAGCAAAACATTTGTCGTCAGGGCTTGAGCACTCTGTTACGTCACTTGTTGAAGTACAGTTGCCTTGGCATGAATAACACTTTTTTGAATTTTGGGTTAAAAATAAGGGCACTAGTGTTAGAAAAAATACAATTTGTGGTGGATACATTGTGAGGGCTTCTAGTCAGTGAATTGTGGTAATTTACTTTTATCGGTTTACACATAAAAGGGCTATAAAATAATTACTCTTTTCACAATTTTATTGCTTTTAATCTCTTTATTGGTTGTAATTTTAGATTGTTTTCTGGTTGTTGGTAATCATAAATCTTTCTTTCTTTTTTTTACATTTTTTAAAATAACAATTTAAATCCGAGTGTTACTGCTACTAGTGTTGGTAACGCAAGAAAATGATTAGTGGAAGAGTTACAATAATTGCCGTCACAGACCAAGCAGTTGTCTTGTTTGTTACAAACAATGGAAGTCAAATCAGGGCTGATACATCCTTTTGTAACTGCACCTAAAATCCATGTGTTACAATTATGACAATTTAAATAATACAGAGTGATTATAAATGATTTTCATCTAGCCAGCTGTGAATTTTCCATGAAAAAAAAATGCCGCTTTACGAAAATAGGGGTACTTGCTTGTTTTAACTCAAAATTGAAAAATCGCCGTTTACTAAGCGTCCACTTCGAAAATAGACTTCAATTATAAACTTGTTTTCTTCCAAAGTATACATTATTATTAATTATTATTGGAAATTAGTTGAAACAATAAAAGTTTAATTAACAACAATTTATTATTAATTAATAAGTGACACTAATGACAGAACTAGAGCTTTCAAAAAATTAGAGCGGCACAAATAAAATTACATGCAAAAAAATTCCAAAGCTGGCTAGATGAAAATCATTTATAACCACTCTGTATTTATTTAATAATATTTAAATAATAAAAGTTACCTGATGTAACTTTCATAGTGTAACACAAGTCATCGCTATTTGGGCATTCTTGCTGCGTTATTGACGAATCACAATCGTGACAGTCACAGGAGTAGTAACACAATCGCGAACTACCAAAAGCAAGTGTTACAAAATAAAGCAACAAAAAATTGTTTTTAGTGTCATTATAAAGTGTTTAACTATAAAGTCGCAAAAGTGTTACAATAATAAAATGAACAATCTTATCTTGTTATGAGTCATAAAAAGTGTTTTTGGGTAAAAATAAGATAAATAACACTATGTATAAACTTCATTATGTAGTAGTATAAAAACACCACATTTCGATTTTTTATTCAAATCTTCCGTTAATTATTACGGACCAAGTCTAAGTGACGGCCTGAGGAAGATTTAAATAAAAAATCGAAACGTTGCCGGAAAATTGTGTTTTTGTATTAACCCGTCCAAAAACACCCTATAATTTCTACTACTTACTTAAAACAAAATGGACGACAATACATGAGAAATACTGAACCTAATATTTATCAAAGTTAAACAGATGAATGCTTCTGTAGAATATTTAACTTGTGGATCAAGTCGTCTGCATTAATTTGATGTTTTGATACACAGACGTCAAAAACAGTGTATGCAGATTAAAATCGTCCATCTTTGTCTAACTCAAACTAGTCATTTTACACACTATTTGTGATATCATATAACAGAAATTTATTCCTTAGTAAAATTAGTTCAAGTTTTTCATTCTTATTCTCTGAGTGTGTTTTCCCACACAAAAATGAAATATTTTACATATGTAACATTTTTATTCCTTATTTCTGCAAGTAAGTTTGCACATTATTTTGTCCCACTCTCATACAAATAATTTTTTTAGCTTTGGGTGTGCGTTTGGAATGTTACACTTGCTTTGACTGTGGGAAAACACCTAATACTTGGGAACGGTCAAATTGCTCGTTGGACAGCACAGAGCATTATCTTTGTCTACATCTAAAATCTAATGGTATGTTTACGTGAGCATTGAAATTATTATATTTTGGTATTTTGCTACATTTTTGTGTTTAAGGTACGGTTCAAAAAGAATGTATTCCTAACGATAAAGAATTTATAGAACTATGTGATGCCGTCAATAGGAATAAGACAAACTCCAATGATTACTGTTTTTATTGTGAGAGAGATCTTTGCAATGTTAATTCAGCCCAGATCCAGATTGAATCTTGTGTCATCTTACTGCTTAATGCGATTATTTTGAACTTTTATTTTGATTAATTTAACATTTATTATTATTATATTATTATGTAACTAACAAAGCTTAAAATTTGTGCTTTAACTATGTACCAATTGAGTTTCTTAGAAGCACAATGATGGAACTGAATACATAATGTATAGTTTAATAAAAATTTGTGTTGAGTACAAATTTGTGATTTGTTGAAACGATGATTCGAACTACAGCTTTTTTAGCTGAACGAGTAGGTATCCTTTTTTTTGCGTTTTTTTTTCTAAATTATCTAAAAATGTCGTATTCACTTAAAATGACGAGTTTCATAAGTTGTTAATACTATACTCACTTACTTTGTTAAAAGACTATACTTACCTACAGAACCACTCTGTAGGTACTAGGTACATACCTATAATATTTACACAAAGTTGAAAAACGGTGGATTGTGTCCAGATTGAAATCGCTCATCCTTGTCTAACGCAAACTTATCATTCTTTGTGATACCGTGATTACTTGATTAGATTAGTTCAGATTTTTGATTTCAATTTTATGTACTTTTTACATTCTTTTGGTCTCAAAAATGAAATATACACCTGTAATATTATTATTGTTTATTTCTGCAAGTAAGTTTTTGCCTTATTTTCTTTCACTCTGGATGAAAGTTTTCCAGCTTTAGGTGTGCGTTTGGAATGTTACACATGCGATGATGTTTGTGGGAAATCACCTGATACTTGGAACCGAGTAAATTGCTCATTGCCCAATAAAGAGAATTTTCTTTGTCAACATAAAAAACAAAATGGTGTGTTTAAGTTTATACCAATAGAATAACTTTGTTGTATTTTTGTGTTTAAGGTAATGTTTACAAGCAATGTATTTCTAACGAAATGGCACATATAGAAGCATGTGATGCCATCAATAAGAAAAAGAAAAACTCGGATGATTACTGTTTTTATTGTGAGAGGGATCTTTGCAACGTTAATTCATCTCAAATCCATATTGAATCCTGTGTCATCTTATCATTTGGGGCGATCGTTATGAGATTTGTACTTTGAGCTTTGACAGATAAAATATTTCGTGTTGTGTAAAAAGTAAGATATGCAACAATGCTCAAAATTGTACTTTTTGTAGTAACCATTGCGTTACTAAACATAATAATGTATGCTATACTAAATAAATAGTTTAATGTACAGGATGTTTACGGTCTTTCCAGTACCGACAGTGCTGCAGTAAAGGAAAATGCTTCATTTGTGAGTTTGATGATTTGGATCTTTGTAACTCCGAAGACGGATGATAATAATTCTCTTGGAGTTTAATTAACTTTAGTTGTTTTGCTGTTTATTTTTGTGAAAAATAAATTTTAAGAAAATAAAATGCGTAAAACATTCAAATAAACTGTTTATTAAATACACGGACAGAGGACTTTTATTCGAGGTTCCACTCTCTTCCTGTACTTCCGAGCGACTGTCCCTCTCCCCGGTACTTCGCCTGGAACGTTTCACGTCTCGCCCCGCTGCCCATGGACTTTGTCCTTGTCCAGGAATCCCCGACTTGTTCAGGAACCCCCGACAACATTCGGCCCTCCTGACATTAGAGTGTCCTCACTCGTGCTCAGATTCACGGGGTGCTTCGTCATAGGTCATTTAGGTCAGTTCATCAGGGCGGACAGTACTGAAACTACTTCAGAGGGATAAGAAAAATATAAACGGATTAACAACAATCATGTCATAGATACACGTTTTAACATTTGAAGAAAACAATCCCAGGCTGGTTCCATCCCTCGCAAAGCTACAGACTATGARATCATAAACCAATAAAAGAYAAACAATAATATCAAAGTAACAGAAAAATACAACAACAACATTAAAATAAGCAATTTCACAAATATTCTTAACTATAATGGCGTAGCTGCAGTCTACCCATTGCAATGATCTGAACCTGCATCTTGTACTCCGTGATTCCACCAACTCTATACCTTCCCAAGGTATCCCTAACTCGTGGCTACTTACTAACCACAACCAGTGGCTACTTACTAARCATTAAGCCGTTGGTGAAACCGGTGGGTACCACAGCACATCAGACCACTCAATACCAGCCTGTTACTCCAGATCTCCCCGGGGCTCCCTTTCTTCCCCCAGGTTGATCCATGGCCTCATATGGTCGACTGCCGTAACACCGGTGTATTTCAGCTGTGATCGCCCACTGCCCGGGATATCGCTGACCTCGTAGCGATCGTTCCCTAAGACCTTTGTAACCCGATATGGTCCCCTCCATTTCGGCAGAAGCTTTTGGCTAGCTCCTGTAGRCGGATGACTTATAATCCTGATTAATACAAGGTCTCCAAGGTCGTAAGCGGTGGGCTTGCTTCTTTTCATATCATATTGACGTTTTTGATAAGCTTGWTAATGTTCCGCATTTGSGATTATTCTTTCTCTGATTTCTGTGGTGTCCAAAAGATGTTCTTGATCTGCTCGCATAAGGCCTGAAGCAACCACACGGTATCCTAGAAGCGCTTCACTTGGAGTCACTCCAATGGCCCTGTTAATGGTTCCATTCAATCCAAGTTGGATGTTTTCTACATTTTGGTCCCATTCGTCATCGTCTAAATTCGCGCCCATTGTAGACAAGGAATCCAAAATAGTATGGTTGTAGCGCTCAACCTGACCATTCCCTCTTGGAACCGCTACCGCGTTCAAATGATGACGTATTTTATACTCATCACAGAATTGTTTAAATGATTGACTCGTAAATGACCTTCCCCTATCGCTAATTATTCTGTGGGGTACCCCAAATACTTTAATCATTTCTTTTAAACACTTGACGGCTAACTTTGTTTTCGTACTTTTAACTGAGTATATTAAAATAAATTTCGTAAAAGCATCAATAATAACAAACAATTGAGTATTGCCAGATTTAGTTTTAATAAAAGGGCCCAAATGATCAATGTGCACAGTATGGAATGGAATCGGGATTTTATTTATTGGATGTAGGAAACCAGGAGACTTACCAGCCGGTATTTTAAAATAGAGACAGTTAAGACAGTTTTTGATATATTTTTTTATAAACCGTCGCATACCCTTAAACCAGTATTTACTACTTAATAATTCAAAAGTTTTGTCTAAAGAGAAATGTCCCACATCATCATGACTCATTCGAACTATCTGAAATTTGGCGTCTTCTGGAACCACCCAACGTAACCCTCTACTCGTAATTTTATAAATTTTCCCACCTTTCAAAGCGTAGTTTTCAAAAATATCATGATTATTGTCGCGATCTCCCGATTCTAAAATGTTTTTGATGGTTTGAATATTCTTGTCACTTTGTTGAGCTGCCAGAAGCCAATCGGCTTCTGAAATAACTATTGTATTAACTCCCTTTWCAATAGCTATTGGATTTCTGRTTAAAGCGTCCACATGACGCATTTGTTCGTTTTTGKGATGTTTTATCTCAAAGTCATATTCGTTTAGCTCCACWGCCCACCGACCAATTCTAGGWTTCATTTCTTGCTTTAATAGCGAACTTTTTACTGCTGAGCAGTCAGTCACAATTGTAAATTTACGTCCCAATAAATATTGTCTGAATCGACGTGTAGCCGCGACTATGGCCAGAGTTTCAAGTTCAAAAGAATGATAACGCTGCTCAGTAGCGTTATTATGTCTACTAAAATATGCTACAACCTGTTCGAGACCACTCTTTATTTGTACCAAAATCGCCGCTACACCGATCCTACTAGCGTCCGTATAAAGCATAGTTTCTAGTGAAGGATCATACAGCGCTAGAACTGGTCGTGAAGCCAAACAATGTTTTAATGTATAGAAGGCTGTACTTTGAGCCTCACCCCACGACCAACTTACGTTTTTATGTAATAACATTGTAAGCGGTTTAGCTTTTGTTGCATAATCGGGTATAAATTTTCGAAAATAGCTAGTAAGGCCCAGAAACTGTCGAACCTGATGAGTATCCTGAGGTAAMGCAAATTTTTCGACAGCCTCAATTTTTCCCTGAAGTGGACGTATTGTAGAATTAGAAATTTCGTATCCTAGATATTCTATAGATCTCTGCAAGAATTTGCATTTTGCAAGATTGATGGACAACCCATTTTTTCGAAAAATTAAAAGAACTTCTTCCAACAATTGTAAAGATCCCTGCAAACTCTGCGCAGGTACCAACACATCATRTAAATATACAAGCACTTTATTAAACCTCAGTTGACCCAATACCATYTTAATCATTCTTTGAWAAACCGCTGGTGCGTTTGTCAATCCAAACMGTACCCTAAGAAATTCATAATGACCATCCTCAGTTATGAAAGCCGTATACCTAATRGATTCTTCTGACATTGGAATTTGATGGTAACCAGAAAATAGATCCAGACTGGAAAACCAGTCGAAACCCGCCAGACGATTGATTTGTTCTTCAATATTGGGAAGAGGGTATTTATCTTTGATCGTAATTTTGTTAAGAGCCCTATAYTCAATACACAGACGACTCGCACCTGATTTTTTTTTAACCAACAACACCTGACTCGCGTAAGGCGAATTACTTTCACGAATAATACCATTCGCTAGTAAATTATCAACTATTTGCCTAATTTCGGCTCGCTCAGGCTCGGGGTAGCGTCTGGGTCTAAACGCAATTGGTCGCGAAGTGGTTACCTCAATAGACAGTTTCGTGACCTCGGTTTGGCCAACGTCACTTAAATTTGCAGCTATACAAGACCGATTTTCGTTCAACAATTGTGTTAACATTTTAATTGTTTCAGTATTAACATTCCCGACATTTATTGTGTGATAATTTAAGTCACATTCACTGCGCCTTAAATTGGATTCGGTTATTTGTGAAAAATTTAATTGGTGTCCTTGTTTAGAATAAACTATATCTGGTAATTCTGTGAAATTCTGTCCGATAACACAGTCAGAATCGCCCACACATTTTTTTACTASATACATTTCAATGGTTTTATTTAWATTTTCAAGAGTGATGTCGACGGTAATAAAAAATTGAGGCTCGATTTTATCCGTGAGTGTTTTTAAAACAATGTTATCTTTTATTTTTGCTAACTGTAAACCTAATTTTTCTGTGGCGCCAATAGTAATTAGAGAACATTCACTCCCAAAATCAATATAGGCCCTCAAATTATTATTTTGAATTCGAACATTCTTAAAAAATTTTTGATTCGGATTAATTGCGACGTAATTTACGTTGTATTCCAAAGCTCGCGGGTTTTGAGTAGATTGCGACTCATTGGGACGTTTATTTTTGTATTGGGTCGGACATTCGCGTCGAAGATGTCCCCGCTTATTACAACCAAAACACACGGATTTTGTGGAAATGTAATTTGCACGTGTAGAGTTTGACGTGTTCTTGGAATGACCTACTTTAGTCGGTTCGACTATTGTAAGAGTTTTTAAGTGATTTGCCAAAACATAAGGATCTCGAATTCCAGCTGTTTCCACGGAAAATTTTATGTTCTCATCAGTTATATTCCCCATGATTAAATTAACTTGATCTTCACCCGTYAGAGGCATTTTCATTTTATGAATTAACGCCAATTTTTCAAAAGCATACTCATAGAGATTATTACCAGGCTTTGGGACGCAAGCCATCATTGTTTGAATTATACTGTGAAGATCGCGTTTTGTTTTAAAATTGTTCAATAACATTTCTCGCCATTCCGACCACGTGAACATCTTTGTGGGAAGCCCCTTATACCATACCTCTGCTGGCCCTCGTAACTTACTTAAGGRCATATGACAAGTGGCCCTATCATCCCACCGATAAATGACAGCATATTCCTCCACAGAGTTGATCCAGTCTTCCACGTTGTTAATGGAAGGATTGAACTCAGTAACGAGGTTTTGGGAGAGATGTAACCCCACACTACTGTTTCCTGGCGAGGTGCCCGCTGTGAGACGACCAATTCCAGCCACAATTGCATTTCCCAATTGGGAAACCGAATCAGACAGGGCTGAGCGTATCTCACGTTGATGTTCGTGGTCCCTGGATCTACTATGATTTCCAGAACGAGAGTTCCTCGATCTCCCAGTACTGGGAGATCGCCGAGACCTGCTTCTGGAACGCCTTGGCATTGTTTCTTCTTTTCACTACCACTATTTATACTACACTTAATTAGCACTTGGGTCTATATCCCACTTCTGATGTGAAAAATAAATTTTAAGAAAATAAAATGCGTAAAACATTCAAATAAACTGTTTATTAAATACACGGACAGAGGACTTTTATTCGAAGTTCCACTCTCTTCCTGTACTTCCGAGCGACTGTCCCTCTCCCCGGTACTTCGCCTGGAACGTTTCACGTCTCGCCCCGCTGCCCATGGACTTTGTCCTTGTCCAGGAATCCCCGACTTGTTCAGGAACCCCCGACAACATTTTGTTTTTTCTTTTCATGAAACTTGTTTAAATTTTAGAAATTTTATCTAAATTGGGTCTAGCCGTGTATGCGCATACTAGGTGCCCCAGCGTCTATTTTCGTAGGTATGTCAACGATATGATCCTTTTGGCATAAAGTAGTCTTAGAAAAAATTTCACATTGCCAACCCCTCCCTCCAATAACTGAAATAGAGGGGTACCAACTCTTAACTTAATTTTTTTTTTCAATAACTAATAAAGATATTAGAAAGCACTCAACGCACACTTGTAGAGAATTTTGAACTTTATTATATATTTTTTCTTTGATTTTTATCTTTATTCTAAAAACCCATTTTTTTTTAAATTGGGGGTGACTTTTTTTAACAACCCCTTAAGCGACACCTACCGAAAAAAAATAGGATGATTTCCTATTAGTCGGCTTTTAAACCCCAAGATACAAAAATTATAGGAATGGTGGAACATATGTAAAAAAAATAAAATCAACTAGTGTCACTATTTTATGTACGTGATTGGCTTCTTAGATTACTTGTCTTGATTGATCTCTCAAGAAACATAGGGAAGTAACAGTTATACAGAAAATATACGATAATGATAATGATAGCAACACTGCTACAGTTGGCTACGTTTATTTTATGCGTTTTTTTTGTTGTTTTAGGTAAAATAAAACATGATACAAGAAACGTAACCTTTTCAGGTTTTAGATTAAGTACTTGGGAATTTTGAAGGCGAAGGGCGATAGTCCCTTGTTTTTTAAAGATTCGTCCGCAATATAAAAATCTTAATAACATTTACTTATTACGTAAGTTACTATACCGAGTGAGTAAAAAGTATGGGACCAAGCGTTTTTTACATAAAGTAATTACTTTACGAAAAAAATTATTAGTGCAGTGTAAAGTACTATAAAAATGTGATCCTTTTTCAAGAATAATTTTTTTCAAAAATCCCGGTGATGGAAATGGCAATCTACTGTGACAATTTTTTTTACTTAAAGATTATACAGGCTGTATTATAAAAAACGCTTCAAGACATAATTTCATTACTTTTAAAGACGTTATAATACTTTATTTTTGCTCAAAGTTGATCAGTTTTTTGTTACCAATTGTTAGATAAAATGAATAAAAATGTTCTATTCTTTCCACAGCCTACTTTATATAATTTAATTTTTAAATTGTCTAAAATTAAAAGTTGTGATAACAATAGTAAGTAAGCTTGTTGAAAAGACAATTTAATAAGGAATCCAAAAATAATAAAATATACAGGGTGTTACATTTAAGCAGCAGTATTGATTGAGCATCTATGTCAAACCATAGATGACAAGAAACTGTTCAACTTTGTTCCAAGAAGTATTGTAATATTACTATTATTAAAAATAATGGAGTTATGACTTGGGGCGTTTCTTATAATACAGCCTGTATAAGTACTAAAAATGACCTCTAATAAAACTGATTTTTAACCAGTAGTTTTTTAAAATATTTAAATTGTTAAAGTTGTGTTCCGAGCTCATCACGAAGATTTTCCGAACTTAGGTAACAGATGTGGTTGTTTCATGAATTTGGACGTAGGAGACCACGGTTTTTTGTACTTAGGAGTGTTTCCAGATGGATGAAAAAATTTAATAAGAACTTACTTTCTTCCATTTTTAATCCGTTTGAAACCACCCTTAGGTAAGTACCTGCACAAAAAACAAACCTGCCCTGCTCGACCGCAACTTTAACATTTATTAAAAAAAACTACTGGTTTTATTTAATTAAAAGTTATTTTTAGATCATAATCTTTAATTAAAAAAAATGGCATGATGGGTTGTCATTTAAAAAAAAATATGTTGTGGGTATAAAAGCTGACTAATAGCTTCAATAGCCTCAATTTTTTCGGTAGGTGTCACCCCCAATTTTTAAAAAAAAAATTTTAGTTTTTAGAATGAAGATAAAAATTAAAGAAAAAAATATGTATAATAAAGTTTAAAATTCTCTACAAGTGTGCGTTGAGTGCATTCGAATATCTTTATTAGTTATTGAGAAAAAAATAATTAAGTTAAGGGTTAGTACCGCTCTATTTCAGTTATTAGAGGGGTTGGCGATCCGAAATTTTTCCTAAGACTACTTTATGCCAAAAGGATCACATCGTTGACATACCTACAAAAATAGACGCTGGGGCACCTAGCCCATGCATATACGGCTAGACCCAAACTTATTTATACTAATTAATAATGTATTTAATATAAACATATATATAAACATAACTAATAATATAAACATAACTAGTGTTTATTTAAATTTGGCGTCATAGTTGGCGGTGATATGAGTGTGTTGTGAACGGAACACAATTTTTAATACGCCAGGTGAGGGCGAAGTTAGGTGTCAAATGTAAGATTAATAACTTTCAATACGATGGTTTGTTCACAATCAGACTTTCATATAGCTTTGACGCCAAATTAAAAAAAATACACTTGTTAAAACTGTAAATGTTAGCCACAAATAATTTTCAATCAATTGGTTAATTTTTTGGAAAACTTATCTTAAGTAGGTACTTATTTTATTAAAATTTAGAAATAAAAGATTTCTGCTCATCTTAAAATGCTTTAGGTACGTTTCAAGTGCTTACGCCCCACCATTTTACTTATGTATAAAATATTCGAACCTGTTCCATAGGTACAAAAAAATTACCAAAATGAAAGTATACAGAGCAGCTTTCTTCGTGGCTGTTTTCGCCTTTTTGTATCCCCAGTTTACAAAAGCGAATGTTTCAAAGTGTTACTACTGCATACACACATGCAGCGACCCTCTAGAAGTTCAAATCTGTCCAACTGCTTATGACGACTGGAGATGTATTTCAGCTAAGCTCGAAGCTAGTAAGTGCTAAATTTTAAAACATTCTGTGAAAAAATTTTGTAGAGTCAAAAGGAGTTGCCTTTAATATAATTTTTGCTTATTAGATGGAGAAAAGGACGAAGTCAAAGGATGTATTCTCAGTAGCGACAGTGCAACGAAGGCAAATTGCGACACCATCAATAATGGAGATGGTGGAAAATGCTTCATTTGTGACTCGGATCTTTGTAACGCATTATGATGATTCGGATAATATAATAACTCGGCTGGAGTTTACTCAACTTCAGTTATTTTGCTGTTTAGTTTGTTCTTTCTTCTTAAGAAACTTAATTATAAATAAATTGTAGAAATTTTATCCAAATTTTCTAATTAATATTATGTAAGTAGGTTTTTTCCTAAAAATGTATCTATTACCTAGTACTCCATTTTGTGTAAAAAATAAAAACATTTATCTAACAATGTGCGAATATCTTATAGCAGGTAAAAATGTTAAGGTTAAAATGTTTGCACAAACTTTAAAATCACCTGTATTTCAATTTCAAATCAGAAAAAAGTGTCAAAACCTTCTTCTGTCATTCCTATTTTAAAAAATATATTTTTAACCAAACACAATGATGGGATATGATTTAGACAAACATTATTTTCCCAAAAAATGTGTTACCCTCTATCTTAAATGCGTTAACGAATCTTTTGTTTTTCTAATATTTCAGAGATAATACGATTAATTTGCCATTATAGGCAAATCATAGAAAGCACTTAACTAATAGATAAAAAGAAATATCGTTTTAACGTCAACAAAATTTCTATAATTGTAGATTTTACAAGGGCTGTCTTGAAATAGTAGGTGACTTCGACCTTCGGTATATAACGAATATGAATAACCAACATTTTTCATCAGTATCTCTAGGTATTGTTTCATAATATGTTATCTTAGCAAACTGATAATAACGAAACGTAATAATCATTTGCTTTACCCATCAATATTCTAAGAATTGTAAACAAAAAGTAGTATCGGTTTTGATAAAGTGATTCACACTATTTATAACAAAAGAATCTGGGCCGAATTTTCCTATAAATAAAAACATGTTTCCTCCGATTAAATAGTCCAAAATGAAGTTTTTAAAAGCAAGTTTTTGTTTTACATTTTTTGTAATTTTTTCAACAGTTAGGACTTCAGGAGCGACAAAATGTTATGAGTGTTTCTATGACTGCCAAACACTAGTGAATGTGACTTGTAACGACAACAAAAACGATGATTTTCTGTGCTTTTCCACAAAGTTTCCTTTAGGTAAATAATTGGTATTGTGGCTAGAATGATTTTCATTGAAAATTTTAGGTGGAAAAGATATGAATGTTAAAGGATGTATTCTTGCCGATGATCAGGAGTTCAAGGCTAATTGTAAAGCCCTTAATGAGTTCGATAACAATTCTTGCTATGTTTGTGATAACAATTTTTGTAATTTATTGTAATAAATAATTTTAAATAAAAAAAATTAAGCCAAAAACGAACAAATCACAAACGCGCCACGAACCGCGTTTTGTAACAAACTCGGTAACAAATTCGTGTAATATATTATTACAACAAATATAAAATTTATATGAAGTGCGCGTTTTTTCTACCCGTCCGTTCTGAAACGTAATTTTGTAACATTCCTTTGATGTTTCGTCTTTTGCAAGTTTGCAAAACTACGCGGCGCGTGGCTCAAGTCTCAAGCAATGATTATTAATTATCTTTAAGTGTTGTGCAATTTAAGTGCTGGTGTATAGAAAATAGATAGGTACTTTATAAAAACAGATAAAAACTATATAAAGCTCAAGTTCAAGTTGTTAATCTGTATTGATAGTTATAAAAGAGACACTTTTCAGAAAATTAAACGGATATGACGAAAATGTGATAATAACGACGACGTAATAAATTATAAAATAATTTTTGGCATTTTTTCAACTTTAAATAAAACTGTATACATTTAAAACTAAAATTAATTTTATAAGTTGAAGTGGTTTTACCAACTTTATTAGGCATGTCTAAAAAATAATTAAAAAAATTATGTATACCTAGAAAATTCCGTGTCTTGAATTAAATTACTAGTTCATTATAAATGTTTGTAGTCCAAGTAGGTTAGACCCTTGTGTTTGTGTATTCGCCTCTCTACTTCAAACATAAAACAAAAATGTGGTAACTTAATTGACAGGCTAAAATACATATTATAAAGCGACACACAAAAAAATTTACATTGGGAATCATGACCAACTTGGACTACAAACATTTATAATAACCCTGTATGACTAAATATTCTGTGGTTTTTGAACTTATGTTTGCAACCTTGAAAAATGAGAAAGAGATGATACGAAATATGCCTAATATTGTAGGTATTTAGTGATGCAAATTGTTTTAGAATCATTGCTTACTCTGATCACTAATCAGGTATAGCATTGTCATAGTAGATATGGTCATGATCACTGTTATTTTTTTAATTTCAATTGCTTAAGAGCACACACTTTTTCACACTATTTTTTAGATTTTGATCGTCTCAGAAACTAAAACCCGAGAATCTTGATTACGTTGATATTAATATCATTGAATAATGTAGAAATAGAAACAGAAGATACGAGACTTGTCAATTTTTATATCTTCCGTTCTACAAGGTGTCTGAAAATTAGGGCATTTGGAGTTCAGAGCGTTGTAGGAAATCTTGGAAATCTTTTACAAGGAGTAACAGAAAAATTGTTGAAAAATCTGACGACCTCGCTTTACAAAGATATAGAGGTCTGAACATGCAGACTTTGCATAAAGTTTACAAATGTTGGCATTTATTTTCGTTTATATAAGGCTTTGTTATGTGTAATAATTAATAACAATACAAAAAAAATCTCCAAACAGTGATTTAACGCGGAGTAAAAAATATTAAATTTTCGCAAATTGGAAACAAATGGTGCGGGAGTGGTTACAAAAATAAGAGGATAGTTCGCTATGGTCCATTGATTTGGCTCGCAAGAAGTGCGGTCATTTTTTATGTCATGAAAATAGTACTATTTTTTATTAATTTTCCTCATTATTTATTTTTACAAGTCACAGCATGTTTATTTATTAAAAAAAATCTTGGAATGGCTTAATGTTGAGACACCTGTATATTTTTTATTATTGCCAATTTGATTTCAAAGTCATATGCCACCTTGATCAGACATTTAAACATACCTAGTCGTAGTCGTTGTTCAACAATGTTTTGCCAAATAGTCAATTACTGTCATAGAATAAAATTTATGTAGGTATACTTTAATGCTATCTTCAAATACAATAATCGATACGCAGAATTTGTGAATCCTTATCTTGTCAGTAAACAGGACGTCAATTTAATTACAAAAATCAGCACTTACACTCTTACTATACTTTTTCAGCAAACCAGCCTATCAACCATTGTTAATTGTTGTTAGTAAAATGACAAGAAATTTATATAAATGATTCAACAATAAACTACAATCTATGTATACCTAATTCATCCTTGTGGTGATTATTACATAATTTCAAAAGTGATAATATCACTGCTGTTATCTCTTAGTTATAAACGCGTGCTTCAATAGTTACCAATTGATCGTCAACAAACCGAAGAGAAAATCGATTGTGGTTCATTTTTGGATTAGGAAATTTTTGAATTAGGAAAAATAATAACAAATCTCTATGTGCTTTTGCTCATCAACTGATCAAAATGCATAGATTCTAAATCTGTTGTTATTAATTACCCTCACACATTATAATTATCATCTGTTAATTTTCCACGAACCTGATTGTTTTAAGTATCAAAATTTATTTGGAAACCAAATTCCTGTTTTCTGCTAATCTTAAAGTGGTTCATGAGAATTAGAGATAAGTATTTACACCCCACCATTTCAGCCACCTATAAAAGATTAGAATCTGGTGGACACACATCAGTCTCATACACAAAAAAACACCAAAATGAAAGTATACAGTGCAGCTTTCTTCGTGGCAGTTTTCGCCTTTTTGTATCCCCAGTCTACAGAAGCGAATGTTTCAAAGTGTTACTACTGCATGCACACATGCAGCGACCCGCTGGAAGTTCAAAACTGTCCAAGTTATGGCGACTGGAGATGTATTTCAGCTAAGGCCGAAGCTAGTAAGTGTTAAATTTTAAAACATGCTGTGAAAAGAATTTCTAGAGACAAAAGGAGTTGCCTTTAATATAATTTTTGTTTATTAGATGGACAAAAGGACGAAGTTAAAGGATGTATTTCCAGTAGCGACAGTTCAACGAAGGCAAATTGCGACAAGATCGACAATGCAGATGGCGGAAAATGCTTCATTTGTGACTCGGATCTTTGTAACTCGGCTGGAGTTTACTCAGCTTCAGTTATTTTGCTGTCTAGTTTGTTCTTTCTTCTTACGAAACTTGTATAAATTGTAGAAATTGTAGCTAAATTTATCTGTTTTGTATTATGCAGTAGGTTTTGTTCGAAAATGTATCAAAGTAGAGTAAAACCAATAAATTATTTTTATTACTAGCTTGCTATCTATTTTCCACCTCCAGATTTATACGCAGTTATGAAAACAAGTTAATAAAGATGTACAACCGATTTTGGTATCTGTTGTTTTTTAGTTTTAAATTTCATTGCAAATGTAATCTCTAATAAGTGATTTTCACATTTTGCTACACAGGAGAATAGTTTTTACACTTAGGTATTAGTCTTATTACACTTTCAAAATTAAAAAGAAATAAAAAATACCTATAGGTAAATCCAATTGTACTATTTGTCATTCAAGATAAGACTTCTGCTCTCCCTGGTAAAGTTTTTTGATCAGCTTCAGTTCAAACCGTTGCAAGATTAATAGGAGAAAATCAGCAAAGTAGCTGACCTCTGGTGTCCGGTTTGGAACTATTCAAATGGGGAAAACATATTTTGACAATATCAGTTTTCCATTTTTGTCAATTTGACAAGTCAATGTAAATGTGAGTACTTGCAAGCGTTTTTGCTCCGTATTTTGTAGAAACTATGTGGGAGGGTCTATTTCGATGTATTACTTTCTAAAATCGAGATTTTAACTTTTGGTATTATTATTTTAAACGTCGTCTGCATTGATTGACAGTAATAAAAGTCTGGGCAATGTCAAAAAATGGCCGTTGGAGGAGCGACGAGTCCGCGCTCCAATGGAATCTGTATATTTTGGTTTGAAACCTTGAAAAATTTTTGTTACAAAAATTTACTTTTGTGTTTTATGGGTTGTATAATAATAAATGCGTAATTGTTTACTTTTGATTTTAATTTTTTCTAAGAACTAGACGAAAAACATCAAAAATTAAAACATTTTATACGCAAATATAATTTTATTTATTTAAAAAAATAAAGATTTACATTTGGGTTAGATATTTATTTTTAATTCTTACAAATTTACAAGAGCATTAACATATTACAATAACTCTTTATTATTTTTATTATTAATTATAAATTAGATGAAGTAAAAACACAGCCCTTGGTTCTAAGTCCTTTGCATCTGACTCAATTTTCACTACACCTTTACTGTAATTGTCAATTTTTTTCTGCATTTTCTTTAGTTTTTCAAGTTTATTTTCATACAGCTTATTCGACTTTTGAAATCTTACATTTGCTTCCTGTAACTTTTTTTCTAAATTTTGAATTTTATCTAGTAAGACAAAATTTTTTGCCGAACATATTGCATCTGAAACATTTTTTAAATCAAAATCATGAGTATCACCTACATTTAAATCGCTTTGTTGTTCAAAATCAAATCGAAATGGACTTGAAATTATATAATTTTTGTCAAATGACTCTGGAGACTGGAGACACGGTGCAGGCGTTTCTAACGACTTACGTTCTGAATTAATGGAAAAGGAAGAGATTACCTGAAAACGAGTATTTTTTTTATAATTCAAGAGATGGTAACAATTTTTTGTTTTTGTAATAGCTCGTTATTTCAAAGTGTTTTCACAAATCACGGAATTTGGGAGTATATTGCCGATGGTACCAAATATTCTTATAAGCCATCCGTTTTTCTGATTTCTACTTTTGGAAATTGATGTAAAAAATAACATCCTCTTTCTCCCCTTGGCCACAGTTTGGAACACAGTAAGTTCGGATATTTGGCATTTTAAAAAACATAATGTAATGACCGTCATCTACCGAAATTTACCATTTTGGCCTATTGCCCAGACTTTTATTACTGTCAATCAACGCAGACGACGATTTTAAATAAAGAAATACTTTTAAAAACCGTTAGGTGACAGATTAAATAAAACTAAAAGTTGTCACAAAATTTCGTCAAAATCCCGCCAAAAGTCGCGGCGCCGTCGTCTAAGCTACGCGCCAAAATTAGGAAAGGAGACATAGAAATGTTTTTAAGTTGTCAAATATGTAATGTCTTTAAAAAATACAGGGTGATTCACGAGGAATAATGAGCCTGACCAAATTCTCGATGCACCCAACATTAATTACATTTTCATAGGTCAGGTAGATTTCAAAGATTTTTTGTAATAAATATGAAATTTAGCAAACACACTTACAATTTGTCAGTTTTTGATATTAAAATAATGAAAACCAGAAATAATTGAAGTACCAACATAATAATGGATATATTAAAATACGAATTACAGAATGCACCCATTCAAGCTTCATCCAGTGGTACCCTTCGCTTTGAACCCAATTTGCTAAAAAAACTAACCTGATTGTGTTAGAAGGTGCTCTTTCTTTGGGGATATCATTGGGCTTCACACAGGCAGCAAGAGATACATTCTTCAAACATTCTCCATTAGCTAAAATCATGTCAATCTTCTCATCATTGGAATAAGTCTCATCATTGCTCAGTTTATAATAAATTTGTAGTGTTTGTCAAAAATGACAATAATGATTATTGATGATTATAATAGGCATCGTGGATTCAAATTTTATATTTTTTTAAAGTGTTGCCAAGCAACTTGCAAAAGTGTAATAGTGGTTGCATCGAGAATTTGGTCTGGCTCATTATCCCTCGTGAATCACCCTGTATAAAATTTGTATTGAAAAAAAACAGTCTTTTATTAATTTTTACATCTTATTAGGTACATACATTAATGGTAGATTTATAGAAAGCGAATTAAATCAAAATTAAGTTAGTCACCATTCACTTCAAAATTCTGAAATCTGATTGGTTGTTCATCAAAATTGAATCAATCACGTAATTTAATTGCAATCAAATATTTAATTCGGCTTCTATAATTCCACCGTAATTATATCGAGAGATCAAGATAATTTGTAATGGAGTCATCTTTGTATCCGAAAACGTATGTTTGTTTTTCAACTAAGTGCGCGTGAAACGTCAAATAAAATCTAGTCGAAAGATAAAACGGTAAAATGGGCTGGAATTAGTTTCCGACATACAATAAGCTGTATAATGGAAAACGCCCCAAGCCCTAACTCCATTATTTTCAAAGTTATGACAATTGACAATACTTCTTAGAACAAAGTTGAACATTTTTGCCATCTATCGTTTGAGATAGATGCTAAATTAATGCTGATTTTTGTTTCACCGAAAGTGACATCAACTTTAATTTTTTAAATGTATATTTTACCACTTTAGGATTCTTTGTCTAATTGCCTTTAATGTGATGCAAATAAATAAAAACAAAATACTGTAAAAATTATTGACGTGTTTTTTCAAGAAGTTGAATTTGTGATAAAAATATGTCCGAAAACGAAAAACAAAAAGAAATGGCTATTTTAGCAAGAAACGAAAGCTGTAACACTTGAGTTATCGCTACGAAAATCAAGAGAAATCTATGAAAAACTTTCAATGAATTTTTGCAATGGTGAAAAATATCGCTGACCGCCAGATTAATGAAAACGTTTTACTTGTTTATTTTAAAGAAGAGTCTCAGAAATTTTGCCCATCTACCTTATGGTCCAATTATTCTACGATTCACTCGGTTATGGTTTTGAAGCATGGTATCGATATAAAATAATATACCTAAGCTTTTATATGTAAAGCTAATTGTTTGTAACTACATATTACAATAAAAGATATTACAATTGCTGATTTTTTAGGACTTAGGGCGCAAAAAACACTATTTACGCCCGCAAATTAATGCATAAATGACCTAATTTTAAGACGATTTTACAAAAAGTATATTTTACTGAGATTGAGAAATTTTATTTTTTGAAGGATTGAATAAAATGGCCGACACGTTGGAAAATGTGTATCGACCTAAAAAAGAATTACGTTAAAAAATAAAAAATGAAAACTTCTAATAAATTGCTTCTTTAAAGATGACTCGATTACAAATTATCTTGATCTCTCAATATATCCATGATGAAGAACAAATAATGTGTTCCGTTTTTATTGTTACAAATTTAAACAGGTGATGGAATATTCAATTTTAATGCAAAAGTTTCCTGTGAACATGTATTAAAAAAAGTTATGTAGGTAAGCGAGCTACGCCCCCTGAAAGAAATGTGTTTACAAAAGTTGCTACAGCTTTAAACACCTGAACAAATTCAAAGATCAGCTGTTTATTGTCTGTAACATAAATTTTAAAACTGATTTTAGTCAAAAACGGTAAGTAGCATCAAAACGGAACAGCCTGTAATAATACACTAAGCAGCATAAGAAAGGAATATTACAAAAATAAATACTTTTTTAATAATAATAATTTTTCTTAATCGTTACTTTGGCATATGATTAGTCATAATTTTTTCATTGTTTCCAAATATGTATTGTGTCGAAATATTAATCAAAAAACAAAAGATGATTCAAATTCGCAGATAAAACAATTAGATTTCATATCTTAATATCTATAAAAGCCTATAATGCGTAGATTCTTTATTCGTTCTCAATATGAAAATTCACAACGTTATTTTCTTTGTTACTCTTTTTGCTTCTTTGGAAGCAAGTGTTAAGCAATGTTACTGCACTTACAACAAACTCAATTGTAAGTCAGGCATCATAAGTTGTGGTCCAGGTGATTTTAGTTGTATGGCAGCCAAGACTGAAATCAGTAAGTTTCAAATTCTGTAGTTGTGTTTTTTTTGTAAAATATATTTCAGATGGTGTCACTGTAAAAGTTCAAGGGTGTATTGATAGTTACGATTCTAAAGGTCAGAAGTCTTGTGAAGACATCAACAAATTTGGCGGTTTGTGTTACATATGCCATACAGATCTTTGTAATTCAATATAAAAATTACATAATTTCTAGAAGAAAATCCAGTGTTGTTTGATATTTGATTTATTTATTTATTCATCACTTAAAGATCATTGTTTTTATAGCTAAACAACTAAGTATAGTTATATACAAAGTGCGTCAGAACTCGCGCCCCAGAGAAAATTTTCAAGTAAGGTAAGATACCAGAAACATGAAAAAAATGTTTAAAAAATTCTATATGACAAAAAATTTGACATTTATTTTTTGACATTTGACATTTTTTTATATCTATTTAAGGATACTGATGATCTTGTATATGCTTTTTTTACAATTATTTAGTAAAGGGACAAAAATTTTGCCAATAAAAGCCACAAATAACATTGAACAGAGTTACAATTTAGGATACAGCTTCCTTGCTTCCTCTTTTAATAGCCTATAGCAAAAAAACTTGGAAAATTATTTTTCCAACAGAAATAAATAGAGTCAAAATGCAAACTTTAAACCCTCATAACTTCGAAATTTTTATAGATAAAATTTTTTTAACATTTTTCCATATTAGGTCTTACCTAATTTTTCTCTGGGGCGTGAGTTCTGGCGCACCCTGTATAGTTAAAGAAGGGCCGACTACTGAAGAAATTGAAAGATGTAATACCACAAAAATAAAACATCTTCAAGTGCTTTTGTTGTACTTTGTTTTTTTTTTAAACAATGAATGGTAATTGAAATTTCGAGATAAGGATCTTGACGTGTTTATTTTTAAAATCTATATAAAAGGTTGTAATCAGGGGACTCTTTATTAATTACTTTCAAAATAAAAACTCACAGCGCTATTTTTTTTGTTGCAATTTTTACTTTACTGTATCTTCAATCGACTGAAGCAAGTGCTAAACACAGTGGCGTAACTAGAAAATTTGGGCCCCCCGCGAAAGACGACTGTGGGGCCCCTCTCTTCTCCGGTTCGGGAGTTAAATAGAGTAAAAGAGCAGTTATGTCTCTAGTAGTCTCTAGTATTAAAAATTCTGCAAATACGAATGCGAATATACGAATTTCTCACAAGTGATGCCAAACGACGAACTTCTTCTTCTCTTATTCTTTTCGTATTCTTTAAGGGGCCGCCGGAGCAAAATCTCTTATGGGAGTTCCAATGTAAATGTCCACCTCTGTATTTCAAAAACTACTAAAGATATTTTTATGAATTTGGTAGCATGTGAAAGAGAATATTTTTTTCTACATTTTGACTGTTTTAAAATTGTGATAGGTTATCTACAAATTGTAATAAAGGTAGAGAAAGTTTGAATAAAAGTGCGCATATTAAAAACACACATTTTAAGACGTTTATTCAAACTTTTAAAACAGTCAAAATGTAGATAGTTGTATATTAAGGTGACAATTTCAAGTCCGGTAAAAAATTATTTATAAATAACACCTCTACAGAGGTAGGACGATTTGGATTCGAAAATCCAGTGAGCACAAGATTATTTACAACCCCCACGTAAAATGTAACCGCAAACAATTAGACCCAAATTTACAACCACACCCGCCGACAAGCTGATGACACAGATGTCATGGATTTCTAAAAGAAGATTTTAGAGATTTTTAAAATTGCTTTACAATTTAATTTTTAAAAAATGGAGTCGAAGTTGGAGAAATTTTACATTTTTACTTCTGGAAATAATTGATCCAAGAGCGTCCAGAAGTATGTCACTAAGGGAGATTCAATTAAATTAATTAATAAAAATTTTTACAAAATAAATAGTTATTTATTATAGAAGACGATAAAACTGAATTTTATCTTTGAGAGCAATTTAAGCTAATATACTCGAAAAGACAATGAAAAGTTTATTGTCGTGTACAATATAAAATTTTATTCAATCCTCACTATAATTTTGTAGTCAATTTGGTCGATATTTATAAATGTCAAAGTAAAATTCAACAATGAAATCTAATGTCAATGATCGTTAGCAACTAATAATCGCAGATATACAACAATTGATGTATTTTTTATCATCTAGACGATAAAATTTCAGTGAACATTTTAAAGTGACAGAAAAATACTGCCCGAAATTTTAATTCCAAGTGGTGACTGGAGTTGTCTATCGGCCACAAGTGTAGTCAATAAGTTTAAGAAATAGTGTAAATTGATTTGTAAGCTTCCTTTTTCAGATGGTGTCGTTGAACATGTGAAAGGATGCGTCGAGAGTGGAGACCTTGAAGTTAAGAAAAATTGCAAATACATTGACAGTCTTCCAGATGGGTCGTGTTACATATGCACTACGGATCTTTGCAATTCAGAATAAAAACAAAAAATACTATTTCCAATTTTGTTTAAGTTTTCATTTATCTTATGATTCATTCATTACTCAAAGATTTACTTTGCAAGTAAAAGTCGGTTCAAATTCTAGTAAGCTCACAAAGTCGAGATTGTTGCTAAGCAACGATAAACTAATTACGTTTTTATGTCAACAATGACGTCACACTTTTATAATAATTTAAAACGACATTTACGTGTACATATGTATATCGCAACAAATTGTTGCGTTTTTTAGAATAATTAAATTAACACCCTATAGAATTTGCAAATCACTTTTACAGATAATAATTTTTATCGGCTATAGATAAAACAACTCGAAGCCAAAATTAGTATTTTTTTCCAAGATGAAAGTCTCCAGTGCTGTGATTTTCGTCCCAATTTTCCTTTTTCTCTATTTTCAAACATCACAAGCGGGAGTTTCGCAGTGTTATTACTGCAACAACACCTGTCATGACCCTCTAGATATAGAAAACTGTATAGCACCCGACAGATTTGACTACAGATGTATTTCGTCAACAAGTAAAATCCGTAAATAATGTAAACAATTTATATAATTTTTATTAATTACCTTTTTGCAGCTTTTGGTGATACTACAAAAATCAAAGGCTGTGTTGACAGCGATAACAATTATATTAAAGAAACATGTGAAAAATTGAGTAAATGTTACATGTGTGATACAAATCTTTGTAACTCAGCTGATGTTTATTTATCTTCACTACTTTTATTGTTTGCTTTATTAGTGATTTTATGAAGAAACATGAAACGTAATGCTTATGCGACCAACAATGCATTCAATAAATAGATTCGAAATGTAAACATTTTTTTTCGGCGGGGTCACCTTTATCACGACTATATAAATTTCATAACAAACATGTTTTACCAGAAATTAGCCCAATAATGAGTTCCGCATTTGTTACATTTTTTTTGTCGCAGTTTTTGTCCACTTTCACGGTAAGTGTAAAATTGTTTCGATTTGTTTCCTTAAACAAATTTACAGTTACCGTTAATGGCGTGTCAAAATGTTATTTCTGTCAAGATTCATGTCAGGAGCCTCCACAAACCGTAGATTGTCCTCCTGGTGGGCGCTGTATGGCTAATGGAGTCATCTATGACAGTAATTGGTTAAATTGAGTTTTATTTTTGTAAATAATTGTTTGTTTAAACAGGTGAACACCGAATCCAACAAAGAACATGCATTGTTGCCAACAGCACACTCGAGGAGAAATGCGCCAAACTCAATCAGACTAAAGATGCATTTTGTTATTTTTGCGACACTGAGCTTTGTAATTCTAAAGGATTCTAAATCGAGATTCTAAATAAAATTGTTGGTAAAATAAGCCAAAATAACAACTTTGTACGTTGCGTAAGGTTAAATTAATTTTTCTTTACAAATGTAACAAGATCTGTTTTGTTTATCCAGCTTGTCACAATTTTCTTATCAATCGTATTACGAATGTTCACACATTTTTTAAATTTGACGTCGCAAAAACCTGGAAATAAAATTTTTAGATGTTGTAAATTTTTAATTTTGAAGACTTTTGGCATGTTATTTCCTCTAAAGGGTCGTTACATTTGCCGTCGATTATTTATTGTTATTAAAAAAATTTAAAAAGTACCTTGAGTCAGGAAAAATGGCACAAAACACAATTACTGTAGCAATTTTCATCTTGTTAATATTTTTTCTTACGACCCTAATAGAAAGTAAGTTTTTCTACCCTAATTTTAGTAGCCAATTCACACTAGAGAGTTAAAATTTTTAGCTCTCTCATCTGTCAAAATTACAATAAAAAAAGGTTTAAACTTTTCAGGGAGAGGTTAGAAACGGAAAAACATGCTGCTTTAATGGCGAAACTGGATATCAAGAGAAGTTGTTAGTTTTGAAGTTTTTCTTGCTGCATGGTAGGAATAACTAACTAAAAAAGTTGTAATTTTTTAAAGGGTGAACAAACTAGAGAATATTATCCAATTTTTCAAAATTTGTAATTGTATCGGAAATGTGTATTATTGATTGCATCTTACAGGCGCAGGACTCGTAAAATTATGTGAAACACCCTGTATATTACACTGGAGGATAGATACACTTTCCTCCTTTGTAACACAAACAACTGTATCTAATTGTGTGCTGTATTTAAAACTTTGTTAAAGGTGGGAGAAATAAGTCACTTTTATTTTATAATTTTTTATTTACATCACGTAATAAAAACCTAAAATACAAATAACAAGTACAATTAGATTTTGATTTTTTGAGCCAGAATTATTGCAGAAATCCGTTTCACACATACGACATTCTTTCACACTAACAACTGGATTATTTGCATAAACTTTTTCTATAATTTCACACTGTTGGCTTAAATAGCAACCTTGAAATACAATTTCATAATCTGGATCTAAAAAGAAAAATGTAATTGTTTTTTCTTTTCCAAATAACGTTGCAATACATTTTATGTTATATTTACCACACATAAATGAACAGTCGGTGGTAACATCACAAGACTCATCTACCGGGTGGTTGCACTGGTAGCAACGCAGAGCAGAAACTTTTTCGACATAAATAAGATTAATATAATAGTATATTAAAACCCAGGTGTGAAATATATCATTAACTCAAGGACTTAGCAGACAATGAATTCCCACCGAGGTTTGTATGTTATTTTATTCACAATCACATTGTGTAGTAATAAAATATCTTTTTTTGTTAAAAACAAACGTTAATGTAGGTGCTTTACAAATAAATTACGTTTTTGATTTGATCTTGCTAATATTTCTTATATTTTCCGACCTCCAAAAAGTTAGGAATCGATATCTATATTACTGTATGTAGTGATTGTGATTAAAAAAATATATAACATATAAAAAAACTTGCCTGTATTAAGAATGAGAATTGGAAGCACAAGTACGAGAGTTAGTTTTGCCATTTTGCTATTGACTGGTAATGATTTAAGAGAGTTGTGTTATCATAAAGATAGCAATTAGTTTAGTATCTTTAGTAAATACCATTTGTTAACTTTTTGGGTGTTGACTGCAAGTTTTTTAAGCCGTTAATCTTTTAATCAATAGTTGTGACAGACCTTTCTTAAAAAAAAATTATCCATAATAAATCATACAGCTTTACAGGTTGTTAAAAAATATTTAAAGAGATAATAGTATGAACCAAGATAAACAAAAAAGTTTTAATAAACATGGGTACGCAAAGTAACGGTTTCGGAGATACCGAATGTGAGCAGATTGTAAATGTAAATGTTTCAGAAAACGAATAATCTTTGATATTTCAGAAACCGTTACGTTGCGAATCCATGTTTACTAAGACTTTTTTGTTTGTTTTGGTTCATACTATTACCACTTATTACCTCCTGAAATATTTTACAATTTTTTTAACACCCTGTATACCTATCTACAGTGTGTCCCCGGATACTTGTGAAACGACATTTGTTGTAAAATATAAAAAATTCTCGATTTTAGTTTTCATTTTTTGGGGTTCCGCCTTGCTTGGTTAAAGAATAATTTTTAACATAATTTTAGTTTTAAAAAATCAAGAAAACCAAATTAAGAAAAATATATTTCCGTATTGTGGCAAAAAGTGCTCTATGAATACAAAGCAATTTTTGGTTGACAAAAGCAAAAACATTAACCTGAATTATATTTTAACGCAATTTCTTAAAACCCAACACAAAGGAATAACGTAGACTTTAATCCAAATATTTACTCCCAGCTTTGCTCAGTTTGAATATAAACTGTAAGTTCCTCAATTTACTACATCAGAATTAAAAATGGCAAACTTAAATGCACTTCTTGTCCTCACAATTCTTCTAATTTACTTAAAATCTGGTAAGTGTAAAACTTAGTTTATTATTAATTAATAAAAGAAAAAAGTTACTTCTCTTCAGTGTTACTTTTGTGATGGTCCTCTCAGCTCTGAATGCGACACTTTAAATTATATTCCAGCCAAATCGTGTTTCAATGAAGACGTTTGTGCACGATATATTCTCAAAAGTAAGGTTTTTGTCTTATTTTTATTACAATAAGATTTACAAAATTATGTTTTAGAAGTTGAAACTGAGATTTTGTACCGTTCTTGCGCTCCTTTAAATTACTGCAGCATTTTAGCAGCTCAATATAAGAATAGTTCTCTGGTTTCAGTAAAAGAATGCAAAGTTTGTGACACAGATGAATGTAACTCTTCAGAAAGAAATTTACAGTCTGTTTGGTTGAGTTTAATTACAGGCATGAGTTTGTTTGTTGTGTTGTAAAAGGTAAGTTATCCATTCGCATAGCTGTTGCCGCTAAACCATAAATCGTACTCCTTGTAACCCTCATACCTTGTGAAAATCGAGGTTTTTCGGTACCTACTCAATATGTCTATTCTTGTTTTTCCATGTCACTGTATGTTGTCGGAGTAAGAGGAAGATAGTGACGTAAAACTTTCAAATGAGAAGCAGAATTCCGGATCAGTGGTAACAAAACTCAAAATTTAAAAGTATTTAACAAATATTCGTTTTATAAAATAAAATCCAACCCAAATCGAGGGCGAAATGTTTTGGGTGCACTAGTACCTGTCACCCTCGGCGTCGTTATATTGCTTAGAGGCAACAGCTTCGTGAATGGATAATACCAAGATTAATCTTTATAAAAGTATCCTAAACTCTTCTCAATACAATAAAGTGCCAAATTTTGACCTGCGGTGTTGGGTTTAAGGGTATGTATACGTCCCGGAAAAATACTCGACTCTGTTTTCAAATAATTCTGGATCTACTTTTAAGAATTATAGAGGGTGACCTAATAGGATTCTAAATGGTTTTTTTTTTATTTCACTTTATTTGTGTCTTAAAATTTGAAATGCATTTATAAAAGTTTCGAATTTTTTGCAATATGCTATCTTTTTTTCAATAATAATTTTTGACTTTATAATACTATCGTCAGACGTGTGCCGAACCTCGTGGCACACACCACGGGATGAAAGCTGTTTGGTATGTTGTATGTATCTACTGACTCAGTACTCTGATGGGTAAAAAAAATTAGAAAGTTGTTGGGTCAAGTGCATAGATCATAGTGCATAGAAGATTATATTGAAAAATAAAAATTATTGTTACCAAAAAATTTTTGTTTCACTAGGAATTGTTCCACCCTCGTATTGGACTTAGCTAGTAGGAATCGAATTAAGTTAATTGTTTGATTTTAAACTATTACTTTATTTTGTCAATCAATAGCTCCATTAATTCGAGAGGAATAAACTTAAGTATGAACTAATTAGTGTAATGTTTCATCTTTTATTTTATTTTGTCTTTTATTTTATTTTATAATATTTTCTAAACTTTAATTTGTTTAATAAACTGTTATTGTTAATTTAAATACTTGGATTTCTGACTGCTTAAATCCTTCATCTTTCCCAAAGTGATTGGCTCCACAATATAACGCTGGAAAACCTACCTCATATAAATTTATTCTTCTTGTGGCGCAACCCGCTCGGACCGTAAAAGAGTACGACTTTTTTATTCAAGAATTAGAAAACGTCAACCGTCAACAACAACGGGTAACCAACCCTAGGCATTCAAAATTACTTTTGAAAATTCTAGTTACAAACAATATGAAAAACGTAATTTTCCTAAAATTCCAAACCTAGTTGGTAATTTCTTGTTGACAAATCTGTAGTAAATTAATTGTCAAAGTGACATATAGTTATCAAATAAATAAAACCGCCAATGTGATAGGACTTAAAAAGCAAAGATAAAGCCAAAATCAAAAGAAAAATTAATTTTTCTTTTCACTGAATCAGAATAATGAAGTTTTAATTACAGATTTGCTAGTTTCAAGTGAAGCGAAAAATGTTTCTCCTTTGCAGTTTTCGCGTAAAATGAAAGAAAAAAATGTTTCCTTTATTTCAATAAATTTATTTGTTTATTATGTTTAAGGTGAACAAAAAGTACTTATGGAACTAAGCTTTTTTTTAATATTTGTCTGTAGAAAGTGATATAGCTTGTTCCAAATCTGGTGGCAAACTGACGTTTTCAAAAATGACTGAATTTTGACACTAAACATATGTTTACTATTAGAAAAAATATTCTTCACAGGCGTCGTATGAAATAATATTTCAAAACCACTGTTATTTTTTTAAAAATTATAATAAGTAGGTTCTCATACATAAGATGAAGAATAATGAACAAATTATTAAATTGTTAACGCATGAAAAGAATTTTCAATAATGATATTCTTAACAATCCTTGTCTTCAAAATTTTTAGAGAATAAAAGTACGCCTATGTATTTTTCTATCTTAACCAAGTGGGCGCACTCCAAGTGTCTTATCTGTCACTGTCAGTTCGCCACCAGATATGGGATAAGCTTTAATAAAAATTAAAGTGCTCTGTTTTTGAGTTTTGCAATTGTTTTTAAATGGTAACTTATATGAAATTTTTTATCGATAAAATGTGAATAAAACATATAAAGTTGTAAGAGATGATGATGAGCGGCAAAATTATGGAATAGTCTTATTAAAACTGAAATTGTTTTGTTTTGAAAGCTGTACAATTCATCAAAAAAAAAACTTGAAAAATGATATTTTAAATGGACCCGCACATGTTTTTGGCGATTCTGACAGTTGGTCAAATTTTTAAATAGTTCTTTGTTTGAGTTGTTCATGTGGGCATTAAAAAGCGTTGCAAATTTATCTTCAAGTCTTTTGTAGGATGTCGATAATAATTCTGTTGAGTCATTTAATTCAGTAGTTAACAAACTTGTTGGAAGGAATAGAATAAATTTTTCAAATCGCGGTTCTTATCATGCGGCTGTTTTAAATTTCAATAACAAAAACAAATTTGTATTTAAAATTATGGAAAAAATATCTGGTACTAATGGTATCAACACGACAACATTTTCAGATCGATTATCAAAAACCAGAGAAACTCAAGCCGCGAAATTAAATTTAAAAAAAATCGTTTTCAAAGTGCAGGGTCCGATTATGGTGCGACTGATGACATAAAAGATATAGCAATGGAAACATATAAAAAAATAAAAAGTGAGTTTTTGAATGATTTGGCTGCTTGCGATATTTTAAAAATTCCTATTGAAACAATTGGTCAAAGTAATAACGAGCAGTGGGATAAAAAGAAACAACAGATTAACAGCTAGTAATTTTGGAAGAATTACAAATATGAAATGTAAAACCAATACAGCAAATACTGTAAAAAATATCTTATAAAGGGTGATTCTTAAATAGACCAACAAAATTTTATCCTTGGTAGTAACAAATGAGTACATGCTGGAAAAAATATTTAAAAAATTCTTTGTTTAATCGATCTCCAAATAAAATTTATTAAAGTTATTTTTGAGGTAAAGCGTACGCCACTGACGTATTTGTAAATAGTATTAGCACAGGTAGTGGAAACCATGGTATTAATTTCATGAAAATGTACTTGATCATTGCAACAATTCATAAACGCCGTAAGTGGCACGGATTAAGGGGTTTTTGCCCCTAAAAGATATAAACGTAAAAAGGGTATAGTTTGTCTTCATTTATCCTTGGGAAGCTCTGATAAAATTTTGTCGGTCTATTTAAGAATCAGCCTGTGTAGTGCAGGTGTGGCTAAATTAAAAAAAATGCCGGAAATACAACAAGGAAAATCTAACTATCATTTATCATTATGTAAACTAACCGTCAGTATTACCATATGTACATGTAGATTTCAAACAAAACCAATTTAGAAAGATATTTTACCTACCTATAGGTAAAATTATGAAAAACGTTGCGTTTTACATTGCTTTTATATTTGCAATGGATGTCGTCCACTTAGGTAAGTACATCAAAATTAAGATAAGATAATAATAACTAAAGAAAAACTCGATTCCTAATGACAATCATAAATATTTAGCTTCACACATAAACTATCACTTTTACTTCTACTAACATAATATATTATTATTTTAACAGCGCAAGTGTGTTATCAATGCACATCAACAATGGATTCGGAGTGCAAAGACACTTTAAAAGAGAATTTTCCTAATCAATGTCTTAATCGTAGCATTGAAGCAATACAGTGTTTTCGATATAAATATCAGCTAAATGGTGAGTATAAACGAGACACAGTGGTAAAATTACATGTATAGTAACTTAGAGCAAAACAACAAAATAATCACATTTTTTTAGGAGAAAATATAACACACATTGTACGGGGATGTCGGAATTTGGCTGATAACTGCGATAATATTAAAAAAGCTTTGCAAAATGAACACAAAACACTCAAAGGTTGCTGGTTGTGTACAAATGATTTGTGTAACAACAGGGATATTGGACAATCTAAAACGCTCCTAGGAAAAAAAACCACCAAAACACAAACTAATATTAGTGTTTCAGTTTTTGGATTTTTGTCTAATATTTATTATTGGCTTTTTTTCTATTATTTTGAAATGTTTACAAAAAATTTTTCTTCTTACTTAATTTATGTAAAGTAGGTAACTAATGTTTGTTCCATTTAATAAACAATTGTCAGGGGTATAATAGTAGTTCATATCGCTTTACATTACGTGTACCCGGATTTGGGGTGGGCAAACACACCTAGTCATTTTAATAGATGTGTTCCTGAAAAAACAATTGGATGTTTAAAGTCGGATTTCGACTACTCAATTTTTAGAAATTTACACAGGGAAGTGGCTACTATGAATTGACCGCGACTAGTTCATAAATTTTTTCAATTAAAACCATACAACGAAAATTCTTTCTGATTGTGACACTGACAATTGTTTATTAAATGAAACAGATTTTACTATTATATTGCCCAGGTTAAATACGTACAAATTGTCGCTATCATGTCTTGAATTATTGCTCGAATTATTGTTTTTATCCACAATCACTTTATAAAGAGACTTTATTCCACACTTTAGATGCGTATAAAGTACCACTTTATCCACTAGTAAAATACAGTAACTAAAATGTTTCCACAAGGTAAGTAGATGATATGATAAAACTACGGAGAACTACATATAATTTTTTTAAATATAGTTTTCAATAAAATGTTTGCATTACCTTTATCTCTTATTATTGAGAATTTAATGCTCTATCTGCCTTTATTTTTTTTATTTGAGTTTTGCTCACCGTTATGTAAATACAGCCATTTTTTTATTTCATTGCCCTTAAAACTTGAACGGGAAAGGAACAACTGCACTATCTGGTTTCGCTAACGGAACTATCGAGAACGGAGACGTTTTGTTTTACATCGTGTCGTATCCTAGTCTTTAGGTATCCGTAGATAAAACTTTGAATATAACTCGAATATTAGCGACTTAAACCATCTCGGACGCTGCGAAGATGACTCGGCTAGCCTTGTCCCTCAATTATTATAAATCGCTTAATTATTCTCGTTATACAGTGCGATCAAAAAGTCTTTCTATCAAGTAGGTGTACTAGTCGAGGACGTATGTCGCCTGGCAGTTCGTACTGCATATGTCAGCTAGATGGCAACAATTACTGCATGGAACGTCTTAAAAGATCCTAAAATGAGATGTAGTTGGTGTTTATTCAGACAAATCGTTCACCACAATTTGCTGTTACAGTTTAAAAATTATTTTGACATTTCTTATTTGTCATTGTGAGATTTTATCTTCCGCAGACACATGTTTTAAATTTCTAGGCTTACTTGATAGACAGACTTTTTGATCGCACTGTATTAATAGCTATTATACCGTGCGATCAAAAAATAAATAAATTAGAGTAGGCGGTAATTAAAGTCCTTCAGATGGCAATCCTAATTTTTAACATCAAATGTCAGCGGAAACTTTGAGTTTTATTCCTTTTGAGTGAAATAATGTTCACTTTAGAACAGAAAATTTTTATTGCTGTACAAGAGGAAAACGGTTGATGGTCATTTTCACTTTCAGTTTGTGGGGAAAATGTGTTGCCAACTGTAGAATTTAATCGACGCCTACTCTAATTTATTTTTTATTTGATCGCACGGCATGTTTTGGTCAGTTTGTTAATAAAACATTAAACATGTTTTTCATTCATTGTTATTAAAAAACTAAGAAAGGCTATATGATTTTGAAATTACGGTTTCCTAAATAGTATTTAGTTTCTGGGGCAAAAATTACATTGTGAATAGGTTTCCAAAAAAAGTAGCTGAGCTAAAAAATTTAGAACCAACTCTTTAAATACGATAAATAATTTAAAGCATTTTATGTTTCGTCAATTATTATTTTTTGTAGAAAAACAAACATAATGCAAAAGGTCTCCAAAAGTTTTGTTACCAATTTTTTACTTTCCTTTTATACAGGATGATTCAAAAGTGTCGGACCAATCTCGAACGGTGATAGAAGACTTTCGGCTAAGCATAAAAATAAATACAGATTTTTTTCAGTCATTTTTTCTGAGTAAGAAACTTAGCTCTTTTGTTTCCATTGTTGTCGGATTTATTTTATTGTTGAACTTGCTAGTTTGTTAGATGTTTTATACACTATAAGACACTAATTGATGATTTTTTCCGCAGGTATTTGCTTAATGTTGCAAGATCTGCCGTTTCCGGCAAAAAAAAGGCTCAAATTATTGTCATGGTAGCTTGTAACGCAGTTGGATGTTCTTTTTACCACCCAAGAGTGGTGATAAGTATACATAATATAGCAATATAGCACATGAATTTTTAAATTACCTGTTAGGTAACTAATATTAGTAACATGTGTATTACTAATTTTATTAATAAATTAATAAATGTATTTCTGGGTGAAAAATGAATCATTACATTGCAATGTAGTAATCTGTAATCTACTATCTTGTTATCTCGAGTGACTATCTTTTTCCATCCAGTTTGAAGCATTACGTTTATAAACAATTAAACGTAAAGCAAATCGTCGCTAAAAATATCGTGTGGTATTTCCAGCACCTCTCACATGTTTACACCTATCCTAAACAATATTACCAGTTTAGTATTCTACGCCTAAAATGAAACTCATCGTAGCAATTTTTTTCTTGATTTCCTCAAGTAAGTATTTCATCAAAACTTAATCAAAATAACAAAATTTTACAGCATCAGCCGCGACCGAATGCTACACTTGTTCAACTGCAACAAAGCCACAATGTGAAACCCTATCAGACGTTTCGATGATTGATACGTGCAAAAGCACTACAAACGAAATTAATTGCGTCATGTACAAATTTAAATTAAGTAAGTTGCAATTGTTTTAATTTAATTACGGAATGAAATTAATTACTAAAATAATTGTTACAGATACGAAAGATTTCATATACAGAGGGTGCTTAACAAAAGATAGAACTTGCGATGACGAAAAAAACTCATTAAATCTCGAAAAGAAAGAAGTGCTTGAGTGTAAGTTATGTGATACTAATTTGTGCACAAATTCGGTGACTCAAATTAAATTGCCAATTATTTTAACTATAATCACATTTATTGTACTACAAGTAACTAATTAATAAAAGCAGCGATGATTAAAGCAAGAATGAATGTTATCGCAGAAACGGAAAAAGTCGTCCCAGAGTCACAAAGATCCGTTTTACATATTTTACACTTTTCCAATTTTTTAAAATCAGAATTTTGTTCATGTAATTCCTCACAGATGTCTTTCGGTTCGCATGACCTTTTCACTGTAATAATTCCAGTCGAAGGATCTGTAATTAAAAGTAATTAAATCAAATTAATTAAAGCAGATTTAGTGACTTTTAGTTTTATAAACTGCACAAACTTCCCCTTCGAAACAATCCTGGGTTTTGATTTTATCTTTCCCCCGAGACAAGTCCTCGCACGGCGAGTTTAAATCCTGAGTTTCGCACGTGTAGCATTTGAGTGAATCCCCTAGAACTTGATTTAGGGAGAGAAATAAAAAGTCTAGACTTACCGTAATGGATTAGAAGTAAAGTCACTAGAATGCAAATTTTCAGCGACATTTTAAAGTCAGACTGGAGCGAGATTTGGGTCGATTTAAGGTTTTATAAAATTGGGATTGTTTGCAAAATGGCGGCCAAGGTTGGGGAAAATTTATTATGCAATTTTGTTTACAATAATTAACTAATTAGTTTATTAATAATGAGTAAGAAAATTCCTAAAGCTGGTAAAAATTTCACAATGTTGCCACTATTGCACCAATCGTGGTCCGAACAAGTTTGACAATCGAGTAATTTGCTGTAATAATTGTTGTATTTTGAGGCTAAAACGGCACAAATATCGCGGTGTTGACAACTCCGATGGATCATCAAAGAGTCACCATCTAAAAAAACTCGAATGGTGTTTAGTGACTTTTGGGGATTTTTGACTTACATTCAATTATATATTTTGCACATACTGCATCGCCGTACATGCAAGTATAGTAGGGTAAACTACCCCCACTGTACGACAAATTTTCGCACCTAAAATTACTCCCTAGTGACGCTGTACACGAGTAGCATTGCAACGTCGTCACTAGTGATTATTGTTTTAGTTATTTTAATTCTCCCAAATTGGTACTTACCCGAATCGAGGTTATTTATCAGGAAAACCCCCAAAATCACACAAATCACTCTAAGCGCCATTCTTCACGCCCTCAAACCTCACAATGAGGCAAATTTGCACTCACGCTTATCACTTACGAAATTATTTATACACTCAAAATATTTACCCAAATTCAAGAACACCAAACAAGCCAAACTCGGTTAAATTAATAAATTTATTTTATCAACAATAAAAAAATCACCAGAAATATTAAACACATTCCGGGGGAAAGCCCCATCGCTTCGTTGCATAGATCCTCGCTGCAGGTGGCGCAGATGTGCTGGCCGGGCAAGACCGACCCTGTCCTTCGCAGGTCGTTGAAGATGTCTTCGCAGGTGGCACCGTAGCGAAGGGCCTGACACCCGCGACTGGTGCTGAGCTGGTTGAGGGACCCGGGGATGAGGGCTGGAAGAAATTTAATTGAGTTTTGGGCGATCGAAATAAAAGGGGTTACTTTGGTAGTGGTAGGCCGTGCATACGGAGGGCTCGGGGCACGCGATGGCCTGCAGGTACCGCTCGTCACCGTAAAGACACGCGTCGTATTCGTATTGGTTGCTGGAGGCCTCCGAGGTGCACACGTAGCAGCGGATGGACGAGCCTTAAAGACAAAATGTATAATTGGTTGCCTACTACTTCACAGTGAAATTTGGCTGACAATATTGGAAATTCTGATTGATCACCAACCTTAGAACGAAACATGTAAAATACCTAATAAATGCAATATTAAAAACGCAACTACCGTGTTATCATTATCAATTAAATTTCAGATCAAAGTAGCTAAGGATTCTCGAATAAAGTTTGCAACAATAAATAAAATAGAGAAGGAAAAAATGCAATTTTAAAATTTCACAAATCTTTTTTGACATTTTTCAACGTTGCCAAATTCAAATCAGTAGCTACAGTACATAACATTTCTCAACCGCTTTTTTGTTTTAAAAAAATAAGTAATGTCAATGTTGTGAAATTAACACTAAAGAGTAAACAAAAATTGTTGAAACCTAGGTTATTAGAAGAATATTTAGTAATAAATGTAAAATTTATGTAATTATTTCTTATTGCAATAAAAAAAGAAAAACCTAATTAGTTATTTTTACATAATTTTTCTAATTTTGTCTTTTACATCCTTTATTCAACATGTGTCATCTCAGCTTTTGTTTTTAATTATTATAAAAGAAACAGGGCTACCACCTTTGTTGTCAAGTCCACAAGAACAAATCTAATTTAACATTTAATGAAATTGTATGTCTGAAATAATAATAAAATAATAAAAAAATAAAACAAGAACGGGATAAATTGTCATTTACTTTACCAGTGCTGCCAACCGTAATTAAAAATACGAGACGGGTCTCAAGGCTGCCACAGGTTTAATAAAAATACATAGATATTTTTTAAATTATAATTTAAATATTAACACTCATTTACAATAAAATTCTAAAATAAATTAACAGTAATTAGTTATTAAGTGGGTTGTAGTCTTTTCAGATACTTAAATAAATAAAAACAACTTTAAAATCACTAATTGTAATTATTATTAATCATTATCAAATTAATTATATTCAGTTTTTGTTAATTGTACTCAAAGTTTCTGATTTTAAAAAATTTGATAGAAAAAGCATTTATGACAACCATCTCATGGTACAAAAAGTTTACTTTAATCTTTCTGATTTATAAAAGAGAAAAATAGAAAAGTAGTTATACAGGATGTTATTATGTACCTAAAGACCTAGACCAAAATCGCTCGAGGAATTCTTTCTTCAAACAAGAAACGCGTTTGAGAGAAGAAAATACTTGCATCTGCAAGTTACAGCTTTTTTAAAGTGACCAATGAAAAAAAAATGGAATCAAGTAACAATATGTATAAACTTTGAAATTATCAATGTTGAAAGACGCAATCAGGGACGATGCAAATGGGGTGGTCATAATTTACATGTAAGAAATAAAAACAATTAATAAGAAATGTTTTACAACAAAAGAACCGAAAATAATTAAACCAAAGTTAGCTCTATTAGATTCATTAATAATTCTCTCCATTTTAAATCAGATCAACCGGTAGGTATAGCTACATTAAAAAAAAACGTAAAATGAAATTTTTACAAATATAAGTTCGGTTCTGATTCTCAATTATCAACTTGACAATACGTATCAAAAATATTTCTATCAATGTCGTTAAATTTATACCAGCTTGTGTAATGCCGCATTTAAGTAAAGTAGAGAAAGCTAGAATCGTCGCTCACCTGGAAAATGTAGGAAAACAAAATTAACGGCAAAATTTAGAGTGCCATCAAAGTATTTTAACCTATTTTTAATAAAACACGTTCACACCATGGAAAAATTGAAAAAAAAACCTCTAAATTTTTTTGACATTTCCCGTTTTTTTTTTTTAATGTAGCTGTACCTGATTAAAGACAGCCACTTGTACCTTAAGAGTATTGTTAATCCAGTTCAAAATTTTGTTCAGAAATCAAATTCGTTTAGGTGTTAGAATAGGGTCGTTGCATCCATCGGAATTGTTATGTTTTTTGTACTTTTATACGTTAGAGATTACCTTACAAAGAAGCGATCCATCAATAAAATTAACTTGAAAGAGTTTGAAATACCATAATTTCGATTATTAAGTTTGGGGTAGAATTTAAACCCGAGATAAATTCCCGCTTTCTACGTAATAATCCCAAAAGCACTGACGACAGTCCAATGACAACTGATAGTGGCAAGTGGAATAATATAGTGGATGTTTAATCACAGCGTTTAAATGTACTCATTTTTGGCATCACAATTATTATTGTAATAACAGATATTAAAATAAACAAACCAAAATATAACCTTAAAACAGATCTGCAATCTGCATTACCGACATTCAAACAGCCAATGAGCGCAAAGCTGGATTATTACCTCACAGCAAGCATAAAACGCTCGCGTTTTCGGTTTATTTCATTTTACGAGTTTTTGATATATTTTTTTGTACTAAAGTTAAGATTAAAAAAAAAACATGAGTCAATTATTTTTTAATAAAGATACAGAATATGCAATAAAAAAATATGTGCAACGACCCAATTTGCATTGGTAAACCTATGTATTTTCAAAATTTTTCTTTCTTCGTAAATTCGTAGATTTGAAGTAGTGAGATAATTCGTAATTCTTACAGTGCCAAAATCATTTTAAGCATTTCGTCACAAATCAATAGCAAATTTGGTTACTCTTGATTAGATATAATTATTTACAGTCACTGTCGATACTGTTTTGACATTGACAGGAAATTTTTTTGATTAGAATGTTTTTGGTCATAGAAAACTACATACATCACCACTAGATACAGCAAATTCTCAGAAATTCCTCTGATTGGGTAATTTAAAGAGCCTCTTTCTTTTAAACAAAATATAATAAAACAAAAATTACTAAAAAATATTAATAGGAATTGCCACCTAAAAGATTTTGGTCTATTTACATAAAACGCGGTATATGTTAATTGGTTTTTAATTGTTTTTGACACATTAATATTAAAATATTTCTTATTTTGTGGAAAATAAGAAAAAAACTAATAGATTTTAAAAAAACAACTACGTAATAGCAAAATTATTATTATCTAAATATTTAAAAAATCTAGAAAGTTTGCTATGTAGCGCCACCTACAAAATCTAATAAAACTTGACTAATCATACAAATATTTACTCTTTCAAAATTTTTTTTAGGAATCTATAAATTTTGTTAGTGCTGTTTCGACAAACAATTTGTTATTTCACTATATCGTGCTTGAAATTATTTCGGTCAACATTAATCCAATTGTTGTAAATAAATTTGGATTTTATCATATTACAATATTAAAACTATGTATGTCTTCTAAGTAATAATTAATTTTTTTTTGGCCATTACTATTGGTCACAGACAAAGATGATAAGCCAAAAATACATAATTCAAAATCAATATCAATTATTTTCATCCGTACATTGAACCATCGTAAACCTTTTAGTGACCGCTAATGTTTCCCCAATACATTGAGGAATTCAAATAAAATCACCCAACTCATAAAAAAATCTCTTTGCAAGATTGGCTACAAATTTGATAAAACGTAGCAAAGAATTCAAATGAAACGGGTTCACTTAACTCATCTTTACGAAATTTTGTTTTATTAGTCGTAAATTAAACTTTCAATGTTACTTAAATAATTACTCAAGCACGTGCTATTTACAAATCGATCAAAATTTTTCTCAACTTACCCAAATGAAAAAGTCCAAAAACAATCAAAACTGTCACAACCCGAATCATCTTCACTTCACTTTCCACTCGAAAAAAATCTCCGAGCGTGCGAGATGTCTACTCACCCACTAATTACCAGAATCCATTAAAAAACAATAACAAACTGTGCGCGTATACATACCCTACTAACCTTAAACTGATTACACCAGTGGTAGCCAAACACTTATTTATCGCTTAGGTATTTATTTGTTTATAAATATTTGGCCACAATAAAATTATTATTCATTTATTTAACTTTTTTTGTTTAAAAAATAACTTCGGTGATGCGCGCAATTCGTCAACTCATCACGTCGTAAATTCGTAACCTTCGTCGAAAGGAAAATTTCTCAGATGTTTGACGAAGAGTTGCAAAGATCGGAGGAGCACGAGTAGCAGTTTATTTCACGGACTCGGGCGGGGAACACCAGGGAGCGGAGGTTGTCCAGGAGGTCGGGGCAGGTTTCCATGTTGGCGAAGGGCTCGCAGCCGCGGATTGTCACGCTGGACCGGATCAAACCATGAATCGATACTAAAAAATTAATTGCAATAATTAGAATTGCAAATAAAAATGTTCTGATTTAATCGCAATGCAAATAACTTCCCACAGTGAAAAACTAACTTTCCTTGATCTTTAGGATTAGACGCCATTAAAATCTAAATGAATATTTACTCTAAATAAGTACATTACTAGTTTATTAGTGTTTAAAAAACTGATATTTTACTAACTATCATTTGATGTAAAGGTTTTGTAATTAAAAAAATAAATAAATTTAAATTCTATAATACGTATTTTTTTCATCTTTTAGCAAATGCTACAATGTTTTTTGTCTCTAGACTTCTTGTTTTGTTATTCAAAAAGGTCTTTTTCTGTAAAATTTTCTAAATAAAAGCTTTGATCTAAATTCTTTTATAAACTTTAGTTCTTTCTGATGACAGAAAATTAAAATTTAGTATGTTGGTTAACTTGGCCTTGCTCTATTGTTTTATATTTTTTAATGGTTTTATTATACAGAAATGAGCATATAGTACCATTTCATTATACAGGGTGCGCCAGAACTCGCGCCCCAGAGAAAAATGCCATATAAGGTAAGATACCAGGAACATGGAAAAAATGTTTAAAAAATTTTATCTATAAAAATTTCGAAGTTATGAGAGTTTAAAGTTTGCATTTTGACACTATTTATTTCTGTTGGAAAAATAATTTTTCAAGTTTTTTTTCTATAGGCTATTAAAAGAGGAAACAAAGAAGCTGTATCCTAAATTGTAACTCTGTTCAATGCTATTTGTGGTTTTTATTGGAAAATTTTTTGTCCCGTTACTAAATAATTGTAAAAGAACATATACAAGATCATCAATATCATTAAATAGATATAAAAAATGTCAAATGTCAAAACATAAATGTCAAAATTTTTTGACAGATAGAATTTTTAAAAATTTTTTTTCATTTTCCTGGTATCTTACCTTACTTGAATATTTTCTCTGGGGCGCGAGTTCTGGCGCACCCTGTATGTATACTACATCATTACAATTTCGTTTTATTAATGAAAAACCTAATTTTTTTTTCGTATTTTTTTATTAATTCTTTCTTTTTTATTGCCATTTTATATGTTTTAACATTTAACGAAGTTTATAGAATTTAGAATTAAAATGTTTTTAATTCAAAAATTGTCTCAAATCGATAGACTAACTAAAGAATAAGAACTAACTGCAAACAATGCAGTTTTTTAGTTGTCTTCTTTTAGAAATTAGAGAGAAATGATACAATATTTTATAATGTAAGAAAACACATGCAAAAAATTATAACAAAAAACAATGACTTGAAAGAAGTAACGATGAAAGAAAATAAAAATTAATTTTACATTTATTATACAGGCTGCGCCAGAACTGGCGCTCCAGAGAAAAATTTCAAGATACCAGGAACATGGCAAAAATGTTTAAAAAACTCTCTGTCAAAAAAATTTGACATTTATTTTTTCACATTTGACATTTTTTTATGTCTGTTTAATGATACTGATGATCTTATATATGGTTTTTTACAATTATTTAGTAAAGATACAAAAATTTTGTCAATAAAAGCCACAAATAATATTGAACAAAGAAACAATTTAGGACACAGCTTCTTTCTTTCCTCTTCTAATAGACTGTAGCAAAAAAACTTGGAAATTATTTTTCTAACAGAAATAATTAAATAGCGTCAAAGTGTAAAATTTAAACTCTCATAACTTCGAAACTTTTATAGATAAAATTTTTTTAACATTTTTTCCATGTTCCTGGCATCTTATATGGCATTTTTCTCTAGGGCGCGAGTTCTGGCGCAGTCTGTATAGTCTATTCCATTTAATAAACAATTGTCAGTGTCAAAATTAGAAAAAAAAATCGTTGTATGGTTTTAATTGAAAAAATTTATGAACTTGGTGTATTGCTCACCCCAAATCCGGGTTCGTAATGTAGATTTGACTTCTCAATTTTCCATTTTAAAGCAATATGAACTACTGTTATACTCGATTTTGACACTGACAAGTGTTAATTAAAAAAAAAATAGATAATACATATTGTGCTAGGAATTTTACGTAAATCACAAAAAATAAATTTGTTATAATTTTTAGCTTCAAAGATTTTGAAAAATTTTTTTTCATGTCTATCTAAATAGATTTATATTAAGTAGTGTCATCAGAAGCTGTAAATTTTTCATAAATACGTATTGAAAATTAGGAAAGGGTTATTTTCTTGTTATTTATTTTTTTTAACTTTTAATAGAAGTAAAAAAAAATTAAAAAAAAAATAAATAAAGAATAAAAAGAACAAAGTTGCACAGTTTATTATCATCAACATTTTGGGATAGATTCTCAATCAATGCTAATGCCTGTTTTACAGAAAGTGACATCAATTTCAGTTTTTTAAATGGAATATCCCGTATATTTTACTATTTTTGAACAAACAACTATTCAACTTTGATCAAAAAAGTAAAAATTATAAAGTTATGGGACGTTTTTTAAACTTCACTTTGTATAAAACAATATTTGGATTGGATTAAAACAAAATAAAAATAAAGTGATTCGGCATATTATTAAAAATATCCAGAATTTCGGTTCAAGTAATTATACGAAATTATTTGAAAAAAGATAAATAAGAATAGAATAGACTGTAATAGAATTAAAAAAATAGGGGTGTTATATTATAAAATATGTTAATTATAAATTATTAATACGTAGTTACTAATTTTGAGGAATGAAGATGTATTTAAACTAAATTAATTAGTTAATTAAAAATCTTGTTTTTTTTTACTTTGAAAATAATATTACAAAAAAATTGTTTTAGAATATTTTTTCATTTTGTTATTGTTACTCACTTTCGTATTGATAAGTAGAACACACGTGGTCATATGGACACTCCATTTTCTCCACGTGAGAATACCCATAAACGCACGCCTTATCGGCCTTATCAGCATTTCTCGAAGAGCCACTACACTTGTAACAATGTAAAGGACTTCCTGGAGCACAATATGAACCTCAGAAATAATCATAACAAATTAACACTTACCCAAATGTGATAACAAAATCGCCGACAATAAAACACTGAACACAAACATTGCCTATAGGCACAGAGAGCGAAATTTTCGCACAACCATTTGTCGAATTCCCACTGAATTACTGATTGCTGTGTTTCACATATAACCTGAAAACCTTTACCGGCCTTGTGTAATACCATTCACATATATTAGATAGAGTAGTCGAATTCATTTTCGATATGAAAGTGAATAGAAATTGTGTAAGTGGCCGAAGAAAGGTTCATCTGTAATTAAAACCGGCCTTGACATTTTTATAATTACAAAAAAAAATAACAAGTTTAACGTAATTGAATTTTAATATTTTTTTAATTCTTTACTACATACAGTTTGTCATAACTGGTATAATAACTAAAATATTTCAAACCAAATGACAGTCACAAACTAGAAATGAATCACAAAACATTTATTATAGTCGCCCTGATTTCCATAGGTGAGTGTGTAAAAAACAAAATTTTGTTAACATTGTTTCTAGCTTTTAGTGAGGCCGCGCGTCCGTTTTACGCCCCATTGCCCGACGATTTGGTGCATCAGATAATCCCAGTTGGCCAACCATGGCCTGCTAGTGCATCTGAGTATGCTGTATTCAGTCAAACGCAAAATCCGGTTAAAATGGAAACGACATCAAAACGGCCGGATTTTAATTCAAATCCTTGGGTTGGTTTGACTCCGAGCAAAAATCCAGGATCTAGTAGTGGAGTTTTACAAGAACTGCCATTTGCTTTCTAAAATTTCAGAACAATAAAATCCGTGTTATCAAAAGTCTCTTTGTACTTAAAAATTTTTTTTTAATATTTCCAGCCTTTTATAAAAAGTTTAATACATTTTTTTTATAATTCATACATTTTTTTTTTCATAAAAGTTAGGCAGTGAAAACAAAACAGGAAAATTCTAGGTAGTTTAAAATTTATCGACCAATACAATAATAATTGTTTTTTTTTTGCATCTACTCAGCAATTAAGCTGATAAAATTACAATATTTTTCTAAGAGATAAATAATAAAAGGTACTTGTTAACGGTAACTATCAAAATCTTCTAAATCTTAAAAATAAATTATCAAAATATCAATAAGTTATAAAATGTCTAAAAGATTGCAATTTTTAAATTATTTTGTAGCATTGTGCTCAAAAAAGTAAAGAAATGATATATTATACCAAAATTAGGTATAACTTTTGATCCCTTTAATTAATGTAATTTTTGTTATGTAAATTTATTTCCTTTTTTAATCTTAGCTTTTTTAGAAAATACTAAATGTGTAATACAATAGTCATTTTTGTTACAAGTACATACCTAAAACACATTTTTTGAGGACAAAATCTTTGCTGGACGAGGCGGAGCCGAGTCTGGAGTAGTAGATGGGTCCGCAAAAACGTTTTAGGTTCGTGTTACAAAACACGAATTCACTTCTTATTAATTAAAAAAATTTTACTACCTTTTAAAAAAAGCTAGAGAAAATTTGTTATGTAGCGCTATCTATAAAAAGTAATAAAACTTGTCTAAGCATGACTTGTCTAACAAATATTTATTTAAAAAAAAACAGTTTAGAAATTCTTAGACTTTCTTAGCCCTCTTTTGACAAAAGCTGCAAACAATTTTTTTTCATTCATTTAAGATTTTATTTAAATTAATTGTTGAAACTTATCAAAATATTTAGCAAGGGTTTTGCAATGACCTAAAATGAAGAAGTTCACTAGTTATTTTCCTGATTTGCTTTTAGAAAAATAATAAAAATTTGAAATAAAATGCAAGAGATACAAAAATAGGTTGAAGGACATTTCTTTCAAGATATTTTTTACAAGGTTTTTTCCTTTATTTTACGTCCTTGCCCCTTAATTACCATTTCCCGACTATACATCACCTTAACAATAGCTTAATTGATACCTCTTTCAAATTTATTCTTCTCTTCCTAAAAATAAATACTTCTATTTGCAAATTCATTCATTGTACTTGAATTTTCGATTAACAAAGCTTTGAAAACAGGCCCCCTGTCAAGTCCCTTTGTTCCAACTTCTTAAAACGTTATTATCCATGAAACGCTTTTATGTTCTTATTTAAATATTATCGAACTGCGTTACCACTAGCAACCCATATTACCCATACCATTGCGTGTTACAACCACGTCCAGAACCTACTCAACTCTCGTTACGTGTGTACCGGAAAAATGACTCCGGAGACGACTCCGAGTAGTTCCGGGAGTGACAATCCCAAAAGACAGACGAAAAGTGCCGAAGAGAGACTCATGGTGGCTGTGAGGATACGACCGTTGAAAAATGAAGAGCCTCAAAGAAGTCTTTATGCAATCAACAAAAAGGTAAACAAATTTAATAATTGTTGTAAAAATTATAAAAATCTGTTTGCGTCAGTTATAAATTATCCTTCACTGCAGTGTTCGTGTTTCTCTTGTCATTTGCATAATAACTGGCGTGAGGAAGATGGAAAAATTTGATTGGGTTAAGCTCAAGGTTTTTTGTTTTGTTGCAGAATATTGTGATTGAGGATAGTGATAGGAGCGATGTTCTAAGACAGAGGAGAGGGTATGATAAACAGTATTCGTTTGATGTTGTTTTTGGAGAGGATTCGACACAAGAAGAGGTGTATAAGGTTACGACAAGTAGTCTCGTCCAAGATGTGCTCAATGGGTGAGTAAACAAATATCTACAACTCAAATTCTGTCAATATTTACGTTAATATATCTTTAATTAAAAATTGTATTTATGGTGGATGCGCCGGGTTAGTGGCTTCATATAATTTAAGTTTGTTTTTGTTATTTATAACACCATACTAACTTGACCTTTAATTCGTTTATTCACCTATAAAATATCCACAAAACACAGAAAAACTAGGTTAAATTACATTTCTGTTATTCTTGAATGTCACAAAGTATCAATAAAAATACAGTAATGTCTTTTCTTCTAATAACATTTAATATTTGACTTTATCATCTAAAATTTTAATTTTAGGTAATGTTTGATTAAACTTAAAGTGAAATATAACGGTAAAATGAGTTTAATAAATTATGAAAATGTGCATTAGAATGTTTAGATTAAACCGATAAGTGATTCACAATGCTACATTATACTTTACTGATATGACGCATACAATATACATAGAAAGTGTAATAAAAAGAATAAAATATGAGATGTAATAATTTTTCTAATAACGAGAATGTACAACTACTATACAGGGTGATTTCATTTTTACCGGAAAATTTAGAAATAGTAAGAAAACGTAAAAATAATGTAGGTTTGACCTATGAACATTTGTTCAAACATCAACAAATTAAAAATTTGATCTTATTTTTTCTTATGTATCTTCTAAACGAAAAAAGCTACGAGCTCTAAATTTTGCAAGCACACTAAATGAGTGATGACTATTTTTTTTTGACGCAGTCGGTATATTGAGTGACATCTTTTGGGAAGTGTTATGCCACTGAGTAAATTTCAACAATTGTTTATAAAACTTCTAATTATTTTTAAATTTTTGCCGGAAAAACAAAACTTTTTTGTATAATCATAAATTCTTAAGTATTTTAGAATAAAAATCACTAAAAATTCCCGTCGTTTAACAAGGGGAAACTTGATAAAAAATTTGGAGAGTCCTTTAACTAAATGTTTTTGGGAATGTATTTAATGACAAATATGTATAGTTGAGTTGCAAAAATATCACATATTCTGCACTAACACTAAATTATTTAAAATTTATTATATAAATTTGATTATAGCTTTGGTGGATGCGCCGGGTTAAAATAAATTTGTTTTACCAATTTTTTTTCTCCAATTTTTAATTATAATTTTTTTTGATTTATTTATTTAAGCGTAAATATGCTTGAATAATACCGGTTTTTATTAAAATTTAAAAATAAATTTAAAATCTTTGTAAGTATAACAAAGTTATTTCTAGTTTGTTTAACAGCGTTTTTTATTTATTTTTTCTTTAAAGCTATTTAAATAGTTTACATGATTATTATAAATAAAAATTTGGATAATAATTACTTAAATGGTATTATACTTTGTTCATAAGCTGACATAAAGTATTTAAAGAAGATATTTTTTGAGGTTATTTTACTAGTTGTTTTTTTTATTACACATAAACATCTCATTTTTTTTAATTTGCAATATTTATAGGTAGATAAAAAAATAATAGAATTATTGTAATGAATGTTTTCGTATTAACAAAACACAGATTTTGTTTTTTATCAAGCTCTTTAAAAGTCTGTAAAACACTATCAAAATTTAAAAAAGTGCTTTTTTTATTTTAACACTTTGTTTGAATATATCTTAAATTTTTAATACTAATTGTGTAATTAAAACTATAGATTCTGTACATGCAAAATGTTTAACTACAATCCGGAATTTAAAATCCATTTTTATAATTTGCCTCTGTTTTCATTCTCTAATAAGTAGACAAATTAACACACGCAACGTCATCATGTGCGATGTTTTAATAGTCATTAATTGATGGAACATTTTACGAAAATCTGTTTTTTTTAACAGAATTTGAATAAAACAAAAGGCGACTGGATCTAATTTTGGTTTTTAAAATTAACATTACCAATCGTCACAACAATCCCTAAACCGATTAAAATAAAAAGTTTTGTTTAAAAACGGCATAAAGCAAGCAGATTACAAAAAATAGTATAAAAAACTAGTTTCATAAAACCTTGAAGCACTCATTCTTTAAAATAACTCGTGGCTACACCACTCGTTTTTTAAACTTGAATTCGTGTTTAGAACCTGTCTTATGAAACTTGTTTTTTAATATACTATTTTGGCAGTCCTTTCACACAAAACGCCACAGAGTTCTAGTTATCACATAAAATATTTTGTCAATTAAAAAGTTTCTGATAATGTGGTTACTTAAAGACAATTTTTTATGTAAGCAATTTAGTTTTTTTTATATAATAAACAATTTCTAAAGTATCGTTTAAAATTTATTTTGAACACATGTTCTTGGTAGAATAACATTATATTTTTTTCCGTAAATTTATCGAAACCAATTTAAAAATGTTTAATTCAATTTTTAGGCACTCTAAAACTGAATAAAGAAGGTGGAAACATTAAAAATTAGTGTAGCAATTAGTGACAATTAAGGTAAATGCAAATCCAAAATCAAAAAACACGGAAATTATTTCATAATTTCAGTAATTTTTTTATAGGATACTCGTATTTTCCTGAAAGTAGAAACACTAAATTATAAAAAAACAAATAATTTGTTGTAATTCAAATTTACGAAAACCTAGATTTTTTAACTGGCCTCCTTTTAAATTACCGCAAATTGGTCTGCGTGTGTATGAAAAAAAAACGACGCATCCACCATTTCTAAAATTCAGGCTTGAACAAAATAACCCGTGATTATTTCCAAGTTAAACTTTTTGAGCAAAAAATTGCTACTAAATGCTCCGAATTACCTACAATTTTCACATTACCCATTTTCTCCCAAATGAAAGATTTATTAAACAATCAATAATCCCATAATAACCAGCCAGTTTTAATTATTTACATCTGCATTTATTTCACATAAATCATTGTCCTTTTTAAACATTCCTATGATAGTATCTTAGCAATCGATTAAAACTTTTAATAAAACATTTTCTAAATCCTTGACGTCAGAAATTATCAGTATAAGATCCAACGTACGTCATTAGGAACTGCCCCCAAACCACGCAATATTAGCACGTTGGACGAACGTCACTCATAATTATTTTTTTTACAATAGAACCCTTTGAATATTTTTAGAATCTAGATTATGCGTCGAATCTGCAAATTTTAAATACTTTTAATAGTAGAGAAAATCACGAAATTTAAACCAACACGCAAGGAAAATATGGTGACCTACTATCTCTAAAAAATTAAATTGTTTTGCGTCGCTGATGTCAAATATTTTTCCAATGTCAGATTAAACTTTCATGATTCAAATTATTGTGGTACTTAGTGCACAATAAAAGTCGTTATTTTCCACATTCAATTTTATTCTTTCTACAGAATTACAAACAAATAATTTATACATTTATATGTAATCGACTTAATTTATGTTTATATTCCACGGCAGTAAGCTTTATCGACACAGTATCAATGACAAATCCACAAATAAAAATTTTCCATATTTCGATCTAAGCTAGCCATGAAATTTTAATAAAAAAGTAAAAAGCGGTGTCAAAAGTGACACTAATGACCGGCCCACTTGATGCAATTATCCACTTGTAACAACCAAACACGTTTAATTAGAAATTGTTCGAAAAGTGGTAATTATTTTGTTCTAGTTATAACGCTACCGTTTTCGCATATGGAGCAACCGGCGCTGGTAAAACCCATACCATGGTGGGTGACTCATCCCACCCCGGCATCATGGTACGTGCCTTGAACGACATCTTCGAAGCAGTGAAAGAGAAACAGGATCAATATTCGGTAAGTGCACCGAAATTTAACGCTTTAATTTTTTTCATGTTGGTATCGACTTTTCTTAAATAATTGATATGACTGTAATGGAATAAGTTGATTGATGTTGCGTGCTAAATGCAAACAACACCGAAAACATACATTATCGGGGTTTTATCCAAGAAATTATCTAATGCCGCCAACACGACAATGATAAAGACACTAGAAATTGAATTGTCAGGATGCATCACTTTGGATGATCATTAATCATAATAAAACGCATTTGATACGCTTAAAAGGATCGTAAAGTGTGGCCTTGACTTTCGGTTTTGTTTGATCGAAGTTTTAGCAACCATGACACGTGAAAATCACCAATTTTGCCATTGGGACAATTGATTTCCCATTGAAAACACATTATGACTCGTATAATTACTACATATTTAATTAGGTTTCAATGTCATACTTGGAACTCTACAACGAACAAATCCGCGACCTTTTGAACCCTTCTTCCGGTTACCTCGAGCTCCGCGAAGACTCCAGAGGGCGCAATATCCAAGTGGCCGGTCTCCAAGAAATCTCGACGACATCTACCGACGAGGTACGCACTAAAATCCCTTAATTAATCAATTTAACATTTTATTAACAAGGTTATGCAACTGCTGCAAAAGGGCAACAAGGCTCGAACCATCGAACCAACGGCCATGAATAAAACATCGTCACGTAGCCACGCCCTTTTGAGTGTAACTGTCAAACACTCAGTGCCTCTGGACAAAAAAGAACATCTTCGAATGAGGATCAAACAGGGGAGACTTTTCATGATTGATCTAGCCGGCTCTGAGCGAGCAAACAAAACAAAAAACCGCGGGAAACGCCTCCAAGAAGGCGCTCACATTAACCGCTCACTCCTGGCACTTGGCAATTGTATAAATGCGTTGAGTGGTGGGGCGAGATATGTGAATTACCGGGATTCGAAGCTTACTAGATTGCTGAAGGAGGCGTTGAGTGGCAATTGTCGGACTGTTATGATTGCACACGTGTCACCAAGTGCAACGCAAAAGGACGAGTCAAGAAATACACTTATTTATGCCGATAGAGCTAACAATATATCGACCAAAGCGGAAAGAAATGTTTTGGATGTTTCATATCATGTGACTCAATACCAGACCGTTATTAACGAACTGAGGGACGAAATCTCCCGACTGCAACAGAAGATGAACGAAGAGAGGCCGAGATCGGCCGATATCAGACGAATGAATGCCGAGGAGAGGAGCAACGAAGTGAAGAAGTTGAGGGAGCAGATTGTTGAAACTTTCAAGACTCAAATGAAATTGAGGAGGAAGTTGATGGAGATTGATTCGCATTTGTTGGGGTTGGGGATGGAGGCTGAGAGACAACATTTGATTATCTCCCATTGGGAGTCAAGGAATAATAAGTTGTACAAAAATAGTGTCAACGAATCGAGAGCAAGAACGCAGCAGAGTATCCGGAGACGGAAGTTGGTCAGTGTTGATGGCTTCCGGTCGGCCGGGAATGAACAAGAAGGAGAGGAGGACGGCGATTTGGAGGTCGAAGGGGAAACTGCAATCCAGCAAGCTTGGGGGGAGCTCGCTGATATAGAAAGGGAGCAAGAGAGGTGGTCAGAACTTCGGACTCACATTGAACAAAAGTTGGAAGTTTGTCGGCAGAGAGGAGTTGCCTTGGAAGATGTAAGTTCAACTCCCTACTCAAAAATATTTTTTTAACTGATTTTACAACCCAGAAACTCCCTTCTTTGTTATCCTCTGACGACGAGCGCGAAATCCTGGCCCTCATGTGCAGAGTACATGAACTCGAAGCTGACAAGATGGCGCTTCAATCGGAACGTCTCGTTCGCCAACACGAACTCCGCCGAAGAGACCTCCTCATACTTCGCTACGACCGGCAACGCCAACTGTGCGAAGAAATAATCACCAGACAGAGACAATTGATCGAAGGTTGGTACTCTTGTCGCTAACCCTGGCTTGACTTTTCTTTTTTAGAAGGTAAAATCAAGTTACCACCGGACTTGCAAGAGCTGTATCAGTTTTACCAACAGGAGATCCACGCGGCGACTTACACTGACTTAACCTCCTCCACAGAGAAACTACCACCAATCAGTAAAATGTAATATTCTTTGACCAATCAGACATTGTGTAATGTTACTGTAGTTACAGTGATCCGATTTTTCGCAGGGGGGGTACAGGGGAAAGTGGGAGTGACGGGAGCGGGCCTTCCCCGCCTTCGTCGGCTGACTCAGATGATATTCCAGCATTGCCAACCCTAAATGAGGAAACTATTGATAGGGTTATGGGTCAAGCTGTGTCACGGCCGGGAATACCAATGAGGCTTCCGCCTTTACCGCCGAGTCCAACTTTGAGGCTACCGAGGACCTCGACGTAAGAAAATTGCCTCAGTTGTGCAATTTTTTTAATTTTTACGTTTCAGGAGTCATATGCGACGGGCTATAAGTGAGGATAGGATAAGTGAAGGGATATAAAAACGCACATTTTTATTGTATTTGTAGATTAAATAAAGTTTTCGAAAATAAATTATACAACATACACAAAAGACCAATAAAAAATATTAAAAATGAGGAAACTGACAGGGAATACAATTCGGGACTTTTTGTCTATCCAGTTGGCAACTTCGTGAGGTGTCATCGTGTGCCATCTTTGAGGTTCCTTATTCTCGGGCATTTTAACCGAAGTGCTGTCCTCACTTTCTATCAATTCGTCTTGACTCTGAGTCGTAATTTGAGGCACTTTGAGGTTACTGGGGAAGCTCTGACAAAAATTATTAATATCACCACAAACGCGTCACAACTTACATGAACTGTTAAATAATTCGCTTGTGAATTTTTGTTAGCATTGTCCCCTCCTTCCGTTTCAAGACTCGAACAGGACCTCGCTTTATACAAACTATTGTTCGACTCAGCTTTTCTCAACTGTTTCCTTGCCAAATTCGGGGTGAGCGCGCCTTTAAGTATATGTTTGCTACTCTGTTTCTTCATTTCGACCTGCTTTCTATTACCAACATAAGAAAAAACTAACACCAAAATCCCTACTTACTTGCGCCTCCAAATGACGTTGACAAAAGCAAATTCCGCCATTGAACAAAAAATAAAACAAGCGCAAGCTAAGAACCAAATCTCGCTTGCTTTGATGTATGACACTTTGGGTAAAGTTTTGGTTAATCCCCCATTTAGGGTGATAAAAGCCAACATGGTGGAAGTGCCCAAAGTGACGCGTGGCGGTGCTGCATCTGCTTGTAACCAAAAAGTGACCCACGAGATGACCACTAGGAGAATCGAAGGTAGGAAATAGTCCATGATGTAAAAGCCAACGTCACGGGTGAGTTTAAACCGGAAAATTAATTGACTGAAATTGCCAACTGAAAAAAATTGGTTACACTAGAAGCGATATTTGGGGGATTTACCAAAAGCGCCCTTATTGAATGAAGCAGGTACTTCATTTTCTTCAGTCCAGGTGGCGCTCAACACGAATTCTGTCAAATGCAGATTTTTGGCTAATTTAACAGGATCGTCTTTGTCCCACTGAAGAATCAAATTGGTAGAGTTGTAGGTCCCTTATATGTCAAAAAATCAGTAAAAACCTAATCATTTTTTTATATATACATACAACTGTTCCATTTTAAGTGACATTCTTGCGAATCAAATGGAAATTTTTGCAAATTCATCCAACAATAAAACGTTGCTGTTAGTCGATAGGAATAAACTACATCTCCCATTGGATTAATTGAAATAAAAACGTCTTTCCCATCGATTCCCATGATGGTAGTGTCCTTTTCGTTCCGTATCATAATGTGGGGCACCCATATTTTATTCCGGAGCAACTCCTCGCCTAAAAGACCGACCCTTCTTGGTGACAACTCCGCATATCTCAACCTGTCATCTCTGTACAAGTATTGCACCAACATGTGGGCCTTAAACTGGAGTTGATCAGCCGACTCTATGTGAGTTAGGTCAATCTGCATCGAAACTCTAAGAGGGCCACGAGTTGGGGGTTTGATAAGTTTATCATATCGACACGCATCTGTCAATTTTGCAATAAACTGTTCTTGGGTTAAAGAATCCATGTCGGGGGTGAGTGGGGGACACAATTCGTCGTAAGGATTGGTGGTGATTTTGGGAGAGGGCGTGGTTGTCTGAGTAAGAGGCGCAGGGGTTGGTTTGGGCGCAGGGGTGGTGTCATAAGGCGTGGTTTCTAAGGTTATTGACCCTTCGCTTCTGCAATTGTCGTATTTGAGTCTAAAGTAGTAGATTTTTGAAATACTTACGAATTTTGGGCTTTTGCAGATAAAGCGGTAAAAATGAGGGTTAAAACTAATTTCTGCATTTTTTTGGAGTCACACCAAACCACTAAACAACAAACTAAGAGTATCAAGGTTATGCACTCTCTTATACCTCGTTATCAAACCAAACAAAATGTAAAATATGTACTTTACATTATTATATTAAAGTTGGATAATATTGACTTCAAAATTGGTCTGTAATTGCTTGTAAAAGGTGCAAATTAATAAAGATTACATCGAATCTTACGTTGAATAAATAAATTGAGTTGTTAGTGAAAGTCACGTGAAAATTATTTGTTTAAAATATGTAAAAAATGATTTAAAAAGTATGAATCCTAGGCGGCTTGTATGCATTTTAATTACGGTTGCGCAAATATTAGAACATATTTTTAATTTTTGTGCTAAAAGTGAGACAATATTTGCAATAAATAATTACTTTTTAAAATGGGCACTATAAAATCATAGAAGGCATTGAAAAAACTTTTTATTGAAAAAGCAATAAATAAAGGTGTGACAGATGGATAAAAAGACTAGAATAGTACATAAATGAGACCTTAGTTTTACAAAATGTAAACAAAAGTCCAATACATAATATTAAAAATAAGAAAACCGAGCGGAAACACAATTCTTGACTTCCTGTCAATCCAATTGGCCACTTCGTGGGGCGTCATAGTGTGCCACGCTTGCGTTTGAGGTTTGTTTCTAGTGGTATCCGGGACTGGTATAGTGGTAACACTGTCTTCACCCCCGATCAAGTCATCGTTGCTTTGTGTTGTGATAGTTGGTACCTTCATTTGGGCGGGAAAACTCTACAATTTGAATTATAATCACTCCAAGTTTACAAAAGGCAGAAATAATTAGTACATGAACTGTCAAATAATTGTTGTGTGATTCTTTACTTCCGTTTTCGCTTCCGTTCAAACTAGTGCATGATTGGGTCTTGTAAAGACTATTGACAGATTCAGCTTTTCGCAATTGTTTTCTTGCCAGACTTGGTGTGAGTGCACCTTTTAGGATGTGTTTACCGCTACGTTCCTTCAATTCCACTTTTTTCCTTCAAATAATTTCTGTGTTAGACTGTTGGTACACCTGTACGTACTTACTTGCGTCTCCAAATAACATTAACAAAAGCAAATTCGGCCATGGAACAAAATATAAAACAAGCGCAAGCGAGGAACCAAATCTCGCTTGCTTTGATATATGACACTTTCGGTAGGTTTTTATTAATGCCGCCATTAAGGGTGATGAAAGCTAACATTGTAGAAGTACCTAAAGTGACACGTGGGGCTGATGCGTCGGCTTGGAGCCAAAAAGTCACCCAAGAAGTACAAACGAGAAGAATTGACGGCAAAAAATAATCCATCACGTAATAGCCAACTTCGCGCTTTAGTGTGAATTTGAAAACTAGTTCGCTGAAGTTGCCAACTGTAAACTTTTAGTTACTTTTTTAGGGGGATGTTGTGGTTTACCTACCAAAAGCTCCATTATTAAATGATGCTGGTACCACCGTTTCCTCTGGTACACTCCCACTGAGAACAAACTCAGTCAAATGTAAGTTTTTTGCGATTTTGACGGGATTGTCTCTATCCCAGTGTAGAATTAAGTTAGTAGTGTTGTATGTCCCTAAAATACAGTACTACCAGCTCTATTGTAACAAATTCCCTAACTTACAGCTATCCCATCTCAAGTAACAATCTTGTGTATCAAAAGGAAATTTTTGTAGATTCATCCAGCAGTAAAAAGTTGCTGTCATTCTGTACGAATAAACCACATCCCCTGATGGTTTAATTAAAACAAATACGTCTTTACCATCAATACCCATGACTTTGGTATCGCGTTCATTACGTACCATGACATGGGGTACCCATATCTTACTTCTGAGGAGTTCCTCCCCGATTAAATCTCCACGATGAGGGAAAACATCCTGATATCTCAATCTCAAGTCTTTGTACAAGTATTGTACCAACATATGGGCTTTAAATTGTAATTGATCGGCCGACTCTATATGAGTCAAGTCAATTTGCATATAAACAGGCAAGGGCCCCTCAGTCGGGGGTTTACTAAGCTTGTCATACCGACAAGGATTTGTTAAAATTGTTGTCAATTGGTCCTGACTCAAAGTACCCATGCTGGGTTTTAAAACCGGACAATTGGGTTCATTGGGATCAGGTTCGACTGTAGTTTGTGTCACGTGATCAGTCTGTGTCGTTTCCGGCAATGTGTTTGTTTTAATTAGGTCAGTTTCGTTGATAATTAGGCTTTCGGCAGGCGTTATTTGGGGATCTTTTGTCGCGAGGGTTGTAGAAATTGTTGATGTAGAACTGTAAGGATTTTTGTAATAATTTAGGGAATTTTAGTGGCGAGAATTATAGGGTGGCAGTAGTGATAGTACGATAATGGTGGATGGTTTTACAAAATTGTTAAGTTTTCCGTATTTTGACATTCTAATTGTGTGAAAATGATTGATTTGTGACTCGATGAAGTGTAAAGTTTAAATGTTTACTAGAGTATTGTGGACTTTTGTCTTAAAATTTGAAGAGAAAATGGCGGGAAATCTATACAGAGTGAGTCAATTAATAACCGATTTTCAGACGCAATCCAAACTACATTCTCACAGACAGCTTGGCTTTTGTTTTGTTTGAAAAATTTAGAATTTCGAATATAACCCTAAAGGACAGGAACCGGTGAGGAAAGTGCATTTATTTTTAATTGGTGGAGGCTTAGGAAATATGTATAGGGAATTTTCTTGTGTAGAAATTTTTGTAGCGGTCGTGCTGTAGTAGGAGGATCTAGAGTCCCTCTAGATTTCTTGTTTCTTCTTACAAAAAGGGGCTATTTATGATGATTATAACACAGGACAGGTGTTCAAAAATTGGTAAATTTGACAGATAACTGACAGGTTTTGACGTTATAATCAAAGACGTATGTTCCTAAAATTTTCGGAGCACTTTTTTAACCACGTTTTTATTCAAACGCTTGTTATCTTCTTTATCACAAAATGGTTGCTCTTAAATTCAACAAATTTGAGTGAAAACGCTATATGTATTAGTGCAGTTATCGTCAAGTCAAGTCAAATGAATGATGATATAATTTTAAAGTTAAAAAGAAAATGAGTAAGTATGTGCTCTTTTCTATTTTATTATTTTATTACTCGCTAATTATTGATTTTTTTTAGGTGAATATTTTTTTTGGTAGGTAATTGTTCATTTCGTGCATGCAAAAAACTCTTTTTGCGAATTTTATTTTTACTTGCATTTAAATATTCTTAAGAATAGGAATTTAAAATTCATTAAATTTAAATACCCTGCAGCATTATAAAAAAAATTGCAAGCTTTTGGTCAAAAATTAATCATTGTCTTATACATACCGGTGTCCGGGAAGTCCCACACTTCCTTGAAAAGGAGTAATTGGGTAGTGACATTTCTTTTTTGACATTTGACATTTTTTTTATATCTATTTAATGATACTCATGATCTTGTATATGTTTTTTTTATAATAATTTAATAAAGGCACAAAAATTTTGCCAATAAAAGCCACAAATAACACTAAACAGAGTTACAATTTAGGATTCAGCTTCTTTGTTTCTTCTTCTAATAACCTGTAGCAAAAAAATGGAAAAATTATTTTTCTAGCAGAAATAAATAGAGACAAAGTGGAGGTGCGCGACTTTCCGGACACCTGTATTTGTAAAATGGTATAACAAGTATTTAAGAAAAAGGATATTGGAAATGAATTATTGGAATTTTAATGGGCCATTAGTGGTCTAATGTGTAGAGAATTATGAACTAAACGTCGTGCTTAATTATTACGAAAATTAGAAAAGAAAACTATTTGAAATAAGAGGTTTTTTTTTGGGAAAATGTTAAATAAATTGATGATTTCTGGATATTGACTACCTTGTGAAAGTGAATCCTTAAAATATTTTTTTCTAGACCTAAACAATTAAATCATTCTTCGCTTCGGTCTCATTACTTTTACTAATATCGTGATTTATAGCCTTTTGTTCGGCGAGAAATTAAATCCGTTATCACATGACTCACCCTGTATGTCATAGAAAAAAAATATTGCACTCACCACATCACCCAGTCATAAACAAGGCATAAAAAACAAACTTCCACAAGCCACTTTTGCATTTTCGCCAAGCACAAATCCGATCTGATACAAAACAATAAACTAAGATGATCCAAGGTTATTCAGACTCTTATACCCCGTTATCACGGCCGCTTTAAACCATATATTTATGCAGACCACAATCAAACGTAGAATCCGCACTCGTACTACCTTTCAGTTAGGTTTTGAATCAGACTAGGCTGCCCTCAAGACTGGGAGAGGAATCCCCCAAGGGTCAGCTTATCGGCCAATGCTGTTGCATTAAAATCCGGAAATGCCTCAATCGAGAAAAACAATTGCGTCTTTCGTACTATAAATATTAGATGTGGTTTATTTGGACCAATATTTGCACTAGATAGCGTGTATTTAGGTTGCACTGCCGTTTATTTGTTTTGTTTTTGAAATTTTTTTTTTCATTGTCGATTCAACTTTGGCAACATTTGCAAATTTGTATTCATAGATAGTCTCACCTTCACTTTGCGACACGTACAAACATCATTTGGACTAAATCGGATCATTGCGTAAGAATTTTGCCAAATTTAGACATCACGTGTTTCCCTCAAACAGCAAAATTTCGGTAGAATCGCCAAAATATTTAAATTCGGGCGGCAAGACTCAAATGTCAATGATTCGGCCTCCACCAATCAGCGACGACGTGAGGTAATTTACCAATTCGTATGAATATATTATAATGTGAACTTGTGACGTCACACGTGCGTAAGGTTGGCAATAAAACATCAAAATGTCGTTTGGGATTTTCTCTTTAAATATTTGGTAACGTCAATTGACTTTAATCCAGGATATGGTCAAAATATACAAGGGTTGTTAAAAGATTAATTTGACTCTTGATAAATACAGTTGGAGACAAAATACTTTGGTCGTCACTTTTCTGACACTTTAATGTAATTGAAGCTTTAACGTTAAAATGAATGACAATTTTAAATTAATGACAGCTATTATATTTTCCTATCAAAAACTTGTCAACTTGTCCTAAAGCATGCTTTACAATTTAATGTCACTCAAGTGACATTGACGACCAAAGTATTTTGTCTCCAACTGTACTATAAATCCAAATCACTTCGAGTGATTATATTTCAAGTTTTACGTTAAAATGACAAATGGATTTAAGACCTAGATATTAACTTGGGAATGACTCAGTTGACTTAGTTTCGAAATGTAATAAATGCCTATTGGATTGTAATGAAACTAAACATTTCATTGTTTTTATTTTTATTATTTATTCTTTTTATAGCACCGAAACATAGAAATTCAATTAAAATAGAATTCTTAATTTTTTTTTTGCAATATCAAGATCAGATAGGAACGTCTTATATTCTAAAATAAACAAATAAATAACAAGGCATACTTGATAGCACAGACACGTGAGTTAATTCTTCAAAACACAACATGCATACCAACTGCCGTTAATTCCACTATAAATCACACTTCAATTGTCATTTCTTCTCTCAATAAATAACAGTAAGATTAACCGTAATAAACAAAAACCCAGTAGAGTATATTAAAAATGAGGAAAAGAAGTGGGAAAACAATTCGCGCTTTTCTGTCAATCCAAATGGCGACTTCTTGAGGTGTCATCTTCGTCCACAAGAAAACTTGCTCTTCTTCCGGCATTGGAATAACACTTTGAGTGCTATCTAAACTGTCATTGCTATTTTTGTAAAAGCCCTAAAACGTACAAAAGTCAGGTCTTTGCTTACTTCATCTCTCCCCGACTTACGTTTTCATAGGGCGGAGCGTGGTGTAAGCTAGAATCTGATTGGGTCAAAGCTGCGACTGACAGACTTGACTCGTACTGGCGTAAGTGTTTCCTGGCAACGCTCGGCATCACGGCCGCTTGGATTATGTATTTCTGTTTGGGTTTTTTCAACTCAACTATTTTCCTACAATATTTTGTTGAATTTTTTTGTGTTAAATAATCCAAGGTGCTTACTTGCGCCTCCAGATGACGTTAACAAAAGCGAATTCTGCCAACGAAAAGAAGATAAAACACGAGATGCCCAGAAACCATATATCGCTTGCTTTGATGTATGACACTTTAGGTATGTCTTTGCTTATACCTAAATGTAGTGTGATGAACGCTACGACTGTTGTCGCTCCGAGGGTGGCTCGTGGGGGCCCAGCGTCGGCTTGAAGCCAAAATGTCACCCAAGCAGTACATACTAATAAATATGATGGAATAAAAAAATCAAGTAGGTAGTACCCGATGTCTCTATGGAAACGGAATTTGATCATGAGTTCACTAAAATTGCCCACTGAAAATATACAAATTAATATTTTTCTGTCACAAGAATGGTAGTATTAACCTTGAGTTGACAAATCTTCATTTTGGTAAGGCCCATCGTTGGTTCCGTCGCCATATTCAATGTCATCGACAATAAATTCCGTGAAATGTAAATTATCAGCGACGTACACCCCTGATCCATTGTTCCATTCTAATTGTAGGTTGGCACTATTGTAAGACCCTAAAATTGTCACAGTTGACTGACGTATCTTTAAAAGGTGCCAACTTACAATCGCTGAAAATAAGAGTACATTTTTGGGTGTCAAAAGGAAATTTTTTTAAATCCATCCAACAATAAAATTTTGCCACCATTTTATACGTATATGTCACAAAACCGGTCTTATCTATCGATACCAACCCTTCTTTTTCTTCAATTTGAACGATGGTCGTCTCTTCTTGATCTTTGAGGAGGATATTTGGCGTCCAAATTTTGGCTTTGAGGGTATCATCACCCAAAATAACACGTCTTTTTGGAGAAATTTCCTCAAAATTGAGATTATTGTCTAAATAAGTAAACTTTACTGTCATGTATGCTATAAATTGCTAAAACAATAGAAATAGTGTGATGTAACTTTTCCCAAAGCTCACTCACAGATTGTGACGCTTCCAAATGATTGATGTCAACTTTGACAGTTACGTCAAAGGGAGTGGTCGTGTTAGGTCTGACATATCTGTCATAACGACACGGATTTGTCAAGCAATCAATAAACTGGTCTTGGGGCATGTCGTCAAAGTTTGTGCTAGTGTTGCAACAGTCCGCCCTGTAAAATGTCATAACTGTTTTTATTGCCCACTAGGGTGACAAATTTTTCGGTAAAACTTTGTGTTAATTCAATTGTAATTTGATTAATTTGGAAAACAAAAAATGTTTGATGAAGTTGTTAACGTATTTAGAATGGTTGACACATTTGGTTAAGTGTTTGTGTCTTATTTTTTTGGAAAAATAATTTTTGGTGACCCAATTAAGTTCCAAAAATTTTAGTATTGTTTCAATTATGATAAAAACTGTATTTATGAATAAAAAAATTGGAATTAGTGATTACAAAATATTAATCTTGAATTTGGCAACAATATTTGGAAATTTTGAGTATTATCTAGTACTAATTTATCAGATTGGAAGAAGAAAAATAAGCGGAAATGGTGACCTTATTTTTATTTTTTTTTCAAAATACTGACCCATCGTTGACCGTTCCTCCTTCAATCACTAAAAACCCCAAAACCAAGACTAGAACTACACTGACCATACTTTCCCAATTTTTTTTTTAAAGTGAGTCCAAGATTGCGTTTGCTCCCTTATATCTTCTGAACTAAATCTGAGTTTATCAAAACATTATCAACATTAACTAATTATCACTTCAGATCTTGCGAAAACTACGATTGATGTAACCACAAACCGAGTCTTGAACCTCACTGATGTTGATATTTTCAAAAAACCTATTTTTACTATTGTGAATCTTGTCTTATCTCATACTCGAGACTGTATCGCACTATTATAGAATAGAGGACTTTTTTTGTCACTTTCAACGATCTACTTGATGTCGACTTGAGAATTCGAGTAGAACCAGATTTTGAAGGGTGAGGGTTAAATAACACTCAAATAATCATGAAACGATTTAATTGAAAAAACAAATGTTTAAATCACACTGACTCAATTATTTGACAATGACGTTACTTAAACAAGTCGAGAACTAACTAAAAACAATATCGATAATGACAAAACCTAACAAGACATTCACATGTTTTTTATATGGGGCTGCATACAATTGATAGTGTATGTAACAAAATGCAAGTCTTGTAACAGTTGAGTTAGGCGTTTGAAATGTCTTTCAGTGTAGGGCAAAGCGCCCTCTACGGTCCGACTCAACCCCACTGGCTTAAAATCCCCACTCTGTAACTCCCCCAAGAGGATATTCAAGACAAGTTGGGCCGATTGACAATTCCGACTGTTGGTATTCCAAGTCGCAGCAGATTTGAGCAGCGCTTCCTTTTGATCATTCCTCAACTCCTTCACGGCTTCGGCAAGTCCAGTCGTCTCACCTTTCCGTATAATCCCTTGAACGATCTTCAAAACTTGCAGTGGCCGATCCAACTTCAACGCCAACTTTAACGCTTTCAAAAGTTGATCATTTTGCAAATAATTCGCCAACTGTTGCTGTTGCAAAGCCTCCTCTTCCTCCTCTTTCAATCTTTGCAACTTTCTTTCCTCGGTTACATCTTTCCATTTGATGAGAAGCGAGTCGGACCCTCCTGTCACGATCCGACTTTCGTCCTTTTGTACCGCCATTGCCCAGATTCGACCTTCGTGTTGGTCAAAAGTTCCGACACATTCCGATGTTTTTACACTGAAGAGTTTGAGGAAGCCATCAGCCCCCGCACTCAAAATCTGCATTCCGTTTGAGACGAATTCGGCTTGGAGGACACTCGAGTCGTGACCTTCGAGGGTTTTGAGGCAGTTGAGGTCGGCGACTGACCACAGTTTGATCGTACAGTCAGCTGAGGAGGTTATGACGACTTGATCAATTGGAGAGAATTTTACAGACCAGACTCCACGTTTGTGACCTTTGAGGGTCCCCACGAAAGTCAGACTGTCGGTCCAGAGCTTGGCGGTTTTGTCTTGAGAGGCCGTGGCGATGATTCTGTCATTTGGGGAGACCGACACACAGTTGATGTCTTTTTGATGCGCGATTTCGGTTCTAGTACAGTTTAGGATGGTATCACTGGTTGGTTTTTTAGGGACTTCCCAGAGTTTCAAGCAAGTGTCTTGACTGACACTTACCATGAAGTCTAGGTTGGTATTACTGAAAGTGACCGAACCGACGGAACCCGTGTGTCTCAAACCAGTACCAATGCATGACATTGTGGCACCATCGAATGACCATAGACAAATCTTATTATCTTTACCACCAGAAAGCATAAAGTTTGGGTTAGCCCTACTGGCAGCTAATGTCAAAACAATGTCACTATGACCTTTCAACAACTGACAGTTCATGTCTGAATTGTCATACAATTTAATATCGCAAGAATTGGTTGCCACGGCCAAATGCGAATCATTCTTGCCAACAAAACAAATATCAAGAATCTCATCCGAGAAGCCTATGAATTGTTTCAAACAAACGAACGATTTGAGAGAATGTAAAATAATATTATGGTCGACTGTGATTACTGCCAACGTTTTTCCTTCATCCCCTAGTAACAATTTCGTAATGGCCAATCCACCATCTTGAGCCTTGGTCACTAGGGAATTTTGCTGTTGATATATTTCTTTAGAGTTTGTAACGTCCCACACTCTTACCAACCCATTTTCACCACCGGAAGCGACATAAATACAATCGAGATCTGATTTAAAATCTGGTAATTTAAATTTCTCAGGTAACCCAATTATAACTTCCACGGCTTCATATAAAGGGATAGTCTTCAAGGCTTTAATTTGGTTAAATTGCCACAAAATTATAACCTTATCACGCCCTGACGTCACAAAATGTTTGTCATCATTGGCGAAGACTAGAGACGTTACTTTACTAAAATGAGCATTGTAGCCAACCAGAGGCTCGCCTTTGATTAGATCCCACGATAGGATTTTGCCGTCATCCCCACTCCCGAAAATAACATTTTCAATTGGGTGGAATTCGGCAACGTTGACCACGCCTTGACACCCTTTAAGGTTCAAAATGCAAGTTTGGTGGTCCAAATCCCAGATTCTGACACTTCCATCAGAACCACCACTTGCCAAAAACTTGTCTTTGAGACTCAGTTTCGCTATAGGTCCTTTGTGGATATATTTCCACATTTTGACAAGTTGACCTTGTCTATTCCACAACTTCAAAAGACTGCTTTTGTGCGACGATATAATTCTTTCGCCGTCGGTTGTAAAAGTCTGAAGAAAATCACAATCTTCTCCATTTTCTTCTCCGATGGTTTGACTCACGACGCCATCTTGGGTATTCAAAAGAGTGACAGATGAAGAAGTCTGACAGTAAATGGTGTCTTGATGCCACTCAATGTTGCCCCCGGTATAAAAAGCGCCATGTTTAGACTCGACTTCGAATCTGTAATTAGAAATTTTCGGTTTGTAGACTTGCTACGAGTGATAATAAGTTGAAATAATAAGTGAAGGAATTTTTTAATTTATGGATCCTAATAGAAGACAAACACGTCGACAAATTTGTTATTTGAATGACGAGGATTTCGGCATTTTCTGATAAAAATCAGTAATTTGATTTGATTTAATATGATTTATTAGGCTTATCACAAGTGCCATGAAAAACAATGAACTGATTGAGTAAATAATCGAATTAGGTAATTTCATTTCCGTCAATTGCGACATTTCAAATTTTGAAAATAGTACAGTCGGGGACACGGAAAACTGGGCAGATGTGTCATTCAGTTGTCAACATTTCTGAACTATACCTTAGGTACTCATAACCAAGCTTTTAATGCTTGTCTCCATTTCTGCATGATCAAATTCACCGTACTTTTTGGAATCCCCAAAATCACTTGCCGCTGCACATCCCGTTTTGAATATGAGCTATTGCTCGAGATTTTTTTAAAACTGATACAGCTGGCATTTTCCAATAATTGATGTATGTCAAAGTTAATTTTATATCAATCATAATGACAATAAAGGTGCATTTACATTGACATTTTTTGAAATGACAATCAAAGACTGCCCAGGATTCCGTGTCCCCGACTGTAGGTTGTGTTGTTGTCATTGTTTTACATAGCAAAGCTAAATTGTCTCATTTTGTTTTTCTTTAAACTCAAGTAGCTTGATTTTTATCGTGCCAGTTCAGAGTCTTTAGGACTTCTCGCGAAAATTGCACAATTGATTAAACGATAACTTATTAATGGAATCACTAGACCGCGTATAATTATGTATGTGATATAAAGATCCTTGAATATATCGATGTCTAAATATAGCAAATATATTGCAATTAAAATAAAAAATATCTAAAAATCCAGCACGCGACATTCTTTTGTTTTTAAAAGTTTTATCTATTTCTCCGTATACTAGACCCAAACCTTGATCTATATCTGATAACAAATAAATGCATCTATTTCCATTGTTTACTAGAACAACAACCGAAGATTTTTTTAGTGCCTCGATTGCGCCTTGTGTTGTGAAGTTTCCTCTTCAAATAAAACCTTTGTTTATTTTGTAGCTTTTATTAGAGTTTTCCTTAATAAATCCTTACACACACAGCCCACTTAATTTAATTAAATACATTTAAGCTCCAAGTGATTTAATATGGAAATATTGTCGGATAAGACAAAAGTTTTCGTCTTGTGTCTAGTATCCTTTAATAACGATTTATCAACAAATCATAAACGCGGTAACAAAGAAAAAAATTCACTGAACGTAGGTAGATTGACAAATATGTACTCTACATTATATATAATAATCATAATTTTATCACCAAATAAAAATAACTGTTGTGTTATCGTTGATAACATTAATTAAAATAATTATGTTAGTACTGGCGGATATTCATTTGTTTTGACTTTTTGAGCAATGAGCCGACCTTTTTATATAGCAACCTTGGCATTTCACAATCGACCACATGTTTTGTACATAACCTGAAAAACATTTTATCGTCCAATTTCCAATTAAATCAAAATATTCTTTGAAGCGACTTTGTTAATACTTACGCTTCTTTTAATTTTACATTGGTGGTCATTTTTTACAAATACTTGTTGAAAATCTCAACTACACAATTTTTTTTCGAAAAATTTTAACACAGTTATTTAGTTAATCACGTAATAAAGTCAATTATTGTAAACTGCACTAGTTTTTGTTCATTTTTCACTTGTGTCCAAAAAAATTAAACGTGCATTCGAATAACAACTGAAAAAATCTGACAGTTACGAAACCAAGCTGACTTCGCATAAGGTTGGCTCATTGCTTATTGTCTCAATTACGTAACAATCAGTAGTACACTTTGGACTATTTGTACGAAATTAGACAAAACATGGTCATGAATCATTATTTATGAATTTTTGTGAAAAAGCTGCCAAGACGTAGTGAACTTTCATCCAACAAAAACACGTGAGTGTTGTTTTTCTAAGTCCCCATTTTCGCATCGCAGGTCGCTGTGATCAAACAATCGTTTTTCTCTCTCTCTCCCTCCGTAAAATCAATAATCCATCTCGTTCTAACTCCATGTTTTGGTCTTTGACATTTCACAGCTGGTAAATCGAATATCGACACAGAAACGTATGTAAACATTAACTTTCCTCAACGTTAATGCAACCCGAAGACATCGAAATCGAGGTAACTCCTCAAAAATCATTCCCTCAAATTGAGGTCTATTCGTTTTAGTTGCCCTCGCCGTGCCTCAACGGCCTAGATTCCGCCCTCCAGCGGCTGGGGATGTTGGCCACGAGCACCGATTCCCGGCGAGAGTACCTCAAGGAAATCCAGAGGAAGCCCTACTTAAATATGGTCCGGATTAACACGCGATACGTCAGCAACGTTTCGATAGGGTTCCGCGTGAGGCCCCTCACGCCCCACGTGAGATACAAACCGTATTCGATCCGAGAAAGGCACAGGACGCGATCCGAGAACAATGATAGTGAGAACGATGCTAGTCTCGTTAAGGCGGTCGTCGACCAAGTAATTGAAAATTCCGTCGATTTAGCCCAACTGAAGAAAGCTAAGTCTCTGGAAAGTATCGTCGCAGAGAGCAACCCCGATGTAGATCTGCGCAATATTAATTTTCCCGAATTAGAAGTCGTTTCGAATTGTATACAAAATCTGAAAGTCGCAGAGTGATTCTCACACACTCTGCACTGTCACTGCCTTTTTTGCGATTTTTTTCTCCTTCTGTGGGGAGTCAGCCCGAGTGAACTCACTAAAGTAGCTTAAGTTCAGCTTTTTTCGATGCACTAACCACAGGAAGAACCAAAGAATTGTACAATTTGATGAATTATTGGGGACTGAAATTTAGTATTTGACTATTTGTAATTTATATAGAAAAAATGTTGTATAAGACGCGTTGAGCAAAATATATTGACTATTTATGTTGTCATTCTCAAAATAAAGAATCTTCAATCAGCTTTTGTCTCATTTAATAGCCTTTGCTACTGATTTTGAGTCACGTGATCTTGCTTTTTGTTCATTTAAATTAATTAAATCTTGAAAATTTTTCACGCACTTAAGCTTGATTGTCAACAGCAATTTGGAACATATTTTAAATGGAAATTGCGTGAATGAAATTATTTTGAAGTTAGTTTTGTCTCTTAAAAAAAACTTGTAATCAATAGAAGAGATCTTTTCATGTTTTCACTTTGTGTGGTATATTGTGTTAGGTTTGGGGTAAAAAACTCCAGTAAATCCCTATTTTTATTTATGTTATACAATACTGGTGAGAGAGAAAATAGTATATTTAAAATACTTCATGTTTTACTTAGGCCGCCCCCCACACACTTTCTTGTGCCTCAACAACTTCACGGCCTTTTCGCAGTCCTTCTCACAGTAGGGACAAAAATATCCGTTATGTTTTTTCAAATGAAAAATCAGAGTCGATTTGTATTTATACGCTTTGGAACAAATCTCGCACACATAGGGCGTAGCCACCGTGTGCGCCTTCTCGTGCTGTTTTAACCGATTTTTGGTGCGAAAGGCCTTCCCACACTCCTTGCACCTGAAATTGAATTCGTTCGAATGCAGGGCTTTATGCCCATCTAAATTCCTCTTATCTGAGAACGATTTATTACAATTTTTGAAGTCGCAAACAAACGGCCGGTCTTTCGTATGTGTTCTTAAGTGTCTTTGTAGTTTGCTGGGGGCTGGAAACGCACTCGAGCAGTATTTACATTTGTTTCGACCGGCGTGAACTTTGAGATGATTGGTTAAGTCGCATTTAATCGCGTAGGATTTTTTGCAAATATCACAGACGTAGGGGCGTATCTTGGTGTGTATGGCTATGTGGGCGTTGAGTGTGACCCTGCGTTTGAATTTTTTGTCGCAATGGGGGCACGGGAAGATTTTATGACTCGGAGGGGGTTTGCGCGACTCCGCTTTCGTTTCGACATAATTGGGATGAGAGCCGTAATTTGAGTAGTCTAGCCCCACATTGGGGTAATTGAGATCAGGGAAAGTCTCTTGTTGGCAACTGTAATTAATCGCCACTTCTTGGGGGTAGTTTGAGGAGTGCCTCAAAACGGTCGATTCTTGGTAGAAATCATTATGAAACTTCTTCATTCCATAATTGGGGTTCAAATAGTCGAGATTTTCTTGCATATAATTCGCGTTTTCAACGATTTCCAACATTTCGTGATCGTTAATTGGGCAAGGCTCTAGTGGCAACACTGAATCTTTGTACAAATCGATGTCGTTGCATTCGAGATGCTCCAGATTCGGTTTGTTTGACACAATTACGCTCATTTTTTGCTGGGTGTAGTCGAGAATCGTCTCGGTGCCCCATTCTTGACGATTCATTAAAATCGACTCGAATTTCTGATCAGTGGCGTGGCATATTATTAAAAATTGATAAAAATCATCCAGTTTTAATAAACAAGGGTTACATAACTGTTTCGGTTTGAAATCATCCTTGAAAAGCTGTTTTTGCATTAATAAACAGACATAACCTCACTTTTTATCCTACCTCCAATTTTAAACACTTTTTTATCTTATTCTCAATATCATTAGGGCTTTTTGCCCAAATCAAGTGACACATTTCATTAATTTGGCCACAAATACGGCATATATTGTGATTCCACTGCATTTTTGGGCTACACCCCCAATTAACATAACCTCAATTTCGGACGCTAGATTTCAATCAATAAACAGTACTGGGGACCCTCGGATAAATAAAACGACAATAAATTTAAAAAACATGTATTTGTATATATATATATAGGACAGAATAAACACAGTTCAAGCAAATATTTTTTGTAAAAAAACAACATAACCCCACTTTCGTGGCGCCAAATTTGAATGACAATTTGACAAAAAAATGTTGATTGAATTGATCCGAAAATGGCTCAAAAAACGTCTAGGTATTCATTTGAGCATAATTCCCAAATATTTTTACAATGCTGCGCGAGATGGTACTCTGGTGGCCCAGCTCCTCCTCCACTACGGCGTCATAACTCCTGAAGAGGCGAATCTAATTGAAGAAACGCAAGACTCGGTTCAAGCCTTCGATAATTACCAACATCACATCGCTAAATGGTTAAGTCGTGTCAAATTACAGCTTACAGAAAGCGAAATGTATGAAATAGCGTACTGTGAAGGCACGGTCGCTGCCACAATTTTCTACGAGTTGTATTTAAAACTAGAGGCCAAACAGGACTCCATTCCGATTAAACCCAAGAATCATCATTTCAAAATCGAGAAAGTTAGTGAGTTTCAAATGAACGATTTTTTTATCGAAGCTAATCCCTTGTGCGAGCCTCTGATCAAACAATGGGATATTATTAACTGGGAAAAGGACCATCTAGCGAGTCTCATGATGAAATACATGAATTCGAGAGAAGAATATAAGGATTATTTGGAAGAAAAGAAGATCAAAGAGCTGAGTGCGTCGGTCAATGTGGATAAATTAGAAGACACTCTTGTTTTTCTAAAAGCAGAAAAGACTGATTATACTTATGACCAGTTGATAGCCCAACAGAAAGCAGCCCTTGAAATGGAGCCCTTTGAGCCAAATCAGGACGAAGCAAGACGAATCATAAGCCAAATTAAGAAAAGAAAAAAGCAAAGGGCGGAGAGAACCGCATTTAGACTTCAATTGCAACACCAACTACTTTCAGACGTTTGGAAGAAAATAGAAGAGAGCCAAGAGTTCGATTTTGATAAAGTTATTTGTGAAAAATTGTTAAAACAGTCATTGCATGAGAAAGAAATCGAAGAAAAGCTTCTCATTATTCGGAAACAGAAAGACACTATTGTGGCAAACCGGAAGGTCCATGACGAAATTGATCAGAAAAAAAGAGACGAGGAGTTTATCCGAAGACTCTTCGAGGAGGATCTTGAAGAACGAATGAAGTTTCATCAAGAGAGAATGGCACAAATCGCTGAACACAAACGCCTCTATGAGGGAAAAATAAAACTCAAAGCTCTAAAACATCAGAAACTTTGCCAAGAAGTTATGGATGATATCATCGACATTGCCCTTAAAACAGAAGAATATAAAGATACCTACAACGTTGAGCCTGACAAATACGTAAAAAGGCAATGGGCGAATCTCTTCATCAAGCAACAGCCGATTTTTGATTTAGTTGTCCCTTCACAAGACTTGAAACAGCCCCATGAGGACATTTCGGCCGAACTTGAGGCGATTTACAGACAGGAGATTCAAAGACAGGACATTCTCGACGAGCAAGATTTTGAGGATTATATCAACTTTAGCAATATTTGGCAAATTGAGGAAGGTCTTGACGAGTTTCTCACACCAATGGAACTCGGAATGAACTGTGTGGGTTTCGCAGTGCACAAACTTTTACTCAAAAAATACCCTTTACCAATCCCTGAAAAAGCTCAAGTGTCACAAGAAATTGAAATTTCAGTTTGTGCCACTTTGAGTGACTTGAGTCGGATTGATATGCTCCAACGTCTCCTCAACCTCAAAAATATCAAAGTTATGTTGATCGAAGACGCGGTTAATTTTTGTATAGAAGGGTATGAGAGTGAATTGAAGACGGAATTTGATGAACCGTTTCCAGAGGAAGAGTATTTAAGGGAGCTGACCCCGAAAATAGGGAAGAAACAGGAGAAGAAGAATAAAGGAAAAAAGGGGAAGAAAGGAGATAAAGCGTCAAAGAAAAGTAAGGATAAAAAGAAAGACAAAAAGGGGAAGAAAGGTAAAAAGGGGGTAGAAAAGACACACGTTGAGGTCACTTTTGAGGAGAAACAAGCACAAACTCCTCGATTATTCCCTTGGGAAAAAGTAGTTTTCTCAAATAGAGCAAAACTGGGCCGTTTAGTTAAACAAATTCTGGGTCAAGGTGACCCCCTTGATGATAAACTCCAAGTCGATATGTTTATCGAATATTTATCGTCATTGAAAGATATAAAGGGTTGGGTTTTGCTCAACTTTCCCTATACTTACGAACAAGCGGCCCTTCTTGAGGAGGCTTTGAGTGGCAAAGCTGTCCCAAAGCAATATTTCGACAAATTTCTAAACAAAGAAAGTCTCACCAGTGTTGAAATTGAAGAGACTGAAGGGATTGAAGAGGAAGAAATCCCTAGTAGTGTCACACCGGAGGAATTACCTCCCCGTGAAGACTTCATTTTTAAGAATATTCAAGAAAACAAAGTCACTCTTGCTGAGAATATAACCCAATCGCAACCGTCGTTTTTTAGTGAAACTACAGAATGCATAAGCGATGTAACAATGCAGACTGAATTCAACTACAATCCGGAAGAAAGAGTGAAGAAGCTTCTTCCCGATTTGATAAACTTGGCGTATTCTTCAGAGGAAGAAAACGAGGTTGAAACGCAGCCGGACCCCAAGAAATGTATTTGTGTGTGTAATCAGGAAACTGAAGAAGTTAATTCTGCTGAAGAAACTGTTGAAGTTGTAAGTGACATGAATGAAATTGCGTCAGAAATGAAGAAATCGGTCGAATATGACCAAATTGAGGAGCAGAAGATTGAAGAAAATCAGGAATGTGTATGTTATGTTGATAAAATTAAGGACGATGAAATTCCAGTTGAGGTGCAGGAAGCCACAATCCAAACCGATATTTTGGGTTTGATGCACGAACTTGGTGCGAGTGACTCTAAACCGATTGAGAGAATCGTCGTTGAAGATATTTATGAAGATAAGCGTTTGTCGAAAGTTGTCCCAAATCCACGACCTTTGGAAAAAGAAGAATACAACACGGTACTTACAGCTTTTATTAAAGTGTGTCAGAAGAAGGAAGAAAATGATGAAGATGAAGATTTCCCATTGCCTTATTTCAAGGAAATCGAACGGAAAGATGGATTAGAGAAGTTTTATTGCGATCAAGGGTGCTACTATATCTTACAATACGACGAATTTAATGCTGAGACTGTTAAATGTTTGGCCAAAATGATCATCGGGGATTATAATTTACCGTTGAAAAATTCAATTGAGATTTTTGGGGAACATTACAAAGAGGCACTGCTTGATGTTGGTGACCATCAAATCGTAAAAAAGGGAAAGAAAGAGAAGAAGGATAAGAAAAAGAAGGGGAAAAAGGAGAAAAAACCCAAGCCCAGTAAAAGTAAAAGTGGGACTAAAGCCGGGAAAAAAGACAAGAAGGGTAAAAAGTCGGAAAAATCCTCCAAATCCTCCAAAAAGAGCAAAAAAGACAAAAAGGGGAAGAAAGGTAAGAAAGCTAAGAGTACGCACGACCTTTTAGAGGAAGTCGGTCATGAAGACAAAGAAGTCCAATTCCCGGCCGTTGAGGAAATTGAGGAGGAGGAACTCCCGGAGCCTAGAGCCGGTGAACCAGATTGGGAGTACATAAACCTGGCAATCCCGCCCGAAATTGAGTTAATCCTAGCCAATCATTGGGACAATTTTGAGGAAAGCTACATCAAAAATTTCAAAGATTTATTCTTCAACAAGCGGGTGTTACTCAACGAAATTGTGCCGTTTTTGGCCCAGACTAAAGAAACAATGAACGAGTTTATAGTTCGGCCTGACCAAAAACAGTACTATTTGAGGGAGTTCCAAAAGACTCTCAACGCAATTGGTTTGGATTTGAGAAACGATCAAGCGACCAAAACCGAGCTTTTGTGCATGATTGAGGAATTCCGAGACAAACTTTTGGGGATTTGTGACACCAAAATGCAGGAATCTGAGGAGGAGAGGAGAAGGTTTGTGAGACAAAACTGGCTTTTTCACCAATTTTGCCAAATAACGAATAATTGTGCTGAAGCATTTCAATTTGAAATCGACCGGACTGTTGATACTTTACAATTTTTGTCTGACTATTACATTTCTGTGATTACAAAGTCCTCGAAGGAAGGTTACGAGTTTCACAAACAGATTTTACCGAAATTCGACTGTGACGATTTGCAAAGTGACGATTTTAATTCGCTTTTTATAGATGTAGAAAGTGAGAATTGTGACAAAAGTGCGTTTCATGAATACATCACTAACAGTAATCAAACGGCTTTGGGTTTCGTCGATAGCATGAAACCTTTAGCCTTGAAGCCGGTCCAAGACATGAAGAAATTATTCGAACCCGAGGAGAAAGTCAAAGAGAAGAAGAAGAAACAGAAAACAAAACAGAAAAAAATCGAGTTGGAGGAGGACGTGAAAGAGAACCAAGACCGGATTTTTGAGGAGTGGCAATGTGCTATTGATGGGGAATTTGCTCGGACTTACGTCCATTTGAGTGTCATACGAAACGAAGCTTTTAATCGTTTCAACGATGCGATTTCTTGGATTAAAAAAATTTTTGAGGAGATTTACGACACGATCAGTGAGAAGTACGAGAATGAACTCTCGAATGTGAACAAGGCATGTGAGTTGTTGGCGTATTCTGTGGAACAGGAAATGATAATACAACCGGAATTGGCGTTTGAAGGGGAACATTTGGCCCAAATCCAGGTTACGTTATTCCCCGCCACTTTGGAAATGTTTGAGGAGGATTACAGCGAAGGGTGTTTCAAAATCGAGCAATTGGAGTTTATGGTGAAAGTTTTGCTCGATTTGGCCCACAGTGGGTATATAATGAGGCATTGCTTCCTCTTACTGATCCAGGATATCCTCTATTACGATTTTGAGGAGTCTGAGGAAGTCGCAACGCCGAAATTGTGGCGAAATTTGTCAACTTCAGCTCTTAATATCTTGCTTCGGAGGTTGTTCGATGATGAAAGTTATTTGTATTGGAGAGACTTTATTATTTGTAATTTGATGGTTTCGTTTCCCACTCGAGAAGAATTGATGAAAGTACGACAACAATGCCGACAATACGATCCTGATTTAACGGAAAAAATTAACAGGGATGAGTTTGAGACTGTTGAATTCTGGTTTGAGGATAATCGTGTCAAAAATTTGCTCTTTTCAATGTACCAACTTGACGAAAATGAAATTAACTACACTGCACTCCTACTCGACTTTTGCAAAGATCACGATCCGATAATCGGCTTTGTGAAAGCTTTAGAATTGTCTTTAGGACAGTTTATTTGTTGTGATAAAGCTCTCGGGGAGAAATTCGTTGAGGAGATTCTCGAAGACCGGATCTTATTTGAGAAAAAGAAGAAAGAGCACGAGGAAAACATAATTTTGGCCAAAAATGCCGTAAGTCTCTTAATTGACCGCATTGTCGATCAGTTTGAGGATCCTGAAGGTTTAACTTTGAGGGAAATTGAGGAACATCGAGACTCAATTGAAGAAAAGTCCCGATCGAAGAGTTTCCAATCCGACTTTGTCGGTCAAATAATCACCGAACATAAGTTTTCTTTTACAAATATCGGGTTTGAGGCTCGGGATAATACAGGAATGGCCTTTTTTCTGCCTCGAGGGTTGGTCCAAATAATTGTGAACACGGATATAACCTGGAATTCCAAAATTGAACTTCCCGACTCGGAGAGTTTCAGCGACAAAATCATGAACATTTACGACAATTGCCGCAACGAGAAGTTCAACAATGTCGTGTTAGCTCACGAGTTTCTCAATTGTGAGGAGTTGAGGGAATTGTTCCAAAACACTAATAAATTCTCAGCTCATAATCCCGTCAAACACATAATCACTGAACCGGAAATAGACGAACCGGAAGAGTTCGTCCTGCGTCAAGGGTCGAAGCATTCGCAAAACACTGAAACGATCAACACGCATAACTCTTATTAAAAAATCTTTATTTTTCTTATATATCACATTGGTTTTACTTAAAAATATATACATACAGTCAAAATATGATCTTTTCAATTGACAGAACATTTAACAGAACGCAAAAACCGAGACGGTTGCATTTTGAAATTCTCGCCTCGAAAAATAAGCAGGTAATTACGTATTACTACGAGATATGAGTGATTAAGAAAAGGGAATCACAGCCACAAAATCGCAACGAAACTAGGCCTAAATTAAGTAATGAGTGATTTTGGTACGTTTTGGCACCTACTCTATCTCTAAAATCTCACTCGTTAGATTATTATGTATTTGAGGCACAGCTTCCTAGATTCGTTTATAAATCAAGCAAGCTGTGGTCTGAGTAGTAAAGTCGCCAGTGGTATGGTGGGGAAATGGCACTCTTCCTACTCGACCTTGAAACTCTACAAAAAGCCACCCAACCGCTTGAATCTAAGCCGAACAAAACATGGAAGACTACTTAAGTCGCTTGCTTACATTTAAGCGGTTTTCTTAATAGATAGAATTCTAGTAAGGAATGTAATGACTAGAAAAAATTCGAATCGTTTGGGTGGAATGTTTCGTTTTAAAATCTATTATCACTTTTGAATTCAGACAAGTCCCTCGATGTCTGTCTCAATAAATAAAACAAAAATTACATTTAAAGGAACTCATTTAAGTACAAATCAACCGAAATAATGAAAAAACGAAGAAATGTAACTTCATCACCTCGGCGGGTCGATCCCTACTAAAAACCAAGTGTATAAGAGATTCTTTTTACTTTGGATTAGTTTATAATCTAAACTGTTGAGTCCGTCTTTGTCGAAGCGTTTGGGTCCTTGCTTCAGCATGTCATATCTACCGAAAAAAAAAATAGATGACGGAAAGTGGTTTTTCTCCCGGAGTCTTACCTGTTAGGACTCGGCTTGTCCTTTTTGTGCGTCAACATCGTGTATCTTGCTATTGTCAACGGATATCGAGAGATATACAAATTATGATACCTAATCCTATTCGACATGTCGTCGTCTTCGCCTCCCCAACCCCAAAACGAGTTGGAAAAGCCGTTCAACAACTCAAAATGTTCCCTATTTATCGCTGATACTCCGCCGAAAATGGCGGGGTATGGCAACCTGCAAAAATAACAAACGAAGTAAGGAAAGTGGCTTACTTTTAATTACTTTTACACTTTACAAATAGTGTAGTTTTTAAGGGCTTTTCTTCTTAAACAATAAAAGTCTGTTACATCATAGATTTTCGGGATTTTTATTTTAGGCCAAAAAGATTAAGATCCCTGTATGATCTGTTTTGAGGTATCTTCCCATACTTACCTGTAAAATAATGGACCTCTTGTAATTTTTGTAAAAAAAACCCTCATTTCATAGGGATCATGACAAACCGACAAGATTTGTAAAGATTTTTAATGATTATTATTTTTTTCGTAGATTTTGGGTCTCAAGGATGTACAATATTGAAGGAGATATTATTATTTGACAGTAAGGATTACGAAAGTTCGGATTAGCTGAACTATACTGTATTGGACTTTTTTTTCTTAATTCAGGGGTGTATAAAAATTGTTTTTGATAAAAAAAACGTTACCGCTATATTAAATCCTTAAATTCAAGTTTAATTTCTCTTTGGACAATTTCACTACACTATCGGAAAAAGACGAGATATAAAATTTTCATTAATTTTTAATAAGTATATTGTTTTAATTGAAAATTATAAAGTTTATACAAAAATTAACTTCTTGTGGCCTAAAATACTTAAATAAAAATAAATTCTTAAAGTCCAACAAAAATTTAAAATTGCAAATGTATGCAAATATACAGGGTGTTCCATTTTTATTGTTACAAATTTAAGCAGGTGATAGAATATTCAATTTTAAGATAAAAGTTTCCTATAAACATATATCGACAAATTTTATATAAGAGAGCCACATCCCCTGAGAGGGGTACATCTTTTAATGGATTTTTTTCAGTAGTTCAGAAACCATCGTAGATAAAATTACAACATTTGGTACAACTGATAACCTTTATTACACCCAAATGAATTCAAAGATAAAATGTGGAAATTTTTACTCAGGGGCGTCCTAAACTGGGGGGTTTAGGGTAAAAAATACCCTAACTATTTTGGCGTTGTTTTTTGTCACTTTCATAGTTTTTCACAAAAAAGAGCTCTCTTGCCTTTTTTCGATAAAACTTACCGTTTTTGAGTAAAATCAGTTTACAATTTGTCTTACAGAGACCATAAGTAAAATTAAAAATTAAATTTGTTTCTCCGTTTAAGAGACCAACGATTAAAAATCGCGATCTTTAAATTCGTTCAGGTGTTTAAAAGTAATCAGCTGTAGCAACTCTTGTAATTTTATCTATTCTGCAATAGTGGGAAAACCCCATTAAAAACGCATCTCTTTCAGGGGGTGTAGCTCGCTTACGTAATATTTTTTATACATGATCATAGGAAACTTATGGCTTAAAATTGAATATTCTATCACCTGTTTAAGTTTGTAACAATAAAACCGGAACACCTGTAGATTTTATTTATTTGTCTTCGGGGTAACCGAAAAGAAAAGTTTTATTGACTGTCTGATAATTGTTTCTGGCTTTGAATATTATAGAAATTAATCCAATGCGCATTATGTAAAATTGAGGAAATTAAAAAAAAATCGGCTTATAAAGATTTGGGGGTAACCGGAAATCTGTTCAACTTCAAGAGGAATCCTACTTAAAGGGATTCGAGAGATCCAGAGAAAATTACATTGATTTCTATTAATAAGTGCTCAGGACACTCCGACTTACCGACATTTCCAGATTTAGAGGTTCGATTTACCAAGGTTCCACTGTATTATCATCATTATTTTTATTATTATTATCATCATCAGTGAAATTTGTTTTATTGGAAAGACTTTTTACCAAAAAAAATCGTCGTTTGTTATTTCAGGGGTATAAAATTTGTTTTTCAAAAGCATAAATCTTTTCTCGCCAAATTGTGTTCAAAAATTCAATTTTGATAATTCCTCATTTTTTGACAGTGTTGTTACTACATGAAACCCTATGTCTTCTAAAAGAATTATTTTTCTTTAATTTTGAGTCTAAATCTTCTCAAATATAGGCACAGGGACTTTAATAAAAGGTCTCGTACATGATCAATTTTAGGCTTCTCTCCCCTACTTACCTATACTTGAAAATGTCCACCGCGACGCTCATGTGCCTTGGCTGCCCCGGCGGACACGTGTACAAATTCCGGTCGTCTTCCGGCAACAAATCAATATCGTGAAAGATAAAACAATCATAATTTCGTATTTTGAGCGCCTCTTTGAACCCAATATTCATTAACATGGCACGATTGAAGGGCCCGTCGCCATCTTGCTCGACTATATAAATCGTATAATCGAGTTGCTGTCTTTTCAAAAACGGATGCATGTGCTGGAGAAAAAGCAGGAGGTGTTCCCCCCGACACCTGAACGGTATAATCACCGCCACACTTTTGGGGACTTTACACGTTTCCGGCGCCCAATGTCCTCCCGGTTTCAGCCAGGAGAACCTCGTCTCCAACTCCTGAACGCTCGGAACGGGAGATTTCAGCACTTCGATCCTCCCACGAAGGTTGTTGGTGACGTCGGGACAGGGAGGCAAGGCCGTTGCGTTGATGTTTTCGCTTTCGACGGATTCAGAATTATTTGTTGAGGGGATTTCGGTGATGTTGAACACTGGAGGACTTTTGGTGGTCTTCTTTAGATGGAATGTGGAGACAAGGGGGCTGTGTTGGACCACCTTTTCCTGGTGCGGAATCCTGTTTGCAAATTATTGCCAAAGTTAAATTGCGAAACTTACGCAATTATTAGGGATTGTGTCAGAACGGGAGCGAATTTATCGATTTTGGGTTGGTGTTACTAACGTGATTCATAAACCAACGGTGGGATCAATCGAATTATTTTAATTACTTAACTGAATTTTGTGCACATGCAAAACAATCAAGTGGGTGTGAACGGTGATTAAATTGCTCGGTTGGTGACACTGAGATGATTTTTTGTCCAATATTCATGATTTGTCCATTGGACCAGAACGAAAGAGTATGTTGTGTCATTTGAAGTGACGCAAATAAAAAAGCGGTTCTAAATTAAATTTCGATTTTTACATTGTTCCTGTAATATCTGACTAAATATTCATTTATTTATATACAAAGCAACGTAATTTCATGAATAAATAGATTATTTACTTATACAGGGTGCGCCAGAACTCGCGCCCCAGAGAAAAATGTCATATAAGGTAAGATACCAGGAACATGGAAAAAATGTTAAAAAAATTTTATCTATAAAAATTTTGAAGTTATGAGGGTTTAAAATTTGTACTTTGATTCTATTTATTTCTGTTGGAAATATAATTTTCCAAGTTTTTTTGCTATAGGCTATTAAAAGAGGAAACAAGGAAGCTGTATCCTAAATTGTAACTATGTTCAATGTTATTTGTGGCTTTTATTGGCAAAATTTTTGTCCCTTTACTAAATAATTGTAAAAAAACACATACATGATCATCAGTATCCTTAAATAGATATAAAAAATGTCAAATGTCAAAAAACAAATGTCAACATTTTTTGACAGATAGAATTTTTTAAACATTTTTATTCATGTTTCTAATATCTTACCTTACTTGAAAATTTTCTCTGGGGCGCGAGTTCTGGCGCACCCTGTATACAGTTGTCCGGAAAAAACGTTGAAAGATTTCCGGGGTTGACTCCCTAGGTCAAAAAAAAAGAAAAAAAGTTTCTATGTACCTATATCCAAAAAAAAGGGAATTAGAGCGATAATTTTTTTCATACACTCATACACTAAAAATCCCATAAGCCGCGGTGTTATTGTCACTATGACAGCGACAAAATTTTGCCCTAACTATTACAGCGACAAAACGGAACCTAACTTTTGAAACTTTTGAATTGTGTTTTTAATAATTGTACTTTCCATTAAATTAAATAAACTAATTTACACCTTATTTGTTAATTTAGTGATTTACTTTTTTTTACGAAGAAAACTTGACATTTTTAGTTCGAGTTTTGTTTCCTTTAGGCAATTTAACTCAAAAAAACTCAAAAAAAAAGCTCTCGTGTAATTATAAGTGATAATTCGACTTTATTATACAGGGTGTGTCAGAATTCGCGCCCCAGAGAAAAATTTTAAGTAAGATAAGATGCCAGGAACATAAATAGTTATTTATTCTACGAGTCTGAGTGTAAATCGAACGCATTATTTCACCGAGTGGATTTTTAAACCACGTGTGTAACGAGTGGTTTATGATCCACGAAATTTAAACTCTCATAACTTCGAAATTTTTTAGATAATTTTTTTTAACATTTTTTCCATGTTCCTGGTATTTTACCTTACATGGATGGCATTTTTCTCTGGGGTGCAAGTTCTGGCGCATCGTGTATATGAAGATAATTCGAATCTGCAAAAAAAAAAAAAAAAACTTCTTGTAAAACAAAATTTTACGTCTGAAGTATATTGACACCAGTACCTCCGCCCCCTATAATTAAGGTACACAATTTTTGATAATACCAATAGAATCAGCGCTAAAACAATATTCTAGACGCAAACTTTTGTAATTTATATCCACTAGTTACTGAAATAATTGAAAAAAAAACTTTTTGCCTGAAATCTTCATCAGGGAAGTATAGTTCCCTCAGAAAGAATTTCCGGGCATAGGTCCATAGGAACTTTCTTCTTATTTTGGCCTATGAAACAACCCCCCGAAATCTTTCAACGTTTTTTCTGGACATCTGTATATTATAAAAACGATTTTTTTTTTAAATTCTATGCTGGACCACCAGTATATTATTAAAATAATGCATGTACAGCCGGAGAAAACAATATTGACCAATCTAGAGGTAAACTACTAACACGCTCGACTGAAACTGTGGGAAAAACATTTTTCATACAGAAGTTTCAAAATGCGTTGTTTAAGATAACTATTGTTAAATTATTGTTTTACTATTTTTAAAAAGTGGCAATCCAAATAAATATCTTTATACAATTGGTTAAATTAAATTTGTTAAATGTTAAATTTGTTATTTGATTAAATATTTGTACATAGTCGCCGAATAAATATGTTTTCGAAGGCCACCACGATTCTGTATATGTATATTCATGTTTACATATGCTTTGCTAATTTGAGGTGCACAAAATGTAACAATATTCTATATGTATGTATGTATATACAGGATGTACCATAAGAATGCATGACAACGGCGAGAATTTTAGTAAAGTTTGTGGTGATGTATAAAAAATATGTAAATTAGTCAATGTGCGTTTGTTTTTAAAACTATTTTTATCTTGCGTCAATTTAGTGTATGTATAACCAAGATCACCAAATTTTTAGACATGAAATCGTAGTTTGTTTTAGACGACGCTATTTTCTCTACAAACAAGTGAAACAAAAAAATAACACGATTTGATAACCACTTGCGATTTTAGCACGTAATACATATTTAGTACATATGGATACCCATTTTAGCGATTAAATTGTGTTGTATATAGAGTGTGTTATAAAATCGGGGCTTTGCGGTGTTGTTATAAAATTTTATTCCAGTTGAATGTATTATTTTTATTTGTTTTTGATATACCAGGTCTACCATAAAACTAAATTCTGTTCTGTTCAAAAATAAATTTTCTTAATGAAATTGAGAATAAGAAGTGAAAACGACTGTAATAAAAAGTTTGCATGTTGTTTATGTTGGTGGATGTACCATAAAAGTGTCTTTTATTGTTATAGTTTTTCTAATAAACTTTATTATCAATTAAGAATAGGACGTGCCAATTGCTCTAATAAAACTTTTAAAGCCTCTCGACTAAAACTTTCAATTAAATTACTTCACTAAAACTGTCTCAAACTATACAGTGAAATCCTGGTTTAGCAAATTTCGAATTAATTAAAACTTGCCATAACATTTCATTACAAATCCCGTCCGTTCTATTCACCCATCATCAAGATTAACATTTTGCTTGCGGTCAAATTATATTTTAAAAAAAACACCAATATTAACCCTTCCTTAATTATTATTTAAATATTTCATCCCTTTGCACCCACCTTGTGGCGTTAAAAATGAAGAAATGTTTCGTCTCGGTGATCGATCCGAAGAGGTATTCGAGCGCCAGCAGAATAAGTACCAAGAAGAACAACCCCTTGTAGAGGGTGCCGGAGCTATACCAGCCGGGCATCACCCACCCTTACCTAGTTTGTATGGAACAAAGCATCCTCTGAAACAGACAAAATGCGAGGTTAATTCGATCAACAGCGACGTCTAGCCCACCTAATCTAATCTCCAAGGGGCGGTTTGTGTCCGGGGTGAAAATTCGTGATTGTAATTAAAGGAAGTGTGCGAAGTGCAGATATTGGATATTGGGCGCGATTTATGAAGGGAAATGTAGGCCCAAATATGGGGCGAATATTAACATAAGGTCGGGGTGATACTAAATCAAAGGTGGCCATGAACGCCCCCAAATATGGGTTTCAAATGATGAATGCTGTGTTTCGAAACGGGCCAAATTTTCAGTTGTTTCAAAATAAAATCATAGTAGGCTAGTTATAAGTCATAACTAGTTATTTTAAAAGTCATTATTAAGTTACACTTTATAGAAAATCAATAGATGAGCCAAAACAATGCTACTTTAAGCAATCATAGTTGGCATGGATGTTCGACGCCATATTACGTACGACTATAACTACGCATGATGTGCTCATGTGTGCTGAAACGAAATCAAAAAATATATTAATATCAGTTTCTCATTTTTATGAAGCGGCACATTTGGCTAATTATCGAATTCTTTTTAGAAAAATTTCCTAAGTACGAGTATATCCACATATTTTAAGAAAAAATACGTAAATCATAGGAAGCTGGTAGTCCGTAACATTTAAGTACCTACATAATTGATACTTATAGAAAATCGATAGAATTGTTCATAACGTAACTTTCATATACAGGGTGCGCCAGAACTCGCGCCCCAGAGAAAATTTTCAAGTATGGTAAGATACCAGGAACATGAAAAAAATGTTTAAAAAATTCTATCTGTCAAAAAATTTTGACATTTATTTTTTGACATTTGACATTTTTTATATCTATTTAAGGATACTGATGATCTTGTATATGTTTTTTTACAATTATTTAGTAAAGGGACAAAAATTTTGGCAATAAAAGCCACAAATAACATTTAACAGAGTTACAATTTAGGATACAACTTCCTTGTTTCTTCTTTTAATAGCCTACAGCAAAAAAACTTGAAAAATTATTTTTCAAACAGAAATAAATGGAGTCAAAGTGCAAACTTTAAACCCTCATAACTTTAAAATTTTTATAGATAATTTTTTTTTAACATTTTTTCCATGTTCCTGGTATCTTACTTTATATGGCATTTTTCCCTGGGGCGCGAGTTCTGGCGCACCCTGTACTTATATTAAATCATTGTTGGCTATGCCATGAAATAATAAATAAGTCGTTCTTCCTTCATATACATACAAGGTGTGTCAAAAGTTCCGGACCAATGTGACATGCCATTAAGGTAAGATACCAGGAGCATGAAAAAAAATGTAAAAAAATTCTATTTATAAAAATTTCAAAGTTATGAGAATTTGAATTCTTTCTCTCTCTATTTGTTTTTATTGAAAAAATAATTTAAAATAGTTTTTTTTGCTATAGGCTATTAAAAGAGAAAACAAGGAAGCTGTATCCTAAATTGTAACTCTCTTTACTGTTATTTGTGGCTTTTATTGGCAATTTTTTTTACTAAATAATTATAAATATGTCAAATGTCAAAAAATAAATGTCAAAAGTTTTTTCCAGATAGAATTTTTTTAACATTTTTTTTATGTTCCTGGTATCTTACCTTACGTCTGTCCGAGATTTTTGACACACCCTGTATAAATAAGCGGCCTAGTATGCCGCTAAAGTGTTAGGAGTTGCATCATCATATAGTTGATTGATAAACGCCATGATGCAAGTTATCTTAAAACCTCATTACCATTTCCGCTTTACAAAAAAACCAATTTTGAATTTTGATGTAAAATCATAGTTGGCATATAAATGTCAGGTCGCCATTTTGCCGGCCATATTTACCCAAAAGCACGCTACAAACCTGTGTCAATAATTACTTTTTCATGTCACTGCGTCCGCAAGGCTCATGCAATATGAAAATATTTATCACATGATCCTTTTTAATTAAAACTTGCTCTTTTTTTTCTAATTAATCAAACCGCATAGTTGGCATGGAATACACTCATTTTTTTCGTAGCAAAGTTGGTTCAAAGCCGACTACGTTTCTAATCTGTATTAATATCTACGTGCATTTTGCTGATTAAACGCTACCAAAATGATAACATTACCTGCAATCTGAACTACGAAATGAAAACACGACGGCTGTAAAATTAATTAAAAAAAATAAATGAAATGTTGTAGATATTTATTTCTCATTACGTTTCTTAAATAAATACCGGGTGTCCCAGGCAGGCTTGGATATAGGAGATTAACATGGAAAATTAGTATTTATTTTTTTCCGGCTGCAGGAGTAACAAAAATTAAAATCTGATTAATGGAGCTTGTAGTGCTCAAAAAGGACAATCTTATCGACATTTTTGTCGATTCTCCAATTAACTCCATTTCGCCGAAAACGGCCCTTGAAAAACTGAAATTTGAATTTGCCGGGTTAGCGTTACTAAGAAACTAACTATCAAGTCAAATTGTGACAAGTTCTCCTCTAGCAACAATGACTTGATAGTTCGTTTCTTAGTAACTCTAACCCAGCAAATTCAAATTTCGATTTTTCGACGGTCGTTTTCGCCCATATGGACTTAACTGGAGAATCGATAAAAATATCGATAAGATAGCCCTCTTCAAGCACTACAAACTCCATCAGTCAGATTTTAATTTCTGTTACTCCTGCAGCCGGAAAAAAATAAAAACTAATTTTCCGTGTTAATTTGCTATATCCAAGCCTGCCTGGGACACCCGGTATACTATGATTCCGAAACCTGAAACTAAATGATGGACGCAAAAAAATAGTAAAAACCGAATTTTCTGACTTAAGTAGAATTTTATTTCCACTTTCACCCCACAACAATCTTATCCTATGCAAATTTTCCCCGAGGGTTAATTTTCCTTTGTGTCTCAATTAGCGGTCGACAACACCAAACGACTCACAAATCGAAAATTTCTATTTCATTTTTGTTACGTTGGCAGTAATTTCAATTTAGGAAGCTTTTAGCAAATCCCCAACCCGAGATAAACTGGACTATGGACTGTTGGGAACACTGAAAACCCGGACATGAGTACTATTCAAGCCGGATTTTGCATGTCGAACCCAATTTTTACACTAATTCGAGTTTTGAGGGTTGATAAAAGTAGGGTTATGTAAGCAGGGTGTGCGTAATTGAGTAGTTTCAAACAATTTAACCGAATCTGTGTTTACATTTGTCTCGAGTAATGAAGGAAAAGTGGAAAAGTAATCTGTTTTCTGCAATTCATTGCGTTGTAAAGTAAAATGGGGAATACTTACCAAATATTTTCATGTAGAACTTTACAAAACACAAGTGGTGTCAAAACTTTACGTCATTGTGTCAGAAGCTCCAAGTTTTGTATTTCAAGGTTGGCATTACGCAAATGAGTAATACTTTTTTAATTAGTTTTTTGCGTGTTTTGAAAACTTGTCGATACAATCGCACATGCTGAAAGCAATTTAAAAAATTTGATCCTTTGTCCACACTTGTTTTTTTCGTCAAGTTGCCGATACTGCAAAGCAATTTATTCCGCTTTTGTTCGTCAATGACAGTTACATGCAAAATTGCTTACAGACCATCTCATTAATTTCCAACAAACGCTAATTCCGGAACGAGACAAGAAAACTATGAAAGGCCGGAATTTGATGCAAATTCCTATTAATTAATCGCTTGACTTGCACAAGGTTACGTTGGTACCACTTGTCAAACTTTACACACGCTCTGCCAACCTTAAAAACTTAATTTTCCATATTGACACGCGATCACGTCCTGCTGAAAAATCAATTCGCATTTTTTTCAATTTCTGGTTTTAAATTAGCACTCATTAATAATTCATGATCGGTCATTAAAATGCGGAAAGTTCGTGTAATGATGTTAATTTTTTTCTCTAAGTAATCGTATTCATCCCTCCCTCCGGTATTTTTTCCTAATCACTGCAGATGCTTTCTCCCGAGAGGCGTGATTAAGTCTGCCGGTTTGATATCGCAAAGGAAATGAAATTTTCACGGAGAGATATTGACTGAAGACGGATTTAATCAGACGAAACGTTGCGAAATAATTATCGGAGTGCCCGGCGCATCCACAAAATCGAACGGATAGGTCAAAGAGAAAAAATGTTTGAGGGAAACAAACAAACGGGAGTAAATCTCGAGGGTCTGAAGTTTTTCAAGGTTTTTCAAGTAGAAATAAAAACAGCTGAAGTTTAACTAACTAGGGATATTTAGAGTTGTAAATAAAATAACTGGGGACTTTATTTTAAACCAACTGTTCCAGTAGCAAACCACACTATAAAAACATCTGGTTTCATTCAACCCTAAAACTGAGTTATTTTTGCCACTATTGCTGCTGAAAAATGACTAAGAGAAAGACGGAAGTAGTGTTGCCAACTGAAACGGTCATTTTGGATCACCCAGCAACAGATCAGAGTATCAACCGTATACATTAAAAATTTCCAAGAAAATGAATCGACCAAACAATTTAAAGCATTCTTTTATGAAAACAAACCTCGCACATTTATTACACTTCACGCGTTTTTGCTTAAAACGAAAGAATTTCACGCGATTTCAAGATAAACAAACTTATTTAAATCAAAACAAATAATTTTTTTTTCGTGAATTTCACATGTTTGCAACAAAATCCCACATTTTATGTTCTTTAAAACAAACAAAGTGAAACGTTCAAGTTTAAAATATCACTTCCGTAAAGCAATAAACTCGAAACTCCCGCTTCGGTTACTTTGTAACCGCGTAAAACGTGGGTAGTAACATAAAAGAAACTCCCAGTAACACAGGAACATCCAACTTTGCTTCAAATCCCGGTTTGGTGTTGTAAAATCATTTAATTTGATGTTTGAATGCGAGTGAGACAATGCGGAGGTCTCTTTGAGTCTCAAACAATCCCGCATCTAATTTCCATCAGGACATAATTAACGCTGTTTTGCGTTGGTATGCCTGTACTTACCCGAAAGTTTGACGCAACGTTACGTCATTACCTGACTGATATTCGAATGTCGTGATTAACAAACGAAAGAATTTCACGCGATTTCGAGATAAATAAAAACATTTGAATTTAAAGACTTTTCACAACCTTAAAAAAATAGTGTTTTACTGGTTGCATACATAGTTTAGTTTTTTTCACTAAATAACAAATCAATCAGTTTTAATTGAGACAAGTTTGTATTTATTGGAATTAAGGTTAAATCAGTGTCAACAAGTGTTAAATTTAATCGTCGCTACAATAAACATTTTTATTTCGGTTTGAAAGTGGGGGAAGTCCGTAATTAATTGTCGGTTTAATTGGGTAAAACGCCGTCATGAAAATTTGAAAAACCGTCACGTTTGAGGGAACAAAAAATCATTGTGGTTTTTCCCGCTTGCATGCCATTCTCTCCCCGACAATCGATAAACAATCGCATGTTTCTAACGACACAGATAGCGAAGAGAATGCCTTTTCAATGTCGTTGAATGGCACCAATTAATGCCGGAAGTGGGCCTAAAACAAAGCAGAATTTCAAAACGCAAGTTTGAGTAGATTGTCGTGTTTTTTGTGTCTTAATTTAGCGGAAGCAGACGGCTTTTTGTTGAATTTTTTCCACAAAAAAAACTTTGTAATTATCGGTTCTGGGAGGAAAGCTGGGAAAATGCGCTATTTTCTCGGAAATTCTTAAAGCTCGAGAGAGTAAATAAGCCGACGTGAAATTACAGGTCAGATTTGACGCTCAGGTCGAATAAAACTTGGTTTTTAACCACTTTTGTGAAAACTGGGTGTTATCGGGGGAATCTTACAAGCTATTGATTTTATAGAAGCCAAAACGTGGGATCAAATTTTGGAATATCGACGAAATGATCAATTTCTAATTGAAAAATTGCGAAAACAGACTGAATTATTTTACTTTCCTTTTCGTTCGTTCTTCGAGTAAATTTTTTTTTCGAGACAAAATTCTCAAATATGTTTTTTTTATTTTAGCTATGTACCAGGTGAGTCAAGATTTATAAAACTAAAACACCTCTTTAAAATTTAAATATAATTTCTATATTATTTAGCGGGAATTTTAGTCTAATTCTAGATTTTTTAAGTTTGAGTAATGATAAATAAATCTCAAAAGTCTAATAATTGAAATTCAACCTAAAATTAAAAATTACATTTTTAAACACCACTGTCCTGATGGAAAATTCTACAAATCTACAATAGCTTACATGAAAATAAGTGTTTCAATATCAAAAAAGTAGTCAAAAATATACGATATATTATTTCCTTGAAAGTTTTTTTTTTTTTTTTAATGCATTTATAGAATACAGGGTGCGCCAGAACTCGCGCCCCAGAGAAAAATTTCAAGTAAAATAAGAAACCAGGAACATGGAAAAAATGTTTAAAAAATTCTATCTGCCAATAATTTTGACATTTATTTTTAAGCATTTGACATTTTTTATGTGTATTTAATGATACTGATGACCTTGTATAAGCACGGCCAACTGTATCTATCTCCACTTCGTTCCGATACGGCCTCTCCACTCCGTTTATAAAACTGTTCCGATCTAGTAGCCGATGCATGTTCGTGCAGTGGCGTCCCCAAGTTGTCAAATTTTGAACTTGACAAATTCAAATTCGAAGTTTGTGTTGTGAAATTACAATTTAATAGTTATATTTTATAAGTGTTGTCTATTTTTGTGTTGTTGTTGTGTTGTTAATTTTGATTGTTGTCTATTTTTGTTGTTAATTTTGATTTTGTTATTTGGCGAAGATTCCATAATGGGAAAGAAGTGTTTCGTTTGTGGCAAGGGTGATACGAATCTTTTTGAGTTCCCCAGCGATTTTAAACAGCGTACTGAATGGCTGGAAATTATTAAAAGATTATGTGGTAAATTTACGCAGACCCTAACAAAATTGTATCGCTTTTTCGACTTGTTTTTCATAGATGTTTCAAAATTAAAAGATCAGTCAGTAATTTGTAAAGATCACTTTGAAGAAAATTCGTTTTATTTTACAAAAAAATCTTGCCGGCTAATTAAAGGAGTTAGACCTTCAGTATTTGTGAGTATATAAATAGAAATTATCCAATAAAAAATAAATACACATATTAAGGTAAAATTATAAATGACTTTAATTTGTAGAATATTCCTGATCCAATAGAATATCCCCATATTCCTCCAACTGTTCCTGACCAAAATGAAACCAATTCCAAATTAGTCCAAGTCTCCATTCCTTCTAATGAACTTGAAAACCTACGTTACCACTGCAAAGTCTTAAATCAAAAACTAAAACGTATGACTAACAAGTATTCCAAGTGTCGGTCAAAAATTACAGATCTCGAATTGCAACTTCAAAATCAAAGCCATAACTCAAAATTAATACAGAAAATATCACGGGATGCTGAAAACTCAGATCAAAAAGCTCTA